CAAATAATTACCCCACTTCCATTAATTACCCCATCCAGCGATAGATTGAAATAATAATTACCCCCAAACAAATGCCCTAAAACACGTTGAAATTTCAAACCTCATATAATTACCCTCCCTCGATTTATTACTCCCTCCAGCGGTAGATCGAAACAATAATTACCCAGGATAGTTATTAAAGGATATACGGTAATCTATATGTCTGCTAAATCCTCATAATTTAATAACTCTCCTTTGATTTTTAGTTGATTTTTGGTCTCAAGACAAAATTTTAGATAGTTACGCTAAAATGAGTAATTATACCTTCTTGGCCAGAAGATATCAGAATTTTTATCACTCAGTAACGTTATGTCAAAACATGCCCGCATAACTACTATATCCTCAAAAGAAACTTATTAAATTCTAATGATGTAAAAAATTTTTTTGATGTTTTTAAAAATGTATTTAAATGATGTATAGGCACATTTCTTTTTAAATAATTTAAAGAAACCCTTTCAAGAAAATTCCAAAAAAGATTTTAGATTGACGTAGAAAATAGAAAATATTATTAAACCAAAAGAAATTTAATTTGTAGAAATAAGGAAATGAATGTGTTCTTCCTTTTCTTCTTTTTAAATTCCAAAATATTTTATCCAACATTATCTAAATAACTACTATATTTCTTTTAATTTTTAATAAAATATTTTTTAATGATTTTTGGCCTTTCAAAATTTTATTCTCTTCAAAGACGAATTTTTTTAAAAAAATTTCTTTCCCTCAATTTAATCAACAAATAATTTCAAAAATTTTTAAAATCCAGAAAATCTTTGTGACCTACTTTAAATAAATACACATTTTCAAGAAATGTCTTCAAATAATTTTTATTTTGAAAAATATTTACTTGCAATTTTTGTTGGAATAAGTCAATCATTAATTTCTTTAATTTTGCCAAATATTTTTTTAAAAAGCCAACAACAACAATTAATTGTAGTAATTATACATTTAATTAAATATTTTTGTTTAATTTGTGGAAACTGTTTAGTTATTCCTTTTTTGTTTAATAAAAGGTTTGAAAATATTTAGTAAATAATTTATAAAAAAATTCTTACAGAAAATTGGTATACTTTTAATTTAAAATGAGATTTATTGAAACAAAATTAGGTAGTTCCATCTAGAGATGTAGGTATAAATTAGAGTTGAGCTGGATTGAGATCTCGATTTAAAATCGGAATCGGCATTTTAGAATAACGACCTCGACACTTGTACTGACTACGGGATCGTGATTGGCCAAAATCATGATCGGGATTCGGAATAATTACCCTGATACCGAATCGCGATCAGGATTAGAAAATCGTGATCGGGATTCAAAATAAACCAGGAAAACTCAACCTTAGTTTAAATTCCCACGGAATTTAAGATTAAGAGTTGCTGGTTGAGCAGCCAATTTTAAGAAACGCATTTCACTTCAATCAACGATATAAGGAGTATCAAAAAAATTTTTTTTTTTGACGGGTTAATTTCTAGAATATGAATAATAGTTGATAAATTATTATAATTTATAAACTCATTAAACATTCCTATATTCTATTTAAATTACAATAATCAGAATTTTAATAAAGTACTTAACAACTTAGTACCTAAAACTTATTTAATTTGGGATCACATGTGCCGCTATAGCTCAGCCGGTTAGAGCGTGGGTCTAATAAGCCCAAGGTCACAGGTTCGATCCCTGTTAGCGGCATATATTTTTATATTAAAAAGCTTCTTACGATTTATTAGACCCACGCTCTGACAGGCTGAGCTATAGCGGCACACGGACGATAAAATTAATTTAATTACTAAATTTTATCTTTTTTAAGTAAACTCCAAACATTAATATTTAATTATTTCATTAATGAACAACTCTCAATCAATAAAAAAATTAATTTAATTTTATTTTTAATTATTTTATTAAAATTAATTTGTTTTGGATTTTTAATTATTTTAAATGAAGAAATTAATTTATTTAATTTAAATTTATTTTTGTTTTTATTTTCAATTTTTGGTATTTGTTTATCTGATGGAATTATTCAAAGAATTTTGTTTTTTGAATTTGTCGATTTAAATAAAAATGGAAAAAATAAAATTATTTTTGTTCGTTTTTATTTTTAATAATTTTATGAGGGGTTTTCATGTATTATTTAATTTTCCCTCCTCAAGAATTTAAAAGTCTCTAAATACTTTTGGAGACAAAATGTTAAAAATTTACGATTTCCTAAAATATTTTTTCTACCAATTTTTGGGGTTCCCTAAATTTCGTAGAACGCACCAATTTTTAAAAAATTTTTACACAATTTCTCATTAATGTAAGACTAACAAATTCCTCCCAGCTTAAGCAATTAAGCAAAAATTAAAAGTCAGTGGTAGGGTTGTAGGTTTTGGACCGAACCGAACCGAAGAACCGATGATTTTTCGGTTCAGATATCCGTAGATTTTCCAAGAACAAAAATTTGGATCAGTTTACAAATGTGGATCGGAGAACTCTTATTTGTTATCCAATCCTCCCAATCCTTTCCGATTTTCTGGGATCGAGTTGTACCTGTTTTACTTTACTAAATTCTTGCTTTTAAAAAAATTGTTTAAATTTAAAAAAATAATTTAGATTTTGCTTCTATTCTCTTTCGGAACATTTTTGTCTTCTTTATTTATTAGCGAGAATCAAACTACTACATCAGCAAAGTCAAATTATTTAAAATAAAATTAAATAAAATTTATTTATTTTTTCAGTTCAACTATACCCCAACAATTTAATATTTTACAAAAATTTCCTTTAATTAAACTTTCAATTAATTTAAATTATTTAATTGGGTTTTTGTTTATTTTTCAAGTTTTCTTTTAAATTTATTTCTTATAAAAAATTTTTAAAGTTAATTTTATTAATTCCTTTTTGGCCACAAAAAGAAAAACAACAATCTTCTACAGAAATTAATTATTTGGTTGATTTAAATAAACAAAAAAATTGTAGGAATTCTTTTAATTTTTAATTTTGAAGAGGGTGGGGTGGGTAGGAGATACTCGAAACTTTCTTTTTTGTTTAGTTTTGTTTATTAGACATTTACATTTATTAGACATTTATTAGACATGAAATTTCTTCGCAAATTTCTAATCGAGGTTGAAAAGTAAAATTAACAAATTTATAGACAACTCAAGATCAGTTATACAAACTTTTTTCGAAAACCCCGATCAGAAGAAAATTTTGAAAGCCTAAATCTATTCCTGGTTAGAGATACACAAATTTCTATCAGAATTTAATTTAATAGATTAAATTAATCTTTTAATTCCAGTCAATAGAAAATGGTCAAATTATGTGGTTTTTAGAAATCTTAGAAATTTTGAAAACTTAACCCTATTCCTGGTGTAGAGATTAAACAAAACCACTTAAATTTCTTTCTCGCAAATTGACTTTTTATTTTTTGAATTTTTAATTTTAGCCCTCAATAGAAAATTGTTAAATTTTGGAGTTTTTAGACTTAAATTTTGTTTTTATTCACCTATAAAATTTAAAAGAAAGTTTACTTTCTAATTAAAATGTCTCTTTATTTTCTAGCCAACAACAACCAAAAACATCAACAAAATAATTATTCTTTCCCAAAACATTTATTATTTTATCTATCAATTTTATCCTCAATTAATTCAAGTCTTTTTAATTGTTTTGGTTATATTTTATTTGCTTTTGAAGAAAAAAATAATTTGAATAAATCGAGGGATGATTTAATTATTTTTTATGTAAAAGACTTATTTAATTTTAAATAAATTTCAAAAAAAAAATTTTTTCAAGTTTTTTTCTCTTTTTTCCTTAACATTTTTAACAATATTAAAAGAACAACAACAAAAATTTTTTAAAAGAAAATGTTTTTCTTTTTTGTTTTCTCAAAATATTCTTTTACCTATTGCTTTGGTTTGTTTGTTTTTTAATTTTGAAAACAAAAAATAATTTTTTAAACAAAAATAGGGAGGGAATGGAGGGGTGAAATATACTTTAGAGATCCTAGCAATTATTTAAAAGCTAAAAATATTTTATTAAAAATAATCAGACTAGTCTGATTGGGTCTGAAGTTTTTGACAGCCTAAGTAGCTTCGAGACTTGCTTCAAGATTTCCGAATTTTACCAAATTTAGTATCAGACTGATTCCTCTTATCGAGCTAAAGAGAATGGTACCAGAATTGTTAAGGGCTAGAAATTTTCCAGCAAGTTATGGCCGCGAGCATACTTGGACGTGGCCTTTGATTTTTTTTTAATTTTTGATTTTTTAAAGAATTAAATAATTTAAAACTTTGAAAATTTTTTTGCCAAGAATTGCTAATATTAGATAATTTTTGTTTCTTTTTCGTGCTTTAATGAATAATAAAAACCTAAGCATAAACAGAAAAAAATAAAGGTGCAAAAAAACCAAGAAAAGAATTTTTTGAATTAATTTAAATTAATTTATTTAGTTTGGTGCCGGTAGTGCTTTGTGTACTCTAAATTCTGAAATATTACATCCATTTTCTGTTTCTTTATTTGGAGCATCTTTAACAATTATTTGGCCGGCTACTTGGTTACAATTTATTAGCGAATTAAATTGTAATATTTATTATTTAAAAAAAATTTTTTTTGGGTGTCCCCTAAAAAATTTTATCTATTAAATTGCCCTAATCCACAATGCTCGAATTTTTTTTAATTTTTTGAATGAATTCTATTTATAATAATTCCAAATCCCTTAATTACACCAAATACTATGTCGGGCCAATTTATTTTTTTCGAAAATTTTGAGCGTCTATTAGAGAGTGTGTCTTTTATTAAAATATTTAATTGTTCATTACTAAAGAATTTTTATTTTAAAGATAACAACATAAAAACAATAAATAACCAAATATCAACATTTATAACAATAATATTAATTTCTTCACATTTTGGCCCATTCATTTTTCCATTTATTTTAACACAAGTAAATAAATTTTTAAAATTTTTAAATTAATTATTTTTAAGATTTATATAATTTATGGAGGTCCTGAACTTTTTACTTCAATAGAATTATTTTTTATATTTTTAATGGTTATTGCTTTTGTTTGTATTTTAAATATTCAGGCTAATCAACAACAATCTGGAAGTATTTTAATTACCTATAAATTGCTTTTAACAAACTCTTTCCTAACTAGGAAGCTTAATTAGAAGAGTAAAGCAACTGGGCTATAGCTATTTCTCTTTTTTAGCTAGTGCAAAAGGTTATTCGGCGGCTGGGAGCGACCAGCATCTTCATTAGACCGGACTGATGTTTTATCAATCACACCATGCCGCCTACTGCATAGCCTAAGGAAATAAATAGCTATATGCTTTACTTACAGAAGTTTAACTAAATTAAAAATAAGCTTGCTAACCTCGTATTATTGGATAAGCTAAGCTTAGAAAGGGTTAGATAGGAAGGGTTATGTTTTATGGCGTATTCTCATAAAAAACGTTTTGTGGTAGAAAAAATGCCAACAAATTCCAAAGAAAAAATAATTTTTAAAGGTCAATTTTGGCATTGGTTCCGTGGAGAAGGTGGTCGTCGAACACGCCGTTCTATTCGCTTATTTGTTAATAGTTTTAGAGGAAGTCTTCGACGACGGCAAAAGATTTCACGTAATCGCCAAAATAAAAGAAGAGTTGGAACTGCAGACTCTGCACTTTTAGAAGAGAGTAGTATTTGTGGTGGACATTCAGCTTTAAGTAATTATAATAGTTTTCAGGTAAAATATTTAAATTTAATGAGGTACTTTATGTGACCATGCACTATATGTCGAAACCACCAAAATGCATTCGTGAAAGTCGTCGATGATGTTAACCGTGTCGGCGACTTCAACATTTGGTGGTGTCACTCGTGTCGACGTCATTAAAGACGACATCAATTATGTCGAGAAAACGTCGTCAATCGTGTCGACACGACATTGACGACATCAATTGTGTCGAGACTACGTCATCAACTGTTGACAACGTTACCTTTGTCTGTGATATCAACCGTGACGACAATAATGAAGTCATCGTCAAACTTCGACGAATATTAAAAATAATGAAAAACAGAGATTAATTTTATTCATCTGACATAAATCAAAAAATCCTTCCCATACTTTTTCAAAAAATCAAAAGAAATAATTAGCCTTTACAATCCACCTTTACAATCCAAAATTTAATTTAATTTTTTCCAATTTTTAGACATTAAATGAACGTATTACAAACAACAATAGTCGACAAAGTAATCAAAATCGTTTATTTTCTCGACAAATGTCTGAACAACAAAGAGAAAATCTTAAAAACAATTCAAAGCCCAATTCACCCCTTTCATTACGTCGAGCACAATTTTCATTGCCTTCTATTGTAATTCATCAAGAAACGCCTACTGGAAGTAGAGGAAGTGTTAATAGTTGAAAAATTATTGGAATTCAAGTCCAATCGGATCTCATTATACATTTAATATTAGATACTCAAAATATTCACGAATTTTCAGCAGCTGTAAAGTCAATCTTTTATTCTTTTCCTTTAATTTTATTTAACTCAAAAGACAATGAAAAAAAATCTCGAAAAATCATAAATCTCGAAAAAGATTTTTAAATGTATCTAGATGATATTGGAGGTACTTTAAATAAAAAATTATATGTATTGTGTCAGTAAAGGTTTAGATTTTTTATTTTCTATAAGTTCTTTAAACCCTTAAATTAACAATATTGGAAATCTTTTTGTACCAAAAATATCGAAATATTTTTTAAAGGACGGCTTTTTGAATAACGTTTGCCCAAAAGAGTGAAGCTATGTAGTAGTTGGCAAGTTGTGGTGTTACTTAAATCAAATCCTTCAATCGCTTAGCTTTAAGAATTTAATACATAATGAAAAAATTTTATCAAAAACAAAAATAATTCACAGAGAAAAACAACTAAAAAAATAAATTTTAACCTATTTTTGGCATTTAATGAATAAAATAAATTTAATTTTAAAAATAACAAATTAAATTAAATCTGACGTCGAATCACCCCCAAGAAAACGCATATCTCTTGCATAGAAAGCGAAATTTGAAGGTGAGGTATTTCCATTATTTTTGTGTTCATTTGTTTTATTTTCAAAATCAAAGCGAATACCAAAATCTTTATCAACTTAAAAAAATTTTTTTTGAGAAAATGACTACTCCATATCAGTCCCCAAAGCACCCAAAGCGCCTTTTAGTTCCCGAGATCTTTGATTTTAAAAATAGACCCCCCTCCATTTAGTTTACCTTTCATTGGCTTTTCTCCACTTGGGTCAATATGTACAAGAGCAATTGAAGAACCGACTCTATAAAATTAAGAACCAATATTTATTTTTCCTAAATTTTAAGAAAAATTGGAACTAAATAATTTTTTATTTTGTAAATATTTTTAGAAACGGCGCCAAAACAATGAGGGATATAAGCATTTCTTCAATTATTTCAAGTAGACGGGACAGTATCTTCTATGGGTTTTTCTGATCATGTAATTGGGTTAATGGGGGTTCAGGGATCAATCCCGTTGTTTTTTGAATATTAAATACAAACTCTGCCAATTTTGGAAAGAAATGTTGATCCCAATTGCGAAGGAACGAATTTGAAATGAATAAACGTCTTCCATCTAAAGACAATTGAAGACGACAGGGGCCACCTTCATATATTTTTCCATTTAATTTTATTTGTTCTGTATTGTAACTCTTTTTAAAAGAGGGGGGTAATTAATTAATTAATTAAACAATTTATTTACCCTTTGGGTGCTTGTACTTTTCCCCAAAGGCATTTTGCCTAATTCTGAAATGCCAATACACTTGTAAATAATTCCACCAAGAAAGACCTTTAAAAAATTTTTTATAAAATTTTTAAAAAAGAATTTTAATTTTGAGTTATTTTTAATAATATTCATAAAATAAATTTGGAAAATTTAATATATGATTTTTAATTTTTGAAATTATTTTCATCCTAAAAAAGTAGGCAGATATGAAAACGAAATACCAAAACACTTGTTTGTGGTGATGGGATTGTATAGCCTTTTCAAATTTTCGAAGTACCAGTAATTCTTATTTTTCAATTCCCGATCTACCCAAACCGGGAAGCGGACCCTTTGAACACTAAAAATACTCATTCATTCAGTGATCCGATCAGTCTGTGTCGGATTGTACTATTGTGGTAAATAATCTTGCATTGCATAGAGCTCTGAGATCAAATCCCCCGCGATATTTTGCCATTTCCGGAGATGGGAAAATAGCCATATCTGTGAGGAATGCTGTGACTTCTGAACAATACTACACGCATATACTATTTAATTTTGAGTTTCTACCAGGGTGTCCCTTTTGCCTTATTTACAGGGCATTTGCCCTATTTTTGACCTTTTCGCCCTATTTTTTCCCTATTTTCTCATTTGCCATATTTTTGCCCTATTTTTGTCATCTTGTAAAATTTAAAAAATTCTTCGGATTTTGTAAAAAAAATGGTAAAAATGAAGGATTATTGACTTCCTGGCCTTCCAAAATCCTTAAAATTTTTGCCTGCGGCGCAAAAAATGGAAGAAATTTGGCTTCTTGAGCTCCAAATTTCAAAAAATTTTCGCCTGCGGCGCTGAAAATTGGAAGAAATTCTTAGATTATGTTGCGAGAATTGGGGATTTGGTCGTGAATCGATGGTACGTTATAGGTTTTTAATTGAAAAGTGGCTAATTTTGATAAAAATATCTCCTGCGTTGCGTTTTGCGTCGTTTTCGGCCTTGCGTTTCGTTTTTCTTAGTTGTATCTTGCACAATCCCTGCTCCTGATTAGTTTAATTTTATTTAAAATAGTGAAAAATATGCATAATAAAGCTTTCTTTTTAAAATTTTAAGTATTTAAAACAATGCCCTATTTTTTGCCATATTTTTGACCAATTTCGCCCTACTTTTGCCATATTTTTGCATCGCTTCGCCCTATTTTGGTGTTTTGGAAAGGGACACCCTGTTTCGACTGTGTCCACAATATAGAGGTTTTTGAATAAAAGATAGTTATAAATACCGTCTTAAATGCCGTATTTTCTCTAGAATAACCCCACCCGCTAAAATAGCCCCCCCCCCCCACTCTCTAGAAGTCGATTGAAAAAAGTAATCTTATGGGGCTATTTAGAGAAAATACGGTAGATTCTCCTTTGTTATTTTTATTTTATGAACTGAAAATTATTAATAAATATTCTTAAATAAAATTTATTAATGAAAGATTTTTTTAATATTATTTTTTAAATTCAAATTTAATAAAAGAAAATTTAATTTAGAGGTGCTGACGCTACACATATTTTCCATGCTTTTCATGAAGGCAAATAATTAATTTAAATTTAAATTAATTTTTAAAAATTTTTAAAGGTTCCAAAAAGGCTTATAAACAATTGGAAATACAAAAGGAGGTTAATCAACCTTCAACAACTTTAATTTCAACAAATACAAATTCCTCAAGGGATAAGGAAATTATTGATGATGATGATTTTGTTGTTATTAATTATGATATTTCTCCAGAAAAAGTGAGAGGACAATTAAACTGAAAATAAATAGAATAATTTATCGGGTCCTTTTTATATCCAAAAATGATTTTTTCGTTCAAGCACGTTCAAATTAATTCAACCCGAATTTATGTATCCCTTCTATATCCACAATATCTCTATTAGAGATCGACTTTTGTCAAGAGTATTGCAAAACCAAACTTTAAAAAGCGAAAAACATAAAAGGAAAAAAGGAAAACCGTGAGATTAGAACCTAATTTTTTCATATTTTCGAATACCCAAACAAAGAAATAACACGTCAAGGAATTAAAAATCAACAATTATAAAAAAAGGAAATTTACAACAAATTTATGTAAAACCATCCCTAAATTGCATATATCCAATATATCTATTATTCTCTCACATTTATTTAAAAAAATCTTTTTTTTCCCCAAAATATTTTTAAATAAATCCTTTAAAAAATTTTTTGTAGGAAATGAAAATAGTACTAGAATTTGAAGAACTTAGACAAGTAAAATAATTGTAAAATTTAATTTAATTCTCTTAATTAATTAAAAGAAAGTCCATTCTGAAGGCCTTTTACTTCCAAAACCTCTATTTTATGTCAGAAAAATATTTGAAGTTTTTTCTCTATTATTATTCGCTTTTTGGTTACAATATAAAACTTTTTATATTTTTTCTGCTTTAATACTTGGACTTACTTGGCAACAAATGGGATGGTAATTTTTATAAAATTAAAAATCAAAAGCATTTAAAATTTGTCAAAATTAACAAACAATTCAGCAATTTAGACAAACTCTCTCTCTTTTGACTAAGGATGAATATGATGAATATGTATTTATAAGGACATATTGAATCTAGAGTACGTCGAGTACCGAGTAATTAGGAAAAAACCGAGTTCGAGTAATGCCCACCAGTATTAGGATTCCGAGTTCCGAGCCTGAGTAAAAACGAAAAAAACCGATCGTTCGAGTCGAGTAGCTTGAACTCGCTCGAACTCGGACGTACTCTATAGTTGAAGCACACTTTTTTGGGATTAATAAATTATACCTTATATTACATTAAATTGCAGATCTCTATTAGGTAGCTTTCCCGATCCCAATGACCAGGCAAATTAAAAAATGCATCCTAAAGGAAGAAGTTTTTTGTAAGAAAAATTTTGGAATATTTTAAAAATTTGGGATATTTTTCTTTTAAATTAAAAGAAAAACTTTTTTTAAATAAAGGCTTTGTCACGAATGTTGTCATCACCAACCAACCAAAAATCGTCGAATTAATGACTTTTTATCTTTATTTTTGGGTAATTTCTCACAAGGATTCTCAAGGGATTGGTGGAAGGATAAGGTAAAAATTAATTAAATTAAATCTAAAAATTTATTTCAAAGCATAATTTACACCACGCAACAACAAATATTATTTCAAGGGATGGAGATATTGATTTAGCTCCATTATTAGCTTTGGTAAATTTTTTAAAGCATTTTTTTTGGAAAATATTACTAGTTTAATGACTTTTTCCTCTACTTCGAATCTTGATATGGGGAAAGAAAATTCCTAAAAAAATTTTTTTGTTAACTTTGGGAGGCTAGTAGACTGGCATCTTCAATTAAAAACTCTTTAACTTTTGTTATAAGGCCATCGGGAGATAAGCTTGGATACTTTTGTAGACTAAGTTTTGACTAGCTTCCATCTAAAAATAACACACATTTAGCGTGCAATTGTAACGAGAATTAAATTTTTTAAATTTTAAATATTTTTTAAGGTTCCAGATGATTTATTTAAACAAAAAACTTTAATTTCAAATTTAATTCTTCGTCTAATTATTCCTTACCAATACTTGTGAGTTTTAAATTTAAATTTAATTTTTTAATAGAAAAAATTCTTTGATTTTCTTCGATTAATTTTCTCAATCCTACACATATACTACTACATCTAAAAGAAATAAATTTTTGATTTATTAATTTCAATGAGAATTAAAGACCGGACTGGGAGGAGGGTCGTGCGAAAATCTCGAAAACCCCAAAAAAATTTTTCGTCTCGATAACCTGGATTTTTTTTCGAGATCTCGTCTCGGTCCGATCTTTAATGAGAATTAACTAAACAAAAATTACAAAATTGAAAAAGAAAGCTAAATTAAATTTAAAATTTATTTTAGTTATTTTACTTTAATGTATCCACTTTTACGTATTTCTTGGGTTACTCAAAGTATTCTACATTTATTTACTTCATCTAAAAGTAAATATAAAAAACATCGAAATGTTGCTTTATTTGAACAAGTAAATTAATTTTTAATTTTTAAATTTTAAATTAAAATATTCACTATAAAGTTTGCTTTATTTGGACATTGGTTTTGGGTATTTTTACAGCTTTGGTTATTACCTTCTTTTTATATTAGAATTGTTTATTTTGCTATATCTCAGTTTGGTAATTAATTATACGTAATTTTAATCATTTCTTTAATTTATCTGTGTTTATACTAACATATTGGTTTACAGCAGAGGTGAATCGTAAATTGCGAAGGTGTCAAAAATCGGAACTGCCGGAAATCGGAAATGGCTCAAAAGTCGGAACTCGGATATCGAAATTCCGATTCACCTCTGTTATACAGGCACTCGTTATGTTTTTCTCTTGGGTGATGTCTAGATATAGGGGAATTTTTATTGTTTAAAAGGGATTCGAGGAGTTCAAATAATTATTGTGAGACATATAATGTATTCATCCATTCTGCTTGGACGGATAGAGGTCTTAGAAAAACGGAAAAAGTTAAAGGGACTTAAAAGTCAGAGGTATAAAAATTTTAATTCGTCTATACTTCCTTCTATGCGGGGAATATGACGGTAATTATTGTTTAAGGAATTTTAGCCTAGGTAAAATGTGTATGATACATCCGAATCAAAATTTTTTTATCCCGTTTAAAAATTTATCAAAAAAATTCTTTTTAATTTTAAAAAAGTTGCCGGAACATTAATTGCTTTAGTAGTCTCTTACAACCACAATTCTGTACCTAAATTTCCAGAAAATTCTGGTTTATTAAATAATTTTGCTGCTTTACATATTTTAACTACGAGAAATATGAAAAGCTCTCCGTTAGTTTTCTACAAAAATAAATTTATTTAATTAATTATTTTTGTAGTTTTGTTGATTGGTTTTGGGGTGGACTTAATTTTCAGGTAAAAATTAACTCCTTAAAATAAAATAATAGAAAGAGTTTTTGCAAAAGTTTAGCCACCGGGCAGGATTCGAACCTGCGACCACCTGCTAGTTGTTGCTAGGCGCTTTCGCTCACTATATGCAGGAGCTCTACCTCTGAGCTACCGGGGCATCGACTAATGCTTTCTCTTTTTCCTTTTTAGATCGTTTATCCCCCGCCTAAGCGTTTTAAATGCTGCTAGGTGAATCATCCTTACATAATTTAGGTGAGATTTAAATTTTTTTAATCTCGGTCCTCGCTAAAGGATAATCAATTGTTATAATCTCAATCGCAAGCTCTTTAAAATTTCTATTATTTTATGATTTGTCAGTTTATATCCTTTAATACTCACTGAATTAAAGCTTCTGTATGTTAAAAAATCAAAAAAATTTTATCCGTTGCTTGAATAAGCAAAAATAAGCTTTTGAGGAAGCATGCATTAATGATTTTCGTTGTCTTTGTTATTTTCTCTGTACACACCATTCACATGGTGTATTTTGTCAATTAATAAATTTTTTATGATTGTCCTTCCAAAGGAAAACACACTTTTGACTAGTTAGGGTCTAGCCAGCCAATAGCTATCCTTAAGTAATGTGCCTAGGTGACATAATGGTCCCATCAATTCCATCCACTTTACTAAAATTTATTATAAATTTAATCTAAAAAAAGATTGAACACCATTTATTTCCAACAATGCCTAGACCAAATTTGGGAAGATGTTCTCAATTAATTCGCCAATTTTGTAAAAATAATCAACTTCCTTATATGGAAGATGATTTTTTTACTGGATATTTTGCTAGTTTAAAGTATAATTTTATTTTTTAATTTTCTAATTTTTATTTTAAAAGGTTATTACATAAAGTTTCTAAACAGGCAATTAAAATTAATAAATCTTCCAACTAACAAAAAAAATATTTTTAAAAGAAATTATTGGAATAAATTTATTTTTAAATTAAATTTTGTTGTTATTTTTTGTTTGATAAATATTTAATTTTAAAAAAAGATTAAAACAGTTAAACTCAATTGTTAATGATTAGAGCAAGGAATTTTATGCATTATAAAATGCAAAATATGCACTATAATTAAGTTTTCTACTCTATTATATAATTCCTGTTTTTGTATTTTTATTATTTTTTAAAATTTCCTCAATTAATTTTCGATTAAATTTTTTAAATAAAATATTCTTAAAAAATATTATAGTATTTTTATTGACGCTATTTGACTATTAAAAAAGGAAAGCTAAAGTAAATTAAAAAAAGATTTAAAAAAAAAGAGAAAGGATTTATATTGATAAAAGTTAATCCTTTAAGCGAAGGAATTTCACACTGTTGGATTTAATACGTTTGGGGCTCTTATTGAATAGACAAATGAGAAAATATAGATATGACAATTTACAAGTATATTCTGATTAGTTTACCTAAAAAATGTTCTTATTCCGAGCAGGTAGACTATACAAGTCTAAAAACCAACGATAATAACGCTAAAATGTATTGCCCCCTTCTGGATCCGAAAACTAATTCATGGAACTGGAAGGTTTTAGTTAAATTAATTTTTACATCATCAAAAAATAGGTGTCTATATGTCTAATCTATATGTCTGCTAAATCCTCATAATTTAATAACTCTCCTTTGATTTTTAGTTGATTTTTGGCCTCAAGACAAAATTTTAGATAGTTGCGCTAAAATGAGTAATTATATTTTCTTAGCCAGAAGATATCAGAATTTTTATCATTCAGTAACTTTATGTCAGAACATGCCCGCATATACTACTACTAAATCCTCAAAAGAAACTTATTAAATTCTAATGATGTAAAAAATTCTTTTTGATGTTTTTAAAAATGTATTTATTTAAATGATGTAGTATAGGCACATTTCTTTTTGAAATAATTTAGAAGAAACCCTTTCAAGAAAATTCCAAAAAAGATTTTTAGATTGACGTAGAAAATAGAAAAATTATTAAACCAAAAGAAATTTAATTTGTAGAAATAAGGAAATGAAAGTGTTCTTTTTCTTCTTTTTAAATTCCAATAGTTTATCCAACATTATCTAAATAACTATATTTCTTTTAAATTTTTAATAAAATATTTTTTATGGTTTTTGGCCTTCCAAAATTTTATTCTCTTCAAAGACGAATTTTTTCAAAAAAAATTTCTTTACCTCAATTTCATCAACAAATTTTTTTAAAATCCAAGAAAACTTTGTGACCTATTTTAAATAAATACTCATTTTCAAGAAATGTCTTCAAATAATTTTTATTTCGAAAAATATTTACTTGCAATTTTTGTTGGAATAAGTCAATCATTAATTTCTTTAATTTTGCCAAATATTTTTTTAAATAACCAACAACAACAATTAATTGTAGTAATTATACATTTAATTAAATATTTTTGCTTAATTTGTGGAAATTGTTTGGTTATTCCTTTTTTGTTTAATAAAAGGTTTGAAAATTTATAAATAATTTAATTATAAAGATGTTCTTCCAAAAAACTGATGTATTTCTAAGTTAAAATGAGATTTATGGAAAACAAGATTAGGTAGTTCCATCTAAAAGATGAAGATATAAATTAGAATTGAGCGGGATTGGGATCGGCATTTTAGAATAATTTTAGAATAATTAGAACCGGTGCCGACTACGGGATCGGGATTGGCCGAAATCATGATCGGGATTTGGAATAATGACCCTTCAAAATAAACCTGGAGTATAAAATTCCACGAATTTAGAAATTGAGAGTTACTGGTTGACTAGCCATAGGAAGCTCATTCCATCTTCAAACATACGATTAGTCTAGTGCTAGATTAGACAACCGTTTCATCTCTCTAATTAACTATTTTTTGTCAAATTATTTAAGTACTCTCGTCACACAATTAGCCAAAAGATATAGTTAATTAGTTGTATAGGGAGGATACGATTAACTACACCGGAGATCAGATTCTGCCTTTGGGAGTTTTGTTGGATATATTGTCTTATTTAAATCGGGGTGACGTTATATCAAAAAAAAGACATAAGGAGTATCAGAATTTAATAAATTATTAAAATTTTAATTTTCTTTTTAAGTAAACTCTCAATAGTAATATTTAATTATTTTATTAAAGAACAACAACAACAACTCTCAATTAACAAAAAAATTAATTTAATTTTATTTTTAATTATTTTATTAAAATTAATTTGTTTTGGACTTTTAATTATTTTAAATGAAGAAATTAATTTATTTAATTTAAATTTATTTTTGTTTTCATTCTCAATTTTTGGTATTTGTTTATCTGATGGAATTATTCAAAGAATTTTGTTTTTTGAATTTGTCGATTTAAATAAAAATGGAAAAGATAAAATTATTTTTGTTTGTTTTTTATTTTTAATAATTTTATGAGGGGTTTTTCAAGTATTATTTAATTTTCTCTCTTCAATAATCTAAAAGTTTTGGAGACAAAATATATTAAAAATTTATGATTTCATAAAATATATTTTCTATTAATTTTTGGGGTTTCCTAAATTTCGGGAATCATGCCTAGTTTAAAAAAAATTTTACACAATTTCTCATAACTGTAAGCCAACGAAATTTCCTCCAAGTCTTAAAGCAATTAAGCAAAAATAAAGTTAGTGTCGATTGGGGGGTTGTGTGTGTTAACAAATTTGGATCGGAGAATTCTTATTTGTTATCCAATCCTTCCAATCCTTTCCGATTTTCTGGGATAGATGGGTGCCTGTTTTACTTAACTAAATTCTTGCTTTTAAAAAATCGTTTAAGTTCTAAAAAATTAATTTAGATTTTGCTTCTATTCTCTTTCGGAACATTTTTGTCTTCTTTATTTATTAGCGAGAATCAAGCAACGGCAAAGTCAGATTTATTTTAAAAAAATTTTAAATAAAAATTTATTTATTTTTCAGCTCAACTACTATCGGTACTTTGTTCATATCCCGCCCCCCACCCCTATTTGAGTCTCAGATTAATTTTCCTTCTTTGCTTTCAATCATTTATTTTCCTCCTTTTTTAATGCCCATCATTTTCTTCCCTCACATATAGGACACCCAAAATGGCGCGCGGCCATAATGGCGCAAACCCATAACTTGCTGGAATAATTTTGACTCTTGTCATTTTTGATATCAATTTCTTTAGCTCGTTGAAATGAATCTTTTAATATTACTTTTGTTAAGGTTCGAAAATCTTGAAGCAAGTTATGGCTTTGCGCCGTTATGGCCGAGCGCCATTTTGGGTTTTGAGTGAAGAAAATGATGGGCATTAAAAAAGGAGGAAAATAAATGATTGACAGCAAAGAAGGAAAATTAATCTGAGACTCAAATAGGGGTGGGGGGCGGGATATGAACAAAGTACCCTACTATCCATCAACAATTTAATATTTTACAAAAATTTCCTTTAATTAAACTTTCAATTAATTTAAATTATTTAATTGGGTTTTTGTTTATTTTTCAAGTTTTTTAAAATTATTTTTAATTTATAATAATTTTTTAAAGTTAATTTTGTTAATTCCTTTTTGGCCACAAAAAGAAAAACAACACCAACAATCTTCTACAGAAATTAATTATTTGGTTGATTTAACTAAACAAAATAATTGTGAGAAAAAAATTTTTATTTTTTAAATTTCGGAGGGATTGGTGTAGGAGAGGTACTCAAAAATTTTCTTTTTTTTTAAAAAATAGATTTTTCAGTTTTGTTTATTAGACTCGGAATTTTTTCGCAAGTTTTTAATCGAAAAGTTGAAAAGTAAAATTAACAAATGTGTAGACACAAACACACTCAAAAGCAGATGCTCGTATACTTTTTTTGAGAACCCCGATCAGAAGACAATTTTGAAACCCACCCCTTGTATAAGGATTAAATACACAAATTTCTGTCAAAAGTTAATTTAAATAGATAAATTAATTTTTTAATTTTAGCCCTAATAGAAAATTGTTAAATTTTGGAGTTTTTAGATTTTAATTTTGTTTTTATTCTAAATAAAAAATTTAAAAGAAATTTTTAATAAAAATGTCTCTTTATTTTCTAGCTAACAACCAAAAACAACAAAATAATTATTCTTTTCCCAAACATTTATTATTTTATTTATCAATTTTATCCTCATTTAATTCAAGCCTTTTTAATTGTTTTGGTTATATTTTATTTGCTTTTGAAGAAAAAAATAATTTAAATAAATCGAGGAATGATTTAATTATTTTTTATGTAAGAGACTTATTTAATTAATTTTAAAAAAAATTTTTTTTCAAGTTTTTTTCTCTTTTTTCCTTAACATTTTTAACAATACTAAAAGAACAACAACAAAAATTTTTTAAAAGAAAATGTTTTTCTTTTCTATTTTCTCAAAATATTCTTTTACCTATTGCTTTGGTTTGTTTTTTTAATTTATGTAGAAAAAAAAATTTAAATAAAAATCTGGGCCCGTAAAATAAGAACTCAGTCACCTGACGATGGTTACTTGACCATGGTCACCTAACCATCGTTAAATAACCACAAGGTCATTGTAAACCGGTAAAATAGGAAAATCGCGTGGTTAACCCTACCTTAAATAATTTTTGTTTCCTTTGTTTGGGCTTTAATGAATATTTTAAATCTAAGAATTAACGGGGAAAAAACAAAGGGACAAGAAAGACATTAAAAGGAATCCTTTAAATTAATTTAAAATATTTATCTAGTTTGGTGCCGGTAGTGCTTTGTGTACTCTAAATTCAGAAATATTACATCCATTTTCTGTTTCTTTATTTGGAGCGTCTTTAGCAATTATTTGGCCGGCTACTTGGTTCCAATTTATTGGCGAATTAAATTGTAAAAATTTATTTCTTTCATTATAAAAAATTTTAAATAAAAATTTTTTTATTGGTTGTCCCCTTAAAACAATGCTCGAATTTCCGCAATGCTCGAGTTTTTTTCTTTTAAATTTTTTAAAATAATTTAATTTATTTAATAATCTCCAAATCATTTAATTACACCAAATACTTTTTGAGGAGCCGATTTATTTTTCCGAAAATTTTGGGCGTCTATTAGAGAGTGTGCCTTTTTATTAGAATATTTACTTGATTATTACAAAAAATTTTTGTTTTAAAGATAACAACATAAAAACAATAAATAACCAAATGTCAACATTTATAACAATAATATTAATTTCTTCACATTTTGGCCCATTCATTTTTCCGTTTATTTTAACACAAGTAAATATTTAAAATTAATTTTTAAATAAATTATTTAAAGATTTATATAATTTATGGAGGTCCAGAACTTTTTACTTCAATAGAATTATTTTTTATATTTTTAATGGTTATTGCTTTTGTTTGTATTTTAAATATTCAGGCTAATCAACAACAATCTGAAAGTATTGAAAATATAAATTGTTTTTAAATATATCGAGCTTCCCCTTTTAACAAATTTTTTCCCAACTAGGAAGCTTAATTAGAAGCTTGGCTAAATTTAAAAAAAGCTTTCAGTTTTCTTATTGGATAAGTTAAGTTTAGAAAGGGTTATGTTTTATGGCGTATTCACTAGGGATGGATTTTCTTCCGCTTCCGTCTTCCCCCTTCCATCTTTTTTGTGTCTTCCGCCTTCCGCTTTTTTATTTTCTTCCGCCTTCCGCTTTTTAAAATACAAAATTATCCATCCTTGGTCCATACTTGGTATAAAATAGTAATGGGAATGAGGAGAGGAAACTTCTTTTGAATTGCCATTTTTAAGTCGTAAGACGCAAGTTATGTGAACATGCCATTATTGAAACTCGAAATATTTTTAGATGGGTAAATTGGTTTTTCTAGAAAACAGGAGGAGCCATATAATCCGAAACGAAATATATATTCATAAAAATAAACACCAACAAATTACAAAGAAAAAATAATTTTTTAAAGGTCAATTTTGGCATTGGTTCCGTGGAGAAGGTGGTCGTCGAACACGCCGTTCTATTCGCCTATTTGTTAATAGTTTTAGAGGAAGTCTTCGACGACGACAAAAGGTTTCACGTGGTCGTCAAAATAAAAGAAGAGTTGGAACTGCAGATTCTGCACTCTTAGAAGAGAGTAGTATTTGTGGTGGACATTCAGCTTTAAGTAATTATAATAGTTTTCAGGTAAAATATTTAAATTTAATGAGGTACTTTATGTAATCGCCAAACGCATTCGGGAAAGTCGTCGACGATGTTATCCGTGTCGGCGACGTCAACCGTTGATGGCGTGACTCGTGTCGAAGTCATTAACGACGACATGAATTGTGTCGAGACTACGTCGTCAATCGTGTCGACACGACATTGACGACATCAATTGTGTCGTGCTCACGTCGTCAACTCGTCGACACGACATTGACGACATCAATTGTGTCGTGCTCACGTCGTCAACGTGTCGACACGACGTCGACGACATCAATTGTGTCGAGACTACGGCGACAAGCGTGTCGAACACATAATCAAGTACGACGAAAATAAAAATAATGGAAAACGGAGATTAACTTTATTCATGTGACTGCTGATAAATAAAATAACCCCTCCCATACTTTTTCAAAAAATCTAAATTTTTATAACTCACGATCCAAAATTTAATTTTTTCCAATTTTTAGACATTAAATGAACGTATTACAAACAACAATAGTCGTCAGAGTAATCAAAATCGTTTATTTTCTCGACAAATGTCTGAACAACAAAGAGAAAATCTTAAAAACAATTCAAAACCCAATTCGCCCCTTTCATTACGTCGAGCACAATTTTCATTGCCTTCTATTGTAATTCATCAAGAAACGCCTACTGGAAGTAGAGGAAGTGTTAATAGTTGAAAGGAGTTATTGAATTCAAGTCTAATCGGATCTCATTATACATTTAATATTAAATACTCACAATTTTTCAACGGCTGTAAAGCCAATCCGTTAATTCTTTTCCTTTAATTTTATTTAACTCAAAAGATCTCCTAAATCTAGAAAAAGATTTTTTAAATTTATTTAGATGATATTGGAGGTACTTTAAATAAAAAATTATATTGTGTCAGTGAAGGATTTGATTTTTTATTTTCTATAGAGTTCTTTAAACCCTTTAAATTTTTTAACTCCTCTTGGACGTCTTTCTTAAAGGACGGCTTTTTGAATAACGTTTGCCCAAGAGAGTGAAGCTATGTAGTAGTTGACAAGTTGTGATGTATATCACTTAAATCAAATCCTTCAATCGCTTAGCTTTAAGAATTTAATACATAATGAAAAAATTTTATAAAAAATAAAAATATTCACAGAGAAAAACAACTTTAAAAAAATAAATTTTAACCTATTTTTGGCAATTAATGAATAAAATAAATTTATAAAAAAATAACAAATTAAATTAAATCCGAAGTAGAATCACCCCCAAGAAAACGCATATCTCTTGCATAGAAAGCGAAATTTGAAGGTGAGGTATTTCCATTATTTTTGTGTTCATTTGTTTTATTTTCAAAATCAAAGCGAATACCAAAATCTTTATCAACTTAAAAAAATATTTTTTTTATAGACCTCAACGTTTGCGTCCATCCCAAAGCAAACACAAACGACCTCATAACCCTACACACCTTTTAGTTCCCTTGATGACCCCCTTTAAAATTGACCCCCTTCCCATCCCGAGATCTTTGATTTTAAAAATGACCCCCCCACTCCCCCATTTAGTTTACCTTTCATTGGCTTTTCTCCACTTGGGTCAATATGTACAAGAGCAATTGAAGAACCGACTCTATAAAATAGAAATATTATGAACTAATATTTTCCTAAACTTTAAGAGAAATTGGAACTACATACATATAAGTAATTTTTTTATTTTGTGAGTATTTTTATAATTCATTGCCAAAACAATGAGAGATGTAAGCATTATTGCAATTATTTCAAGTAGACCGGACAGTATCTTCTATGGGATTTTCTGATCCTGTAATTGGGTTAATGGGGTTTCCGGGACCAATCCCTGTTGGATCCCAAACTTTAAAAAATTTAAATATTAAATACAAACTCTGCCAATTTTGGAAAGAAATGTTGATCCCAATTGCGAAGGAATGAATTTGAAATGTATAAACGTCTTCCATCTAAAGACAATTGAAGACGACAAGGCCCACCTTCATATATTTTTCCATTTAATTTTATTTGTTCTGTATTGTAACTCTTTTTAAGAGAGGGGAAATTAATTAATTAATTAATTAAACAATTTATTTACCCTTTGTGTGCTTGTACTTTTCCCCAAAGGCATTTTGCCTAATTCGGAGATACCAATACATTTGTAAATAATTCCACCAAGAAAGACCTTTAAAAAATTTTTTATAAGAATTTAAAGGAATTTTCAAATTTTCAAGTTATTTCTAATAATATTCATAAAATAAATTTGGAAAATTTAGAAGATTTTTAATTTTTGAAATTATTTTCATCCTAGAAAAGTAGGCAGATATTAAAACAATCAGTTAGTGATGGGATTGTATAGCATTTTCAAATTTTCGAATTACCATTAATTCGTATTTTTCAATTACCGATCTACCCGAACCGGAAAGCGGACCCTCTGAACACTAAAAATACTTTCAGTCAGTGATCCGAACAGTCACTGATGGGATTGTACTATTGTGGTTAACAATCATGCATTGCATAGCTCTCACATTCAGAATTAAATCCCCTGCGATCTTTTGCTATTTCCGGAGAAGGGTTCGGCCGCTTACTACATCGTATATATATTTAGTTTTGAGTTTCTACTAAATCCTAAGTTCCAGAAAATTTGTTTTTTTTTCATGTTTATTAAAAGACAAAAAAATTCAGTTTAAAATTTTAAATTAATTTTCTCACTTTCTGTGTCAAAGAAGGTCTAAAAGGATCAGAAATATCCAATTGAGCAACAAATCCATGAAATGCCGCACACACATATAAATTTAAATCGTCCATAGAAATAGCCATATCTGTGAGGAATGCTGGGACTTCTGGACAATTTCCTGGCCAGTCAGTAGGCCCAATTGTGACGGGAGAAAAAGAAACAATTTTATCAGCTATAAATTGTCCACTTCTCGTACATTTGTGTAAATGATAGATGGAACTTCCAATTGAGGTACAAACAAAGCCGTGAGTTAATTCTGCATGATGTAACATTCTAATACATACAGGCCATAATCCTCCCTCTTCTGGATTTAGTCGAATCTTTTTTTGTTTAAATAAGTTTTGAATAAAAGAATTGAAATTGTATGACTTTTATTTGTTTTTTGATTAATTTGTTAAAAATGGGGTGGGGTTTTCGAGTCGGGCCGACGTTCGAGTCAATTTTTCGGGATTCATTTTTATCGGGCCGGCCCGACCGAGTCTTTCTCGGACCAAAATTCGATGCCCGACTCGATCTTTCGGACCGGACCCCCAACCCTAGTTAAAAATATCCATCCCCTTCTAATTCAAAAGTCGTTGAAAAGGTGCCGTGTGATTTCGACAGAAGTGAATTAGGCAGTGAGTTAATTGGGCAGTGAGTGATTTGGGCAGTAACCGTTGTTTGAGTCTTGAACTTAAAAATTTCCAAAAATAGGTGGGTGATAGTGGAACCGGAGACGTGTTTAGCCACCCTTCTCTTTTTGTTTAATTCTATTACGATGCCAACTTGTCTTTATAATTATTCATTTTTAAAAAATTCAAGTAAAATATACTTAACGCCGAGATTACGCATAATTATTCTTCTAGTGATACTCGAATTGTCTTTTTGTGAAAGAAAATTTTTTTAAAAAACGTTTACTGCCTAAATCACTACTGCCCATATCACTCACTGCCCAAATCATTCACTGGCGAAATCACCAGACACGGTTGAAAAATAGGTAATAATTTTAAGTAGGGAATGTTTCAAAAATTATTTTTGACTAATTTTAAAGTAAATTAGGCTCAATTTAAGTAAAAATAGAGTTTAAAAGCCAAAGACGGAACAAGAGAGATTTTCAAGCAATTAATGGCCTACTAAAATTTTGACTTTTTAGAATCTAATCTTATTTTTCAATTTCTGATCTAACTGAATCGGGAACAGGACACTCTAAACACTAAAAATACATATATTTTTTAATAAAATTACAGTTTGAATTAGTTTTCGTCTTCGCATTTCCCAAACTAAAAATTTAATATTTAAAAATAAATTCCAACTAATTAATTAATTACCATTAATTCCACATCCATAAATTGTATTTGGCTCATCATTTCCATTTAAATTTTGTTTAAGACTGGGTTTTTGTTGAAATATTTGATCGAGATTACCCCATTCTGTTGAAAATACCTTTAAATTGGGAAATTAATTTTTTTATTTTTTTAAAGACTTGAGGGGAATGTATTTTCTATAATTAAATTCTCTCCCTACACCTTGCATTTCTCAACAATTTAAATACCCTCAGAAAGTAAAAAAATTTTATTTTTGGTAAATTTAAAATAACGCTCTTGATATTCACGGCCCCCTTAAATGTTATAATTAGAGCCCAGTTAGAAGGGTCGATCGGCATTTTTCATTTAAATATCGAAGAAATCGAGATCGAAAATATTGTATCTAGTTCTGTAACATTTATGGTTGTGGTAACAATTTAACTTGTTACAATCAGATCCACCCTGAACATTGTGTTTTCCACTAGAATATTATTCCCAAAATAATCCTTAAAGGATTTTAACTCAAATGTATGACAACAAAGACAGATATGTATAATTAACAAAATATAACTCAAAAACCCAGAAAAATGCTCAGTTACCCTCCACAACTTAAAAATCAGTTTTTAAAATCCAAAATTAATTTGTTCTTACCACTCCATTCCTCAAACTGATTGCTAAAAATTAAAATTAAAAAATATATTTATAAATATAAATTTCCCTAACCAAGTGTTCCCCCAAACATTGGAAATTTAAATTTTTGGCCATTAGTTGCGAAAGAATTTGTTGTTGTAGTTGTAGTACTTTCTAAGGAAATAACTGCAGAATTAGAGAATGTAGAAGTTCCAGAATTAATTGAAGATTCTCTTTAAATTTGTTAAAAAATTTTCAAAAAAATTTATTTTCTTCACCTATCTTCGGATGTAATGGAACGTTTTCTTCTATCAACTGGGCAAAATGTTCGCCTATCCAATCGTAACAAATCACCTATAAATTGAAAATAAAATTGGAAAGAATTCTTTTAAAAAAACCTTTGCAATGCCCACTTCTATCAACTGTAGTAACTAACAGAAGAGGAATGGCATTTGATCGAACGGCACTGTTTGAACAAACACTTAATGGGGCACCTTTGAAAAAATTGTTTTTTTTGTTAAAGCTTCTTCAGGTTTTTTAGCCCCAATTCAATTATATTAGAGTGAACTTCTTTGATATGCTAACCTCGGGACCGACAGAACCGAAGTGTATTGGCGAGATTATACTTCGGTTCCGAAGTATAATGGCGGATTTTTTGAATGTTCCGGAATGTTTTTTCCAACTCTCGTTTTGAATATCCCTCTATTTCCTTATTTTAATTTCTACCATTAAAAAAAGTTTTTGGAGAAAGATGTTTTAATTAAGAGAGAAATTTCCCATTATTTTCTTTTTTTAGTTGTTTCCATTTAAGGGTGACAAAAAAGTGACCGGGCAGTTTATTTTTGGCATAACTTTATTCAACTTATAGGTAATAGGATCAAATCAAGCTTTTATGATAGAGAATTAAGGAACAAATATACATAATAATGTTTGATTAACTAAACTGGAAGGGAAACTTTATCGTCCTTAAACATGCTACACTATAAAAGCTGATTTTTTAATCCAAGCTCAATCTCCTTCTTCATCGACTACTCATCATCAGCTCACCAAACACGAAGGTATCTTCATGTTTATTTTATTCCTTAAATCCAAATTTTATGTCTTTTTAGGTACGGGAATATGTCGGGTCTAAAGGAACGTCCTGTATACAAAGAGATTAGACGCTTCCGCAGCCGTCAAGCATTTCTCTATTGGTGGAAGGATAATGAAGAGGTTGGTTGGAGAATCAATTCTCGCAATCCTAGTCGTGAAGGTACTGTTGAATATTGGAAATGCGCGGTGAGTGACTAGAAATGACTCTAAGTTTCAAAATTTTCTCTTTTTTTCAGTTCAAACAGGACAAAGTTTTTGCGTGTTTGGCCAGTTTGCGCATCGTTTTTGGACGTCATGATCGCTTTGTTACTGTTGCTCGCAATATTATGCGTCCACATTGTCACACACAAATACGCGGATTGAAGGTGAGTAAGGCCTGATTTTTGTTGAGTTTTATTGGACCTTCAGTCAAGAACCGCCAGTTAATTGTCAAAAGATTAAGAAAGGGGGCCTTCCTTTCATTAAAAGATTTAAACATTTTAATCTTATCTATTTAAGGGTGAGGAAGAAGAACGCTTATTCCAAGAGGTGGCGGCTTTTCCTATGCAAACAGCGCAAATCCTTCACTTCCCCTCACAACCAGCAGGAACGGAAGGACCTTCTGAAAACCCTACAGCCGATTCCGCACTTCCCACAGCAATCGCGATTGAGATGGATGACCCGTCAACATCAGCGACTGATCAGCCTCAGACGGGAATGGCGACAGTTGCCAATCGGCCTAATAACACCCCTGGTACTTAGGCTTCTACAACGACTCATGCTTCTTGGTGATGATAGAAAGAATAGGCAAAAACTATAGGAAGAGAATAAAAAGACATAGTTTGTATATAAATTGTATGTATATGAATATTCCTTGTTATGTAAATTGTAATATGTCGTATAAATTGTATTGCAATAAGATTTATATTAAAATGACACCCTCTAGGAGAACATTGAATGGGTAGAATTGAATTAGGTATGACACGTTTTACGGTATACCAACCAATTTTTTTATCTCTTAGAAGGGAATGGAGTAGAATGTTAAAAATCTACAATTCGAGCCCTTCAGTTGATAGCTACTAATCTAACTGATGGAAAAATTTTAAGCCGGACTTGACATTAAAAGAGAAACTTTTCCTTCCTCTAAAATTCACTAGGGTTTAGTAAAATAATAACTCAATTTAAAAAATTATTATTATTTAATTACCTAAATCCCATCTAGACAATTCTTCTCGTGTAATGCACTAAAAAATTTTGTAAAATTAATTTGTTCATTTATTTGCCTCCCCACCAGAGAACCTTTTGAATTCGTATATGTGTAGATATTGCTGAAGAAGAACTTTCAGCTTGTTTTTGGGCTTTTAAACTTCCATTTTCTGACCCATTATTTAATGTTGCATCCATTAATTTAAGTATATAAATTCTTGAATGTGAAGGAACGGGGACTATTAACTTTAAAAAAAAGGAGAGATTAATTTTAAGTTCCATTTACCGTATATACTCTATTAATTATCCTGGGTAATTATTTTTTCGACCTCTGAAGAGGGTAGTTGATAGAGGCGGGATAATTAATAGAGGTTATATTTTATGAAGGCTTATATCTATTTTTAAGGGGGTAATTATTGTTTCAACCTTCCGCGGAGGGAGAGGGGGGTAAATAATAAAGGCTGGGTAATTATTTGAGGGAGGGTAATTAATAGAGTATACGGTAGTTTTTTAGAAATTCTAAATACTGTAAATTGTTGATTGTTTTGTGGAATATCAGTTTCGTCGGAGTGTAATAAAGATTGCGTATTTCTTATACAAGCGAGCGAATATAGCTAAAAAAGAAATGGGGGTAATAATTAAAATTTCACTGGAAGTTCCGGTTCCGGAAAGTTCCGGCGGTTTTTTGGTTCCGATCAAAATTTCATTACCGATGAAACACTAGGAATAATGTTTTGTTAAGAATTTTCTACCTCCTCTCCAGGCATTGGCAAACTTAAACGACAAATAATTTTTCCAAAATTTGTGCTAGCCAGGTCAACATCAATCAAAACTAATTGTGAAGGATTTTCTACATTACAACTAACCAATAGAACAACCATTCTTTTTTCTCTTTCAAATATGGACTTGAAAAAAAAAATTTTCTTTAAATTTTTAATAAAAAGACACTCTCTAATAATAAGGAAATGTTTGGGGAGAGAAGTGGTATCAGGGAAAATGTCGTCTAGATTTCCGATGATCAGGGATTTATTTTTTATGTCAGCACTTTCCTTGTTATTTACTAGGACAGTGAAAAATTAGACGGCTATTTGCCAAATTTATGAATTATATAGCTTCCTTTAACCAGAAATACAAAACCCCTCCAGGGGCCTATTTCTCCCCTCCACAGATTCTGCGGATGCGTAGAAATGAAATTTCCACAGAATCTGCGTTCTGTGTACAGAATGCAGAGTCAGCTGAGGGGAGAAATAGGCCCCAGATATTTTAGCCAAATCCTTGGCCACCATTCCCCCCCCCCTCCCCATAGCCAACCATCCCCCCACCTGGCCACCCATTTTCCCCTTTAGCGTTTTAATTCAAAATTTTATTTAAAAATTAATTAAACAAAAACCTCATCAGAAACAATATTAGCTATATTCTTTTGTAATTCATTTGTAGGTAACAAATTTAAATCCGAATCTTTCTTTTCTAATTTCGAATCTAATTTATTTATTGTATTCTTTTTAATTAATAAAGGTTTTTCTTTTAATATTGGTGATAATTTTAATGAGGAAGCTTGCCTTACAATTAAACGTTTTTTTGTTGACTTGAAAATTTTTATAATAAAAAATTGTACATATTTTAATTTTTAATTTTACCGAACAAACACCCATTTTTTGTATTTTTATATTTTAAAGGCACAATTCAAAAATTAATAAATTTTTGGCTTAAATTATGTTTTGAAATTACTGAAAAATAAAAAAATAAATTTTAAAGTTGTTTAAATTAATTTTGGGTTCTTAAAGGAATTCTTTGTGAAAAAAGAAAGAAATTTTAGAGAGACTAAATTAAAATTAATTTAGGTATATTTGATTTTAAAACATATGGTTGTGGAGGTATGAGACCGTTTTTACGAGAGGTATGTCAAATCAAGGTTAGTTATAATAGATATTTTCCGGAAGTTCCGGCATTTTTTATGCCGGTTCCGGGATCCGGAACTCTAATTGGATCCGGTTCAGGTTCCAGTTAAAATTTCGGTTCCGGTGAAGCACTATTAATTAAAGAGAGAGAGAGTTAACCCCATAAACATAAACTCCAATTTTGTTTGTTTTACAATTACTTTTGGTTAAAAAGAGTTTAGAAGGATATTAATTTAAAACCCTCCCACTGTTTAGCTCTGCAAAATTAAAAAGAACTAAAAAACGTGAAAAATACAAATCCCTTTCAAATCTCTTTTCCAGGCTTACTTAGTCATCAAAAACATCAAAAAATATTGTAGAAAATAATTTTATTTACATATTAAAAATATTTTAGTAAAATAATAAAATAATTTTTTTAATAAAATTTGATTTAAATATTTAGTATGTAAAAAGGCGCTTAAATAAAGCAATTTATTTAATTGACACCCTCACATTCTTTTAAAAAAATATTTTTTAAATTAATTAAAAAGCTGCCCAGGAATGTGTAGTTAATTGGAATTAAGGAGATATTTAGAGGATTAAATTTAAAAAGAATGTTTGTGGGGGGAGGGGAGGGAGGGAGGTTTAATTAAAGTTGTAAATATTTATTAATTACCTTATTAAATAAAAATAAATTTATTTAAAAAACCAATTAACTAATGGATTTGTTTTGTTAATCCTATTTTCGGAAGTAAAAAAAGGGAAAATTTTTAGATTAAAGGGCTAAATAAATGAAAAAAAAAGATTTTATGAAAAGATGGTAAACATTTACAGTAATTTTTGGGGTTTTGATTAGAGAATTTAATTTTTTGAAGAAAATTCTTTAAAAAGAAAATTTGAGTGAGTTAAAATTTAAAATTCAAATGATTAAAATTAGAGACCGGACCGAGAACATAATCTCGATCGAAAATCTAGGTTATCGAGATCGAGAATTTTTCGTGATCTCTAATTTGATTCTCGTACAACACTCCCAGTCCGGTCACTAATTAAAATTGGTTTTCTTTCTAATTTTTGTAATTTTTAGGAGAGTTCCAATCAAAATTCATTTGTCTCTTTAAATCTAAAGTAGAGGCGGTATCAGAACGATAGCTCAAACGAAAACTAAGTTATCGAGATCAAGATTTCCCGAAACATTTCGAATGATTCTCGTATGATACTCTTAATTATTAACTCTTAATCAGTCTCTGAATCTTTAAATATAGAATTCTAATTAATCCTAATTAATAATATGATTCAATAATAGAATTTAATTTTTTGAGAGAGGTACTTTCACTATAAATAAATTGCCAATATAAATAGATAGTTTTTCAGGCAAAATTCAACAACCTAAAAAACCTCTAACATACATAAGAATGATTCAAAATAAAATTTTTTATTTTTTATTTGCTCTTTTAAATAATTTAAAAACAAAAAATATATAAAAATTAAGAAAAAAAACTCTAAATATCTCCCTTCTTTAAAGGATATTTAAATATTAAATAACTTTTATTAGAAGAAATAAAAAGAATTAATGTGTGTATATGTTAATCCGCTTTTTCTTGCTAATGACGGTTTGGCGCAGACAATTTTGGCACAGACTTTTCTTATTAGGCTATAACCTTCACAGTTACCAATATTGCCAAATAATTTTCATTTATATGTCATTTGAAAGCTCTAATTATCGAAATTATTTGTTTGAAAAGACTAATAGAAAGAGTTCAGAAAAAGTTTAACCACCGGGCAAGCTGCGAGAACGCTAACAGTGATCGCTCGGCAATGCTCACACGCTGCTCTACCAATGCCTTCTATTTTATCCTTTTAGATCGTTTAACCCCGCATAAGCGTTAAGGCTGTGCCTAAGTCTGTTCAGTAGGCGGCGTGGTGTAATGGAGGCATCAGTCCGGTCTGCTGAAGATGCTGTTTCGCTCTCAGCCGCTGAATAACCTTTTGCACTAGCTGGAGAAGAGAAATAGCTATAACACAGCTGCTTTACTCAATCTGATCCAAGCACTCCTTAAAAGGTTGTAGTCTGAAACGTAACGTCAATCATGACTTTCTTAGCTTTACGTTAACTTTTCAATGATTTTAGGATCACTTCTGTCCTTTTAGTAAAACGAATTTGCTATTCAAAAGCTTTCAAATAATAAAATAAATATCAGAAAAGGATATTTTGAATTAATTAAATTACTAAAATTTATATTTCTCAACATTAATTCCTGCGCCAAGACACCCCCCTTAACTTTGTCTTTTTACATTTCTCTTTATTTAATATACGGGGCTTTAATGTATTGAAGATTTGTTTTAAAAAATATATTTATTAAATTTATTTTCTAATTGATTTTTAAAAACAATTTTTAAATCCTAAAAAACAAAAATTTCTTTTTTTAAAAAATCAACAAAAATTAATTAAAATTCTTTTTTCTGTTGCTTTTCTTCACTTTCTTTTTTAATAAGCTCCTTCAATTCTATTTGAAAATTAAGCCAAGAATTTGGAGGTATGGAAGGTGATCTCCCCTTTTCTCCATAAGCTTTAAATTAAATTTTAAAAATATTTTTAGACTTCTCAGTCAACAAATTTTGGGTTATTTTTAATTTTTTAAAGAAATTTGATTGTTGAACCTATCGGATCTAAAAAAGGGAAAACCCGAAGGAGAATGAAAACGACACAAAATAAAAGGCAGCAGATGGAATGCTGAAGCAGAAAGGTCAAAAAAGGTGGAAAAAGGCGTAAGCGGAAGAGAGTTATACCTGACAGGAAGCCTGGTAGAGAACCCCCCCCCCCCCTTGAAAGACATAAAAAATAAATTCCCGGTTTCAGGACAGCATATATCCTTGGTATGTTAGACAATATATTTTTGGCCAAGGAAAACTAGTTTTTATAAATTTATTTTAATTTTCTTTCCTCTTTTTAAATTAACATTTTAAAATATTAATAATTTTCCTCACCCAATTCTGGCGGAATTACTAAACGTCTTCGTTCACCTTCACACATTCCAGTCATTGCTCTATCCATTCCTTCTATAACCTGCCCCATGCCTAATCTACAAAAATATTTTTTTAATATTTTTTAAACCCTTTCTTCTACCTAAAATCAAAAGTAACTCCACTATCGTGTGAAGAGCCAACATAAGTTCCATCATTTAAAAATACGGTATAATGCTGTTTAAGGAAATCACCCTTTTCTGCACGTTTTCCTTTACATTCTTCTTCCGGTGGTTGGTGTGTTATCTAAATTGAATTTATTTATTCTAATAAACGCTCATCTCTAATTAGATGCCTTTTTTGATTAAATACACCTCACTAATAGCTGTCTAATCATAAACTATTCTAGATGATACTCGACAAACTCTGATAAGACAAACCCCACTCCCTAATACATTCCCACCCATCTCCGATATGTGACCATCTCTAATATGTAGACGTGCACCTAAAGAAATGCAATAAAAGTAGGGTATCGTCGGAATCGGGGGAGGGATGCTACCCTAAATAAAAGATTACCTTCTTGAGGCGTTTATTAGGATATTTATTATTAATAATTTATTTTAAGTAGCATATTTCACCTCAATACTAAGCCCATCATCATCAATCCATTTGTCTCCAGGAATGGGTCGAAAGATAGATTTTAGTTCAACAAAGTAATGAAGTGATTGCCCCTCAGGAGCCCCTTGTGGACGTTCATCATCCCCAAAAGCACCTTCTGGTATAATTACTCTACGCTGTTCACCAACACACATATCGGTCATTGCAGAATCCATAGCTCGCATTGCCTGGCCTTGGCCAAGAGAGAATTTATAGCTAAAAAACAAAGTGAAAAAGAGGGATTTTTAAAGAGTTTAGTGAACGTTGGGGGAAACTTTTATTAACAAAATTCTTCATAGATGTGTCTAATAGTGTTAACTATCTTCACTTTAAATTTCATAATTTTTGGTATCATGTTTTACAAGTTATGGCCAAAGAACTAATCAAAGTCGGCTTTCTTTCAGAATTTCAACTTCTCAACAAGCAAAACGAAAAAACGTCAAAAACTTCTAAATTATTAGAGATCTATTAGAGATTGTACCGAGACAAGATCTCGATCAGAAATCTTGGTTATTGAGATTGTTCTGAGATACCAATCTCGATTCTCGTACAATCGACCCTCACAGTCCTATCTCTAGGTAATGTCTATATTATTTTTTGCTGGTTGGAGTACTTTAACAAAACTTTAATAAAACTGGATTACCTAACCAAAAGCCACTTAAAGCTATTTTTGAATAAAAACAACTAACGGTTTCTGACCAAAATTAGTTCCAATAACATTCCCACTTTTGTCAGTTAATTTAAAAAATTGTTCCAATTCATCCCCCGCTTTGCTTCGAATTTTGCATTTCGAATCTTTAAAAAAATTTTTATTTTAATTTCCACTCTTTTCTAACCGGGTATTTTCTTAATAATTTCAACTTCAACTCCATCTTCGTCTGTCCAACTTCGTCGATCTTCACTTATTGTTGAAGAAAATAGTGTTAATAATATAAAAATAAAGACATTTCCATTTTTAAAATTAAAATTCATAAGAAAATAATTTTTATTTTTTTAATCTAAAATTGAAATAAACACATAACTTTAAAACATAAATTTTAATATAATTCTTTTTTCTTAAATATGTAGAATTTGAGATTTAGTTAAAGAATTCCATTGAATATTAACTTTTCCATTCCTTATAAAGCCAAACAAATTAACCGTTTTAAGTTACCTATTATAAAAAATAAAATTTTATTATACTAGTATTTATTGTATAAAGTAAATGAAAACTACTAAAAATATACTTAATTACTTAAAAATTAAATTAAGGCACCTTACAGAGGTGTAGGTGAATTGTAAAAAACTAAGCTTAAGATGTTTTAAAGAAAAGATTTGAAGAATAAGAGATTGGCTTAATATCTTTTGTGTTAAAACATTGTCTGATATTTGATAAAAATAAGAATAAAAATTTGAAAGGATAAATTAAAATTAATATTTAAATGATCGCGTTTATTAAGGAGAAAATCAATGAAAAGCAACTTCTCTCCGAAAGAAAAAATTTTTTTCTTCTTAAAAGTTGCACAGCTATGTTCACACACACAAATTACTTTAAACGTTAAAATCACGTTTTAAAAAGGCGCAGGTTTCCCTCCTCCTTTTTATGGTTTTCCACGTCAGCTTTAAATGAAATAAATTTATTTAAAATTAAATTTTTAAAAAAGAAAATAAAATTTCGATTTTAATTGAAATAATTAATTTAGGGGTATATTTAAAAAAAAAGAATGTAATGAAGTCTGTCAAAAATAATAACTGGGGAAGGTGGGAAGATGAACATTCAAATTTGTCTTAAAATTTCAAATTTGTCTGGATTTACAGTAGTAGACAAAAAGATAGGGACAAAAAAAGATTTAATTTTGTTTTTCTAACTTTTTATATTTTTAATTCAAAATAACTTTATTTATAATTAATTACATAAATTTCATTTTAATTTAAAATAAAAAATTTAACAAGATTACTGTAATTATATATTTAATTATGGCAATGAAACGTCCTTTAAATTTTCTCGCCAAGCCTTTTTATCGCGACAAAAATTTTTTATGCAATTAAATTTTTTTTTATTTTTTTACCCAATTTTTTAGCTTTTTTTTAATAATTATAATTTTTTCAGTCAATTTATTTATTTTCAAAAAGCCTCGTTAATTCAAAAATGGGATTTGGAGGTGGACGACGGGGAGGGGGAGGCAGAGGTGGCGGTGGTAGAGGAGGGGGAGGAAGAGGTGGAGGACAACAATTTGATCAGGGACCGCCAAATGAAGTTATAGGTTATTTCTTTTGTTTTTCTCTTCTATATTTTAAAAAAAAAGTCCGCAAGTCAAACTTTATTTTTCTAGAAGAAATATATGTTAGGATATTTTCCACTAGAATAAAGTTTTACTACAATTTGTGGATTGTATTCAGTTCCTTTTTTGATTAAGTAAACAACATGTAGTTTGACTTGCGGATAAAATTTGCGGACTTTTGGAAGCAAAAGAGGTAATATTGAATTGGACATACCCCTTTTTTCCTCCCCAATTTTCCCCCTATATTTTTGCAAAATAGTCAGACTTTTTCCTTTCTTCCATCCAGATTGCCTTTCTAATTTTTGCCTATAATCAAACGAAAATGATTATTTAATTTTATACAAGTGCAAGTAATGCCAAAAATAAGTAAGAGGAGGAAAAATGTAAGGGAAAAATTGAAGAGGAAAAAGGGGGTTCTGTCAGGTTCAATATGTATGGCCGAAAAAGAGAATGAAAAGCTTTTTTCGAATTTTTGCTTTTGAAAGCTCCACTTTTTTAAATTTTTGAAAAAAAAAGTCCGTTTGGTGAAGAGACTTCCATTTATTTTTGGAAATGCGCAAAAAATCAAGTTATTTTTTTAGAACTTGGATTTTTTACTCACAATTGTGAAAACGACATTGTCTGTCACACAACATGCGGAAAAATTCCATATTTTAATGCCCAAGTTTATTTTCAAAATAAAGAATGTATTGGCAAAATTGATGAAATATTTGGCGGACCTAAAGACAACGTTTAATTTTTTCTTAATTTTTTATAAATTTTTAAAAATTTTTAAGGGATTTTCTGTTAAATTAAGTGAAGGACTTAAAGCTTCTTCATTCAAACCAGACCAAAAAATTTATATCGATCCATACAAACTTTTGCCTCTTGAACGATTTCTTGACGGAGGACAGCAACAAAGAGGCGGGAGGGGTGGACGAGGAGGAAAAGGAGGACAGCAACGTGGAGGTGGGGGAGGACGAGGAGGTGGTGGAGGTTTGCAAGTTTTTAATTGATTTTAGTAATCTGGGTTTGGAATTAAACATTGGGATTTTTCTGATCGAGATTAAGAACTTTAAAAATCTCTGTTTTTCTATTATATTGCCATTTTCTGATTGAAAACAAAAAAATAATTGCCCTTTTTGGAATTTCTTCTCCAGTTATTTTTTAGAAATTTTTATATTTTTGCTTTAAAATTTTTTAAAACATTTTTAAAGTTTTTTGTTCTTTCCCAAGTCTAACTAAATTTGCCTTCCCTATTTTCTTCTCAAAATTTAACAATTTTATAATTTAGGTCGTGGAGGAGGCGGCGGTGGTTCTTGGAAAGGGGGAGGAGGTTTGCAAAAAAATTTTATATCAATTTATAATCTTTTAATTCAAAAAATGTTTTTATTAAAAAAAGAGGCGAATTCCAAACTATTACCCAAATTAATTTTTTTCTGAAAATATCTTTAACGTTAAAATATTTTTTATTAAAAAATTTTTTAAAAATTTTTCAATTTATTTTTTAAGGTGGAGGAAATTTTAGAGGCAATAGAGGTGGTGGCGGTGGAGGAAGAGGTGGTGGTGGTCAAGGTGGAGGACGTGGAAATGATAATAAAGGCCGTGGAGGTGGTGGAGGAGGCTTTAGAGGTGGAAGAGATTTTTCTGGACCTCGAGGTGGCGGCGGTGGAGGATTTGGAGGAAATCGTGGAAGAGGGGGTCCTTCAAAAGATTTTGGACAAAAACGACCATTCGGTGGTGGCGGAGGAGGAGGCGGTGGAATGGGAAAACGAAAAAAGTTTGATGAATAAATTAATTTAATTTGTTTTTTGTTATTTTTTATTATTTTTTACGAAAAGTTTTTGTTTGAAATTTTGAAGTTTTTCAATTTTTTAAGAGGGGAAGGGGGTGTTTTAGTTAATTTTAAATGGATATTTCTTTACTTTTGGATACCCTAAAAATTTAATAATAATTAAGGTAAATATCGGTTAGTTTACTGGATGGGAGAGCGGCGTAAGTGTTAATTCCTTTTTTAATATTAGGGTTTTACTCCAAACGCTCAGGGACGGGCATGTCGAGGGTACAACACTTAATTTTTTTTCAAATTTCCTTGTCATTTCCAATCATTAGCAACAGATTTCTAATCCTCCGAGTATAGTGAAATTCGCCTGTAGTACTCTTAAAATCAGTTCAAATTTTATTTGAGCTAAAATAGTTTAAAATTTTAAATATTTAACCCAATAAAAAATTTTTTAAATTAAAAATTAACTTTTCTTTCTCTTTTAAAAATTCCATTCTACCGGATTTCCTAAAAATAGTAGGAAATAAATTCTCTCAAATATAAAAAAAACTCTTTTAAGATTAAACAATTGATTGAAAATTCTTTTATAAAATTGGAAAGATTAATTTTTATATTTTTAAAAGTGCATTTCTTTTTTTATTTTAATCTGATATTGAAAGAAAAAAATTTTTATTAATATTTAATTGCTGGAAATTAAAATAATTTTTTGTTCAATTTCTTTCTTCCTCTCAAAACACCGTAGTCACAAAATACCGCCACGGCCAAAGATGGGTCAAAAGTAGTGACCGGACCGGATTTTTCCGGAGTCTTCTAATTTTTATATGTCCTCCCTTTTGATTATTAAAAAAGCTTCTACAGAAATATAATTTTCTACAAAAAAATTATTGAGGAGAATTAATCTTGTCTTCTTCCAAATTTTTTCCCTTGCTAATTTTTGAAGAAAACCAAAGAAAAATTTAAGAAGAATCCTCCAGACAAAATCAAAAAAAAAATTCAGAAAATCCGCCTCAGAAAGTCTTTAGAAAATGTCAATTGTACATGTACGTCTTCACAAGAAAAAAAGCAAAAGAAGTCAATAATTTTTATTTGACAAGATGGGTGGTGGCTGTCACTAAATATTCAAGTTAATAAAAAGAAAGAGAAAACCTTCTAGCCATTTCTGTTAGAGAAAAAGAAAATGAAAAAAGATTAAATAAAAAAATATTTAAATGAAAATGTGAGTGTAATACGAGAATAATCGTGCCTGTGGTCTCTGGTCTCTCTCATTCTCTTACCAAAAAACTAGCACATGATTTAGCGTAATCTGAAGAGGATAGATAGCAGAAAAAAGAAGGAGGACCATCATTCTTAAACTGAGTCTACATATTTTGCCAATTCCATATTTTGCCAATAAGGCTAAAATTACACATTTTGCCAACTTGCTTATTGGCAAAACGTGTATTTTTCGCTTTATTGGCAAAATATGGTATTGGCAAAATGTGTAGGGCTTTCTTAAACTCATTCTTTTTTTTGGTATGTCGGCGGCAATTCCTTTATTTTATTTTCTCTTTCCGTCACTTTCAACGCTTCTTTTTTTGGTCTATAGTCTCTCCGTTCAATTTTCTTTTCTTTTTTTTTTTTGTCCCCAATTTTTTTCTTTCAAAGCAGTCCAAAAATATATACTTACTGCTACTAACTACCACACTCTAAGGCCATTATGTGATAAAAGAAAAGAAGGCCAAAAGCGTGTTTGTGTATATATTTTTGAGTTTATAGAAACGAGAGTGTCGGAAATTGTCGCACTAATCAATAATTGCGTGTGAGTGCCACTTACATTTTTTCTACTAAAAAAAGAGAATCCCTTTTCAGCTACTTTATATACTATTCAAATTTATGGTTATAGAGAAAGTAGTGAAGATTTATGGCGATTTTTTTTTACGTCTTGTGATTTGAACGTAATTTTATTTCTATTTTTAAAAGGGAATTGACAGAAAATTTTAAGTGAAATTTTTTTGGCGTTCTTTGGTTTCTCTTTTATTGATTCAAATTTTATTTTATCAATTTTTCTTTTATTTAGATTAAGATCTTTATTTGAAATTGTTGATAAAATTAAATATTTTATATTAAAATGCAGCAAAATTCTTCTTTTACTCCTTTTGGGAATATTGCATATTTCAATTAAATGTAATATTTTTCTGAATGGAGGAAAAAACAAATCAACTTTAATTTTAACGATCTAAATAAAGGTTTGAGTTTTTAGAACAATTTAAAAGTTTTTAGATTCTGGCACTGAATAGTACCTGAACTTTTAACGGAAACAGCTCGTTTAAGTGCTAGATTTCAGTGTTATCCCAGACTTTATTAAAATGCAAACAAAGTTCAGTTCGCTTAAAAGGGTTAGGAAAACGACTCCCTATTTCCGAAAGGTTAGGCTGATTTCCGAGTTCCGACTTTCCGAGTTCTGACAGTTCCGTTTTCTGGTATCTTCGTCATTTCCGACCCAACTCTGGTTCCCTTTAAGACAAGTTCATAGCTAGGAATATTCCATTTATTTTTTGGATCTTGGGTGGAACGGTTGAATCGCGGAGGTCGTTGTATGCCTTAGTATAAATCTGTGTTTATCCTCCCCAAAATTCCCATTTTTGCTAATTAAACAATTTGATATTTTATTTTTTCCAGAAATCTTTTATTATACAATGCATGATCACACTCCTTGTTCATCTGCCTCAGCAACAACAACTTCCTCTACCCAAATAAACACCCAGAAAACCCTTTCCCCCTCATCGAATCAAGATAAAAAACAAAAAGATGTTTCATTAACAAATCAATCGACGCCCTGTGTTTTTTCTGTTGATTCCGTATCGGATATTACAATTGAAAATCAGTTGTCGAATTGTTGTTATGGTGATGGTGGTTCTTTACAAATGGAACAAATGAGTTGTAATAGTGGTCAAATGCTACAACATTTCGGTTCCTCCAGCACTACTTTGTAATTATTTTTTAATTAATAGGGAGGCGTTAGGAGGGAATTATGGTCAAACCAGTATTTAAGAGCGGGATTTAAATGGAATGAGCCTGGTTTTAAAAATTTGGCATGGACATGATTTGGGACTGATCCCTTGCGTGTGGTCCTGGGCAGGGCCGTAGCCAGCCCCCCTCCCCGAAAAAATGCTGGCTACGGCCCTGGTCCTGGAGCTCCCTGTTAAACTCTAAAAATGTATGGGTTATGTCTCTGTGGGCGGGGAATACCCCAGGCCCAGGTCTGACTCAATCTCTAATATGTTCAGTAGCTTTAAAATTCACAGTGTTCTAATCCAAAATAAAATTTTTAATGTCCCAGTCCTTTTCAAAATTTTAATACTTTTATCATTTAAAGTTCTACAAGTTCATCCAATATAACAAGCGGTAGCTATCCAATTGACCAATATAGTGTTGCTAGTTCCTCTGGTGTTGCAACTTTAGATTCTTCAGCTGATCGATTTCAGCCTACAAATCTTGTGCCAAGTCGAACTTCAAATGATGATAGCACACCAACAATGAGTATATTAACAGAAACTAGTGGGACATCAAATTCAAATAAAAAGTTTGTTTGAGAGATTTTTTCCTTGAAAAATTTTGACTTGCTAAATAAGTAAGGGCTTTGCGTAATTTTTACTTGACGGCACTCGGTCGTAGAACCGAAAAGTAACCTGTCACCTAATTTAGAAAATATTTTAAAAAATAAACCTCATTCATTTTGAGTGCCAAAAGTAAATTTGGAGAAATATGTTAAAAATCCGCAATAAAGCTTTATTTTCCTTACAGATGCCAAATAAAAAAAAGTTTTTTTAGAGAATTAATCCAATTATCAACTGGAACAACTTCGACAATAAATTCAACAGAATCTGCAACAGAAGCTATTATTCCATCTACAACAATTACTGCATTTTCTAGTCTTTCATTAAATGCTGCTGAACCTGGTAGAAAATTCCTTAGCGGGAACAAACCTTCAGGAATTTCTGCAAAAATTTTTTCACGTTCTGCAAAGGATAGTGAAGATTCGGGTTTGCTTTTATTTAATTTTTTAAAAATAATTTTTTCTGTTTTAGCAGCTTCCCCGAGTAGTTTCCTTGCTCTTCAAGGACAAGCACATTCTACTCCATCACTTTTGTCTTCCTTTACAGGTTTTTGTTTTCTATTCGAATTTTTTTATTTTTATTAATTTTTTAGGTTCAGAAGGCAGTTCTGGGCAGCAAGTGAAAATTATCCCGGGTAGCAACAATAGCAAAAATCAAGGACAACAAAATGTAATTTTTAGACGATTTATAATTTTAGTTTTAATTTTTCCTTTCATTCTCTAATTTCTAAATTTCATTTCGGAATTTATATTTGCCCTCTCCAACCTTGTATAATGGAATTACTTGGGCTCTATAATTCGGAATTTTTCTTAAAAAACTTTAAGATTGTTGACATAAATACGCCCTCAACTGTCTCCAATAATACCCCGAGTGATTCTACTACCCTCGAAAGTTCATCCTCCAATTCATCTCATTCCATTCTTGGCTCCAATCAATTACCTTCTGTGCTCAATTGTGCTGCTACTTCATGTTCTCAAATTTTTTGTACTCCTTTGAGAACGATTGTTTCACAAAATAGACGTCGTTATCAAATGGACGGGTTTAATTTGGATCTCACATGTTTGTTTTCTGTTTTATAAAAAATTTTTATTTTTTCCTCTTTAATTAGTAAAGAGAATTTAGATAAAAATTAGCCTTAAGTGGAAATGCCACTAGTCTTTTTTTTTTACTTTTTTTAATCGAAGGCCCATTTAGGGAGTTATACCTTTGCTGCCTAATCAAATCAAAAATTTTCTTAATTATTTTTTTCCAGATATAACTGATCGTATAATTGCGATGGGCTATCCAGCAGAAACCAAGGAAGCCTTATACCGAAACAGTATGACTCACATAGTCAAATTTTTGGAGCATTATCATCCGGGTCATTACAAAGTATTTAATTTGTAAGTTTTATTTAAAATTAATTTTTAAAAATAATTTATTTAAATTTAAAGAAGAGGTCAATATGTTTATGATCCTGCCAATTTTCACAATCGTGTAATTTCTTTTGAAATGACTGACCATCACCCTCCTCGTCTAGAATTAATGGCACCATTTTGTAGAGAAGTGCATGAATATTTGGAGGCTGATCCTTTAAATGTGGTTGCTGTACATTGTAAAGCTGGAAAGGTTTGGAAGAATTTTTTTAGTCTCTTCAAGACTTTATTTAATTTAATTTCTTCAAGACGAGGGCGTATTTCCCTCTTTTTTTGTTGTTGTTTTATCCTTCCAATTTTTTGTCTTAAATTATATTTAGAAATTCCTTTTTCAATTTTTAGGGCCGTACTGGTGTAATGATTTGTGCCTATCTTTGCTATATTTCTTTTTATCGAACTCCACGACAAAATATGGATTATTACAGGTTTTTTTTTCGATTAGCTAAGGAGTAATTACATTTTTGGAGTAATTGTACTCATTACGTTTTGTAATTTTTCGCTAATTTCTTTGTTATTAGATCTTATAATTTGTATTTAAAATTTTTTTTAATTTTTTAAAATTATTTTTTAAAGCATTATCCGCACTCACAACAACAAAGGAGTCACAATACCTTCACAACGCCGCTATGTTTACTACTTTGCTCATTTGCGTGAACGCAAACTTAATTACATACCTTTACGTTGTGGTATGTAATTTTTAAATTTTATTTATTTCAATACTCGTCTTTAATTTTTGGGTTAGCCAAATTGTATTCAGTTTCCATATAACTTTTGAGCAAGCACTCTGACCCTCAGCTAAATTTTTAAATTAAAAATCAATTTTCAGAGCTTGTTGGTGTATATTTGGAACGTCCTCCAAAACTTTCTGGAACATTTTCAAAAGGCGCATTAAAAGTCAGAGTTGCCTGTGGTGATGTTGATGTATTTCTTGGAAGTGATATGTGGCTAAATGCTGAACAATATGAAGAAGAAGAAGAATTATATAAACGTTTCCCTCTTGCTTCAGTAGAAGAAGAACAATTTGATCAACAACAATCTGATGTGGACAAAAATTGTATTTCTCGAAGATGTTATGGTTGGACAGTTCCTTCAAATAAAAGGGTGTTTTTGGAGGGTGATATTCGGATAGATATATTTCAAAAATCTCGTCTAAAATTATTTAATGTGAAGCAAGAGAGGAAGAAAGTTTGACACATTTGGTTTAATACAATGTTTACTTGTCCTGGATTTTGTGGAGGGCAATATGTTCATGGTAAATTTTATTTGATAAATTGTGGTCTTATTAGTTTATTTTGAGATGTGCCAAATTTTTATAAAGGGAAAAGGGGAGACTTTTTTGGGATCTCAAATGTCTGTTATAATTTAACCTAAGATGTCAGTCTACGCTTGGTGGTTAATATAATTTAATGCTTTTAAGGTGATGAAGCTTATCAATATCCTGATTCTATGATTGTTAGACGTTGTTTCAAACGCGTAGAGCATCAAAAATCTATTAGCAGCAAGAACAGTGAACTTGACGATTCTGTAAGCAGTGGAAGCAAAAAACAATCAATTGCTGATGATTCTTCAATTTCTACCCAACATTTTTCTCCTACCTTGTCTAATCATGAAAAATGTTTATCAGGCGATGAGAAGAAGGAAGAAAGACAAAAGAGTCGTTCAATGCGATTTGTTAGTAGAATAACAAATGAAGGAGGAGGGATAACTGGAACGGCAAAAAAACGTTAGTTATTTACAGGGCTCGGATTTTTAGGAAATAAATTCCCTAAAATGGTAGGAAAAGGAACGAACCCCCAAAAATTTGCTGATCAAAATTTTAAATATATTTTTGTATTTGTAGGTTCAGCTCGTTCTCCTTGTAGACAACTCATTGAATCTGAACAGAAAGGTGCACTATATTTTTTGTCTTTTTTAACATAATATTTTTAGGTTGGCAGTCACAAGATGGATGTGCTTCTGAATTATTAAACAACCAAACAGCTCCAAGGAAACAATGTCGTTCTAGCCTTGATACAATTCAAAATGATTATGAAGAAGAAATTATTGTTGAAAAACCTCCAGGTTTGGATGTTCACTGTCCAACTGAATCGCTTCGTGGAATTTACCCAAATGAGAAACTTGCGTATTATTTATAAAAAATTCTAGATTTATTTTGTTTTTTATAGTCCTCGTTATGGAATTGAAGAAATTATTCGTGAAGCTTTTCATAAAAATCTTGTTAAAGATTTATATAATACTCGAAGAATGTCACAACCCAGAGATGGTCCACTCGTCCCAAAAGCAACAATTGATCGACCAAATGCAAATGGACCTTTCTGTTTGTTGAGACGGTCTGACGAACATGTTGGTGTTTTTGGAGTTCAGGAAATTGACAGAGCTTATAAAAACAAAGATATTGACGTTTCATTTAAGGTATTTTAATTTTTGTTTATTTATGAGAATAGGAAAATTGGGTTTTATTTGCTACTCTTTTCTTTCATTCCACTTCAGAGCCAGTGCCCCCTCCCTTGGAATGAATTTGCTTCTATTCCAGCCACTTCTCTTCATCTTTTTCTTAGTTTTTCCTTTATATTGCTGTCTATACAGGCTCTGAATACAATTTTTGTTACATCTATTAATCAAATGTTCTTCATCTCTAACAATAAGCGGGATTCTTATTTTTCGACAAGATTAAGACCACACCCCAGTAGACCTATCACAACGCTTTTGAAATTTATTACTTAATAGCCAATAACTAGTCCTTACTCATTACTAGGTTTAGCTAATAAATTTATTTTAGGTTTTTGTCGTCACTCGTTGTATTGATGAATCTATTTCTTCTGATGTTCGACTTGCTGAACAATTCATTAAAGTTACAAATCAGAAACAAACACAAAAGGAAATGGAAAAGTTGGAAAAAATGCAACAGAAACATCGAAAATTAATACTTGCACAACAACAACATTTAAATGTAAATAAATCAGGAGGAGAAAATAGTAATGATTTGGCTACTTCATCTTCTGATAATGAGATGCCTTGTTCTTCATCTGATTCAAATGAAGCTTTACTGTCAAAACAACAAAAACAGTTTAATGATGATCCCAGGTTTCTCTTTTAAAATTTTAATTTTCTGACAACCTTAATTTTTTGGACGTGTCTTTTTATAAAGAAAAGGAATATTTTTGCGAGAGAATGTTTGTATTGTTTAGTTAATGACTATATTTCTTTCGTTTTTAACCGTATTACTTTACAAGTTCACCTAGTACATCCCTCAGTTTTTTGATGATATTCGCATTTAAAACCTAGTGCATCCCTCAGTTCTATCGCCCTCATTCTTATTTCCATTAATCTGTCCCATAAAAAAATTGATTCTTAATTTTATCTATTATTCAGGTTCAATGATCCACACTTTCGAAAATTTTTCTTCCGTCAAAGAGTGACATCACAATCAAGGCATCCAAGTGTTCATCAACAGTTAATTTTTTTCTTTTTTAATTTTTAAAAATTTTTCTTTAGTTGTTCACTTCGTACACCAGACCCCAAAACATGTGCAAAACATGGCTGTATTGGTTCGAATTTGAAACATTCAATTGAAGAAATTGAAAAGGAGGAAGAATTTGAAAGATTTGTTCCTGAGGTTTTTCAAATAATATTTTCTTCAATAAAACCCCAAAAAATTTCAGACTGAAGAAACCTTTGAGGATTTTGATTTCTTCCACCCTCGACAACAAACAAGTAGTACAATTCGTGGACCTTCTGATAGCAGCACTCCAGTAATATCTTCTTATGTTCTCCACAATCAAATACCCGAAGAAAATAAAGGATTGCAAGAAGAATCAGACAGGCTTCAAATTACTCATCAGGATGTTCCCATAATTGATTTTCAATCAAATGAAGAAGTTGAATCTATTGGGGAAAATTTAATTGAATGTATTTCTTCTGCAAAACATTCTCCATGTTCAGTAACTCATGGAAAGGTTTTAAATAATTTGTTCAATTTTTAAAATTTAATTTAAAGGAATCCCAATCAAGTGCTCCAAATTCTTTACTTTCTGAATTAACTGAACCAGAAGTTTATCATCCCTCTGATTGTAGTCTAGCGCCTTCTACAAGTTCATCTTGCTCTTCTGATGTTTGTTTTTTATATTTAAAGGGTTCCCGTTCATAAGATTGAAACTTTCGGGAAATGTTTAAAGTAATTAACAAGTTGTATTTTCTGTCCTTTGTTATTCTTTTTCCGAGGCAACTTTTTAGTTTTGGGTTGATGCCAGATATCCTATAACCTGGCCGATCAAAAAACGGGCAAAAACGGCTCAAAATCCTTGCTAGAAAGGGCACATTCTCTATCGAATGAGCCTGGTCTCGACCGTTTTTAGGACGGACACCTCGCAACCTTTCCTTGTTAATAATTAAATTTATAGTAAACATTCATTGCCTGATGAAATACTGATGTTTTTTATCAAATAGAAAATGAATAAAGATTAAAAAATATTATTAACATAGCCATTCCAGATCATTTTTTAAAGGAAATTTTAAAAGGGAGTCATACCTCAATTTTTAAAGTTTTTATTATTTTCACAGACTTTCTTTCTAGTCAATCTGTTTAGAATTTAAAATATATTTGACAATTTTATATTTTTTTGTTTATATCATTTATTGTATAATTTTTGCTTTTTTGATGCATTTTTTATCACCTTGAACAAATTTGATTTTACACGATCATTTCCTTTTTTCGACTATTTTTATGTTATATGCTGATTTAATAAAATCAGGACCTATATTTACTATAAATATCGAATAATTCAAATTGTTTTCCATTAAAAGTAGTCAAGAAATTGAAAAAGAAAGTTACTTTTTTGGGAAAGCTTAAATAAATTTTGCGTGATTTCGGTATTGAATTAAATAGTGGCGTTGAGTCGCATCATTAAGCAAAGCATGTCATATAAATGGCGAGAATCTATTTGGGACTATTTTTCAAATTCTCAGCTAATTCGAAAGCTGTATGTGCCGATTAGATTCCTAAAAATTCGTTCACCATTTGAAACTTTGCAGCCTAATAAGTATAGAAAAACACGATAGCGCTCACTTATCCGGCTGTAGCTCTTCATATTTTAATATGTTTAGGCCATTCTTGAATAACACTCGATATAAGATGATTTAACTCAGCTGAGTTAAAAAATCGCGATACGCCGTCAGCGTTCAAATTTAGGCACTCAAATGACGCGTACCTTTACAGACATCAAATGGCAAAGTTTTCAGTTGTTGACTTATTGACTTTTTACATTTTGATTTTATGTATTTTTGTTTTTACATAATGAATATAAATTCATCCTTCCATTGTTTGAATTACCATCGAAAACCTTTATATACTTCAACTTTGTAGAATTTTACTCATTTTAAGATTTTTATTATTTTTTTTCATAAATAGTGTTCTTTGGGTTCCTTTAATTATTCCCAGATATTTTACTAGTTCTCATATATTCTATTGATTCTGCCTGATTATTTCTTTTACCTTTCATGTTTCACCTTATGATTTTTCCATACAAGGAAACCACAAACTGAATTAAATCTTTTGACCTGGTTACACGAATGTTTGTTAAACACCAATTGGCAAAGTCATTTATATTTGCTTTTTGATGTTTATCGATTCATCTGACAATTAGCATCTATATATTGCTTATCATCTATAAAGGTTCAGTCTATATAGCTCCTTTCCTTTAGATTCCAATTCCGATTATCTATCGACTCGTTAACCATCTTCCTTGTCGCTCTTTGAACCTTATATTAAACTTCTTTTATACATTCAATTTACAATAATTTCAATTAACTATTTCAGAAAATATTTTTTAAAACTTTGGTTATACTTTCTTTCAAAATGTCAGTAGTTGGTAATGACAGTACTGACAATGTCGAAATCGAGGTATTCATCAGATCAAATGATTTTTTAAAATATTTTTCTTTAGACCCAGGCTCAGCAGCAGCAGCAGCAGGCTCGTCATATTCCCATCACACCGCCGCCTCGCTATGTTGACACGTCTGAAGTGTGAGTTTTCATTTCTAATTGAGACGTTTTTACGGAAACATGTAAAGCAGAGTGGGGAAATTTGCCTTTCTCTATAACCCTAAATCGGGGATATTTGACTGTCTTTAAGGAAATTTCAATATAAATTTTCCTTCGGAGTGCTTTTTATGATTTCGCTTTTTATAAGTTTCAAATTTTCATGACTAGAAAAATTATGCCAATTGAGTCTTACCTCTCTCCTTCATTAGCCTTTTCATTCATAAGAATATTAGTCGACTTTAGATTTTTAATCTCAAAAATATTTATTTTATTAAATCTTTATATAAATCAACATTTGTTTTTTAGGAAAGTTCCTTCGATGAATGCTTGGCTCTCATTCCTCAGCATTTCTTTGACTCTCGGCGCTGTTTTGGTGGCCATGGGTGCGGCGATTGTTGGCGGATATTTTGCGCTTTGGGCAGTTTGGAATTCACGCTTTGACCGTCTCGAGACTCGTATGGATAACTTGGAGGTTAGGATGGACAACTTCGAGACTCGCATGGACAGTATGGAGGCGCTTATGCAAAACTTCAGTTTGGCTCTCCTAGGATTTGCTGTTGCCCTTGATGACCTTAAGAAAGCGATGATTCCAAAAACCACTTAGACTAGAAAGACCTCTCAATATTTATAGATAAAAAAAATTTTTTTTGGTTGTTTCGCAATTTTTAAAAAGTAAATTTTATTTTAAATATCTGAATTGATTTGTTTTAATTTTTATTACCAGTTTTGAGTATACATGCCGGTTGGGTCGTTATTTTCAAGTAGTGTTCGGCGATGTTTTTGTACATCTTTCGGGCGTTTTTCTTTGTTTAAATCAAATCTTGAGTTGGTGACAAGGTTAATTTTTTAAAATAGTGACAAAGACTAATCAAATCTTGTAATAAGGCCACATCTTAGCTTTTCGGTAAACCGCGAGTTATTGCGGTCAGACTTTCTCCTATTGATAATTATTCTCTCTTTTTTAAAATTAACTTTTACCCTTTTAGGAGGCGTTTGCATACGAGTGTCCAACATCGAGCTATTAATTGGATTGTTTTAAACGATGATGGTTATCAAAGTCCACACAGTGCTTTTTATATAGTGTAATTCACATATCTTTTTCTCTTTTATTTTTTTAATTTTGTAGATTGCCAAATGTACCAGATGAGAACCCGCAAAATAATGTATTGCTAGAAAGTTTAGAATCTAATAGTGATTGGCCTCCAATTTCTACAGGATTGCGTAATGAAAATTTAAAAGATTTTTTTGTAAAATTTGTTTAAATTTAAAGCTGATGAATTTTATCAAGGAACTGTTAAATATATTCTTGAGATGAGTGCAACTCTAGCTGAACATGTGGATTTTCTAGAAGAAGGTTTAAATTATATTTTTATCAAGTTTTTGAGAAAAGACAATTGGCCTAGTCTCTGGTCCACGATTTTTCATAATTGGGTTTGTAAGGGCAGGAGTGACCCTGTAAGACAGGCACATCACTTTAAAGCAAAAATATGGAAACGGAGTAGCTTAATTCCATGAAATTTGAATCCGAACATAGATGTAGGTGCTTCATTAACGGGACACTCCTCTTTTTTTTTGCAAGATTGTCAGTAAAGGATTAAATCGATTTAATTTTATTATTGTCTGATCGGTGATTTGAATGGGGATGAATTTAAAAATATTGAGATTTATGTAGTTTTACTCTACTGTTGCCAAAATTGATTCAAAACTAACCGCAAAACTACCTTTATTTCCTTCCTAAAATTCATTAAGAAAAGTTCCCTACCTTTAAATAAATAAATATAATTTTTCACAAAAATATAATTATTTGCTATCTTTAATCAAAAAAATTTTTTTAAGAATTAAAACAAAAAGATGCTTTATTTACTTTTGACAAAGTTTTATCTCCATTACTCAAAGATGAAGGAAATGGTTATTTTGCTCTCTCCTCTGTTCAATTAAAGATGTTAACAGATTGGCCTGAATGTAGTCTTACCGATTGGAAAAAGGATTTTGAGGTTTTTTTAAATTTAATTTGTAAAAATTTTTAAAAATTTTTAGGCAATTGAAAGATTGTTAGTTAATGAAATGTCTGATAGAGCTCAGCATCAGATTATTGTTGATTCTGTTAGGGTAAGATTTTTTAATTAATATCTTGGTTAGTTTGGTGCTTTTGAAAAATGCGTGGATTTTTTCCTGTATGCATAAATTTTCTATTTTCCTCATTTTATGTAAAATTTAATCATTAATTGAGCTCGAAAAAAAGAAAGAAAGAAACCGAAAAATTCGCAAAAACCTCCATTCTTTAGTTAATTCCTCTTTTTTATGGTGTTACAGTTTTGACTACTTTTCAAATTCTAAATAATTTTTATTTCCAATTTTTTATAACCATTTTTTAGAGAATACCAGAATCAGAGCTGGCTAAAATTAATCCTTGGCAACGGCGTTTAGTAGAACTATTGAAACTTGAATGGGACATGATTGGGTTTATTTTTTAAAATTATTTTCCTAACTTTTAAAAATGTGTTTTATGAAGACTTCAACCAGATCCAAGAAATAATAACTTCCACGCAAAAGAACAAAATTGGACGAAAGGGCTTCTTCATGAGGCTAAAACTCATGGAAAGAGATATTTGTATGTAAATATTTTTGTTAATTTTTTTATGTTATTAATTCTTCGAATTTGTCCATGAAAAATTTACGGGGGAATGGCATTAGACTCAAGGCGTAGCTAGGGATTCGATTTCAGGGATGGGCTAAAATTGGGTGTCTATTTCAGAGGGGGTGGGGCTTTAGCCCCAGAAGCCCCCTGGCTACACCTTTTATTAGAGTACAAATTTCTAAAAAATATTTTTGGGTTCCATTTAGGTACTAATCGAGACCTTGTAATCTAAATCTTTAATGGAGTCTCAAGCCTTTATCTATCCCTCGATAAATTTTCTTGACTAATACGTAAAAGAAGCCATCCTAATTAATCTTTTTTATTACTTTTTAAAATACCTATTAAAATTTTCTTCTTTTAGAACAAGTCTTTTACTTGATCCAAGATACGCAAATGTTCAAGTTATGATAAAAGATCGAAATCAACTTAAATATGTTCCTCTCAAAATCTTAAAAAAGCTTTCTGTTGGGTTTGTTTTTTTTATTTTTTAATAAAAAATTAATTTATTTTTAAAGAAATGATCCAGAAAAGGGTCCATGGAAAGCAAGTACAGATGATTCTTCAATGTTCGATTTATTAAAATATTCAAATGCTCGAGAACAGAAGAAAGAACTATGGGATTCTTGGATTGCTAGATCGGTAAAAATTAAAAAAATTTTATGAGATCTTCCTAGCGTTTTTATTCTAATCCGAAAAGATTTACTTTCCTTCGAACTTTCTTTGCTTGCAGAAAGGAATTTAAATGAAATTTAATGTTGAGGTTTTATTTACGTGCCGGGATTGTTTTCTAGTTGATATTCCACTATTCTATTTTTCATTCAGACCTAATCGTTTTAGGCATAATTGGGAGTAAGTCGGATGTCCATGGCTCGCTTCCTAAATCGGAGAAAAAATCGAAAATTAACATTAGGGTTGGGGTTTTCGAGTCGGCTGACGTTCGAGTCATTTTTATCGTGCCAAAATTCAATGCCCGACTCGATCTTTTGGACCGGCCGGATCGGGCTCCCGATCCTAATTAACATTTTTCTGCATTTTTATTTTTACTAATGACATAATTTTTTAATTTTTTCAGTCTTTTGCTTCCAATGATCATCTTTTTAATAATTCATTAACTATTGAAGAATTACGAAGTATTTAGTATGTAAATATTTTTAATTTTAAATTTTCAACAATTTTTTAAGTGAACGACTTTCACAACATATTGGCTTTCGATCAACTGCTCATCACCAACTTTCTACAAAAATGATTGGAAATCCAGAAACTTTGAGGGATTTTATTGCTGGGTAATTTATATATTTTATTTAAAAGATTTTTATGAGAGTAAAAATTTCAATAATAAAAAGCGGGAAACATCAAAGCGGCGCCCAAATTTAATCTGCAAGCTTTATTTACAAATTAATTTGTAATGTTCCTTGGCTTCATTTGAATATAGTTTAGTCGAGGGCCTGCTCCAAACCAGGTCAAAACATGTCATTCGATGCTCGGCGAGCTGACATGAGTTAAATGGTACCACTCCCTAATTTGTAAGTGCGGGAATGCCTGTGGACCGCGAATATGTAGGTCCCTGAAATTTGAAAATAGGGGGAGTAACCTCAATTTTGGAATGAAATTATTGCTTTAATGTTACACATAAAATTATAATTTGCCTATTTAATTAAATTTGGGGGCATTTTGGTTCTTTATTAATTAAATTTTGAAGTTAAAATTTATACAGAGAAAGCCAACTTTTTCATTCAAAATTTTATTTTCTTATTTTTTTAGTCTTTACCATCGTTTACGTCCAGTACTTATCGAACGTTATGAACAATGGTGTCAATATGCAGAAAAAGAAGAGGGTATAGAAACCTTTGGACAGTTACGTACTTGTGATCTTTTTTATATTTGTAGAAGAGAAGCTGAACATTTTCATGGGTTTTTTAATTGAATTATAATTTTTTAAATTTCTATAAAGTGTTGATACTCTAGATTTAATGAATCATTTTCCTGCTTGGCCAACTTTTGAGAAAATTTTGACTGTTGTTCAATTTGTTCTTGGCATTGAATTTAAGGTTTATTTTGTTTTGCACGATTATTTTGGGTCTATACCACATGCCTAAAAATGTGGTTCCTAAAAAACCAAGACTCTTTTTGGTATCCGTTTTGGCCCTACTTATTAATATTTTTTGGAACATTAGGATAGATTCCCTTTGGGAACCGATTCCTGTGGTTCTAAAGCCAGTTTAAAATATTATTGGACACCTCAATGTATTTTCTTGTAAAACAGTTGACCATTTTACAATCCTGTCTTCCTTTAAAAAATAGATTTTGTTTGCTTTCAAAAAATATTCTTAAAGTCAATTCGTTTTTGTTGAACGAATTGACTTTACTGAAACTGATAAGTAAGAAAAAACTGGCAATAAGGAATCGACCCTGCTCTACACTATGGTGTATGTTTCATCGCAAAATTTTTGGTGGTAGTTCGGAATGTTTCCTTGTTAAATATTTACGAATTTATTATAAACTTTTATTATTTTAATCTTCTTTAACTTTTAAAATTTTAAAGGAGATATTAGATGATTCCTTAGAACGGTGTCATCCTTCTGTACGAATATATGAAGTTACAGACAAAACAACCAGTATAAATTTTATCTTAATTTTTAAAAATTTTTCCTATTTTTTTAAAGATGAATATCTTGGTCGTTTTTATCTTGATGCTTTTGCTAGAGACGGAAAAGTTGATAAAGGGTGGATTGCTAATATATGGAGATGTATACTTTAATAATTATTTTTTAATTTATTATTTTAAATTTTAATTTAGTAAAAGATGAAAATAAAGGATTGGATAAATTAGTTTGGTTGGTTGGAAATATTAAAGAAGAGGATGAAGTGTTACATTATGAAGAATTAGAAGATCTTCTTGAAAATGTAAGGATTTTGTTAATTTTGGTATTGTTGCAAGTGGGGAAGGTGTATTTTTTGATTATTTCCTCAAAAAGTACTAACTAGGGTTGGACACAACCGGTACAGCCGTTCTGGGTTAATCCAACTTAAAAAAATTGTTCTCGGTTTTGGATTTTAGTCAAATACCGGTTTTATTATGCGGGAATTTAAATAAATCGCTCATTTTCTCAAATCTTCCCTCTAAGGTTTTCATATTTTTATAAAAACGGTTGATTTTTTGGTAAAAAATATCAGAAATTCTGGTTTTAAAACCGGTCGAGTCCAACCCTAATACTAACATAAACATTAGACTCGTAAAAACAAAAAAAAGGAAAAATTTCGGAAAACGAACAGAGCCGAAATAGTTCGAAATATATGTCATTCGAAAGAGCTCGTCGAGTTGAGTCGAATGGTGAAAAAATTTTTGTGCGGACTCATAAAGGGGCTGAGATATAGGCCCTCGAAAATCGAAAAACCATAGGGGGGACCAGGCACTTTTTTGGGGTGAAAAATTCGAAAATGCAAATTATACCTCATTCGAAAGAGCTCATCGAGCTGAGTCGAATGACACCAAAATCAGCTCGATTGCACAAGTTTTGACAAAGTTACGATAGAAAAACTATCAACATAAACCTATGGAACGTCGGCGAGGCGCTTGTGCAAAACCCCGCGCTTCGCGCGGGGTTTTGCGGCACGCGCCTCGCGGGGAGTCTACGGGCGATGGGTCTGGGCTCGTAACGTAAACCTATTCCTATCTTCCTTGCTCTGGACGTATTTGGGGCCTCCGTAGCAGCAAAAATCTCCACAGATGCCATAGGTAAGGAGCTAAAACAAACGATCATAACTTTGTCAAATCAAGTCAGATTTCGTTGATTTTGGTGTCATTCGACTCAGCTCGACGAGCTCTTTCGAATGAGGTATAATTTGCATTTTCGAATTTTTCACCCCAAAAAAGTGCTTGGTCCCCCCTATGGTTTTTCGATTTTCGGGGGCCTATATCTCAGCCCCTTTATGAGTCCGCACAAAAATTTTTTCACCATTCGACTCAACTCGACGAGCTCTTTCGAATGACATATAATTCGAACTATTTCGGTTTTGTTCGTTTTCCGAAATTATACCCAAAAAAAAATATTAAAAACGTTCTACTTATTATTTGTAAGGGAGAAATTAATTTTTTTCTAAAATTATTGAAAATCCAAAAAAAAATATTTTCTTTATTTTTTAGGTAGGCATTCTTGTCCATGCTTTGTTAACTCGTTCTCCTTACATGCATTTATCTAGACCACACGCAATGTACAGTCAAGAATGGGATGCTAGAGATTTTTTAAAAATATTTTTAAAATTTTTTATTTCCAAACCTGAATTGATTCTTTCAATGAGTAGTCCACATTTGGTAAAGAAAATTTTCAAAAAAAATTTTTTTAATTTTTTCTTTCAGAAAAATGGTCATCTTTTAACTTTACAAAAAGCTCAAGACATTTCCCTAGCATTGGCAAGAGGAAAATTTTGGGATACTTGGAGAACTTTGTTCTGGGCAGATTATGACCTTTCATTATTTGAACTGGAAAAATTTCAGTTAGAAAAAAATTTTTTTTTTATTTTTAAATTAAAAAAATTTTTTAGAGATAAATATTATTTGGATCTTTACAAAGAAATTTATGCTGAATATTTTCCATTCCCTATTGAACATAACAACTTCCATCCATGCTCTTTTATACCTATTTTTGTGCCACATTCAAATGCTTGTATGTATTACAGAAAATTGTGGTGTGAGGTTTGTTGAAAATTTTTTTGATAATTTTTATTGGGTATTTTTTTTAAGTTGATGATTTTTAAAAAAGGAAAATTTGGGGGGTAATATAAGGGATTTGTTGGGATATTTTAACGTTTTATTAAACTTCAAGAATGAAGACTTTTTTTGTTTAAATTATTGTAAGGTGCACCTGATTATCCTTTTTAATTTATAAATTCTCAAGGGGTATGGTCTTTCAACTTTAAAAAATTGGAGTGGGTAGGGCCTGGATTCTTTCCTGTACCAAGCCTAATTCATTGATTCACAAACTAGTACAGACCCTTATCTTGGTCTGATAACTATACCATCCTCCAATTTTAAATACTTTCAACATTTAAAATAAAAATTTTTTAATTTTTTAGGCATTAGCATTAGATGTACATCAAACTTTTGATAATGAAGGGAACAATTTATCAACGGCAAATAGATTAAAACAAGTTTGGCTAAATAATGGTTCTTTAAAATCCCAATGGGAAATGTATACACAATTTCAGGTTATTTTTTTGAAAATTTTTAAAAAATTTATTTTTCAATTTTTAGGGACGCGAACCAAATATATTGGCTATCAGTAATTTTTATGACCCAATTTTAAGTCCTTTAATTAATGAAGAAAAGAAGTATGCTTTAGGTTGTTGATTTTGTTATTATTTTTAGATTATTTTTTGAATAAAAAGATTTGTTTTAATTAGGGGAAGAGTGTTTTTACTAAAGTTTAATTTTCTAAATTTATTTTCTTTTCATTGGATATCTTTAATTTTTTTCAAAAAATCAAGTATAATTTTAGGAATTTTTAAATATGGTTCGAAGCACTCTAGGAAATTCTTTGGATATCCGAAACCGGAACAAAGAAATCCCCTGTTTTCTCAAACCTGACCCTAGTTTTAAGAAAATTTCCTCAAGATTAGCTTGAAGAATCTCTTGAAGAATTTCGCAGTTTTTGAAGCTTAAGTGTATGAAAAAGCGGAAAGTAAAAATGTACAAATTTCTTCTCTGTATAAAATAATTAAAAATTGAACCTTACAAATAAAATAGACAGAATAAAATAATCAAAATATTTATTGGCTTTAAAAGACAAAAAGAACAATTAAACATTTTTCCATTGCCAAATAATTAAAGGAACAATTTTGTTTGAAGTCGAGAAGAATTCGAGATCTTATAGCTTCACTGGATCGTTTGAATAAGCGTTATGTTGTCGCCCTTAAAATTAAATTTGTAAATTTTTCTTTAAATTCCAAAAAACCTTGAGTAAGATCCGCCCCAATTTGTGACGATTGAGTGACTTCATGTTAACCTCTTCAGCTTCGTCGACGACGACATTCATGTATTCATCGAAACCTGAATAGTAGTGGATCTTTACTTTTATTAAAAATTTTAGAAAGTTGGTGCTCTTGGAAGAACTTTGTTGTCTTCCTAAAAAAATCGATGGATTAATCCCCTTGTTGGGAATGCGTTTAGTATAAAGGCTAAGGATTTTGCCAGTCCGTGATGAGTCTTAGTCAGTGGCTAATCTGTTAGTCAGTCATTAACCTATTCTGTTAGTCTTAGTCCTTGCGCTCCCCAAGTCAAGGACATAACACCCCCTACATGTGGGTACGGCCCACCTTGTCGCGCGGCCACCTTGTCGCAGAGCCATAACTTCCTTCAAGTTTTCCGAATCTTACCAACTTTACTATTAAACGATTCCTCTCATCGAGCTAAAGAGATTGGTACCAAAATTGATAAGGGCCAGAAATTTTTTAGCAAGTTATGGCTCTGCGACAAGGTGGCCGCGCGACAAGGTGGGCGTGTCCCCCTACATGTAACTAAAAAATTTATGACCTTAAATACATTGGTTCCAAAATTTTAACCAAAATTTTAAAAATACGAAGTTAGGTACTTAAACAATACGAGCATTTGTTTGTCCTACTACCCAAAACAAATTACCAATATATAAAAAACAAACCAATAATATATCCTTCAATGCGATAAGTAACATTCTCGTAAAGCCAAATCAGAATGCGAGAACGACTTTGCAAGCAACGAAAGATTAAATTGATGGGTTGAACCATCACCTTTTGAACTTTGTTCGACGGTGGAGCCATTTTAAAATTTTTAAGATTTTTGTTTTCTCTAAAAATGTGAAAAAATAGTAAAGAATATAGATTTTGAACAAATGAAACTTGTTAAAAAATTGTAAAAATTTATAAGGAAAACATTAATAAAAACACGTCATAGAACATTTGGGATGTTGAACAAACTTGGCAAATAAGCCGAAATGTTCAACTTTTTCTGAAAATTTCTTTAAAAAGCAGGGTAATATTGAAGAGTATGGGCCCCATTTTTTCCTCCCTATTTTTTCCCCTATATTTTTACAAAATGATCAGACTTTTTCCTTCCTTCCATCCAACTTGCCTTTATAAGTTTTGCCTTGAAACAAAGAAAAATGATTATTTTTGATATTTTATTCCCCGTTTTAATAGAGAAAATGAGTCTTCTCAAAACTCATACTTGTTAAATACCAAAAAATAATCCTTTTTCTTTGTTTCAAGGCAAAAATTATAAAGGCAAGTTGGATGGAAGGAAGGAAAAAGTCTGACCATTTTGTAAAAATATAGGGGGAAAAATAGGGAGAAAAAAATGGGGCCCATACTCTTCAATATTACCAAAAGCAGCTTCCTTTTAAAAAAGTTGACTAAAGAAAAAGATTGGCAAAACGTTTAATTTTTGTTTAAATCTATTCCAGGCTCCCATACAAAATCTCTATTCCTTAAAATCGCTATTCCTTAAAATCTCTACTAGGGTAAAAATGCTTAAAATCTCTATTCCTTAAAATAACTATTCCTTAAAATCTCTACTGGGGTAAAAATAATGAAAATCTCTACACCGTGCAAATGGACGGTAGAGTCTCAACAAAAGTGTAAAATATGAACTATTCATTGGAAAACCCAGACTTGGTAATGGATACGGATACAATTGTTTAAAAATGGCTGCGGATATCTGCTTGTATCCGCTGTAAATATCGAAGATATAATACACGACTGCTTCGCTGCGGTCGTGTTCATTTTGCTTGCGGTGATCGTATCGAAGCGGCTGCTGTCGTTCCGCTGGACATGCCTGGGTTCATCCGCAGCGGCAAAAACAATACAAGCAAAATAATATCAAAAGATAAGCCAGAAATCAGAACATCGTTTCCGCGCTGAACGTTGGCACTCAAAAGGCTTCAATGAAAAATAGACATTTTATCCTATATTTGGCAGTGTAGAGATTTTAAGGCATTTTCCGTGTAGAGATTATGAGGAATAGAGATTTTAAGGAATAGTTATTTTAATCATTTTTAGCCGAGTAGAGATTTTAATGCATTTTAGCTGTGTAGAGATTATAAGGCATTTTAGCCCAGTAGAGATTTTAAGGAATAGAGATTTTGAGGGGATACGCTATTCCAAACTCTTTCTTTTACACACTCTCTCGCATTATTAAATGGACGGACCTGTTGAGAGCGAAAAGTTGAGCGTGTGGACAGCTACGCCTCTATTCGTCCCCTTCAAGATTCGTCCCCTTGAACAAAAATCACGATTCGTCACATAAAAAATTCGTCACATCTCAAGATGTCCAACTGAGTTTCTAGTTCGACTCAATTCGTCGAACTAGAAATTTAAAACGGATCATATTTAGGAACATTATCATTTTTTGATCAATTCAAAAATGATTTTAAGTAAATTTTTAGCAGGAAAATTGGGTTTTAAACTGTGCCCAGCAGAATGTTATGAATTAAGGCAGGTTATAAATTTAAAAAAATAAATTTTATTTAATTTTAAAACAACTTTTAGTCATACTTGGAATCCAAATTGTTTGTTGGCTATTTATGATGCTTTATTACCCAGTGCATTATTCTCTCTAAAAACTTATGGAATTTTATATTTTGTAAGTTTTAAAACTTTTTTTTTAATTTTTTGGTAATATTGAACCTGACAGACCCCTTTCTTCCTCCCCAAGTTTCTTCCTGTATATTTGCAGATTGGTCCGACTTCTTCCTCCAATTTTCCTTCCATCCAAGGGGGAATAAAATTAATTTTTTTTTGATTGTAGGCAAAATATAGAAGAGCAATTGGGATGGAAAAAAAATGAAAGTCTGACAAGGGTTGTCGCTTCTTGGAAAATCTTCGGATATCCTGAACTGAAAAATCATCAGTTCTTCGGTTCGGTCCGGAACCGACAACCCTAAGTCCGACCATTCTGTAGATATATATAGGGAAAAACTTGAGGAGGATGAAATGTCAGGTTCAATATTTCTAATTTTTTAGTTAAAATCTTTAATCGACAAGAAAGGAAAAATACACAAAATTGAATGGAAAAATTTTGTTTTGAAAACAATTCGTTCCTCTTTATTTATTGTCTGCACTTGTATTCTTTTTATGTTATGGTTTTGTACTTTTAGACGTTTTCTTGGTTTTGTTACTTGGCCAACACTTTCTTTTTTGAATGGATTTGCTACTTGTTTAGTTACTGTTTGGATTGAAACTAAGCAAAGGAGAGCTTTGCTTCTTCCTTATTTGCTAAATTTGGTTAGTTTTTAAATTTAAGTATTTTATTAGGGTTATTCGCTACCGAACATCTCTTAGTTTTTGTTTACCCAAAATTTTAAAATCACTCATTTACAAGAAATTTCTTTATAATTTTATTAAAACGGTTAATTTTGGCAAGAAATATCAAAATTTTGTGTCTTAAAACTGGTCGTGAACACCTCAAAAAATTTTTATTTTGTATATGTTCTTCCTCATAATCACAAAAATTTTTTTTATTTTTTTTTGAATTTTTTTAATTTTATTTTTCATTTTTATGCCTCCGAAGCATTATTTCGTCAAGCTGAACAACGCAAATTAATTTATCCAATTAATTTTTTCGAATCAATTTTATTTGGATTTTCAACTGGGGCAATTTCTTTAATTATTTCAAAAAATAATTTTATTTCTTTTAATTCTGAATATTATTCTAAATTGTCAAAATCTTCAAATTTTCTTCAAAAATTATTCAAATATAGTCATGGCTTTTTACCTGAAGAAGAAATTGGTTATTGGAAGAGATTTAAACGAGCAATAAAGGTTACTTTAAAAAATTATTTCTAAAATTAAACAAGGGAAGGGGAACCTAATTAAATTTTTCGAGCCTGAAAAATACTTGTTCGACTAACAATATGTATCAAAATTAAAAAAACCTGATGGAGTACTACCAAAAATCAAGAATACTTCAAACTCCCTACATCTTTATAATCCTAGAAAATATGGTACTTTCGTAGCAGGGCTGGGCGAAATCTAAAAATAAAATCCGAAATGCGAAACTTTTTCGAAATGTGAAATTCGCCCAGCCCTGTTTCGTAGGTACCGAACCGTGCCGAATATCAGTAACTAGGGTTGTAGGTTATTTGAATCTTCGAACGAGTAACTGTTATATCAATTTTAAAATTCCTAGCATTATGAGAAATTTAATGGAATTTTTTTTCTCAAGTTTTCAATTAATATATATTTTTTTTCTAGTTGTCTACAAGAAATTTTATAGCATCTTTTACTTTATTAAATATTTACAAATTGTTTAATAAACAACAAAATACATTAAAATTCCCCTTTTTTCTAGCTTCAATGCCTTTACTTTTTGAGGTTTTTTTATTTTAAATTAAAAAAAATATTTATTTTATTAAAGTTTTTAACTTCAATTACTCGCCCTATTAATTTTTTAAATCAAAAACAATTTTTATTTATTGGTTTGAGTTCTTTTCTTTCAATGGCTATATTTTGGCAAAACAATACTTTGGCGTTATATACATTTTGGAAAATGATTGAGGTTTTTTTTAAAATTTTTTTAATATTTGAGTTGATTTAAGTAAATTTTGAGAAATATTTTGTGGGGGTTAGTCCTTTGTTTACATAAAAAACGTTTTGTGACTTTAAAAATGACTTTGAAAAAGAGGTTAGGTAATTTTATCTCTTTATTTTCTATTTTTTGATTGAAAAATGCAGAGCTTTTTTTATGAAAATATTTTAGAGGGTAGTTTTGTTATTTTAACATACCTATACTTTCATTTTCCTGGTTTTTAAACATTCTAAAAATTTTCGAGAGCTCGTTAGATCATTTTCATTTTTGAAAATTTTAATTGTTTCGCTTAAATAATTTCAAAGTAATTTTACAAAGACAAATTAATTTGTTTTTCTCCTTAATTTAAATGCTCTTTTTTTAATCTTTTTAAGGACCAAAAAATTATAATTCTTTTACTCTTTAAGGAAGTTTAGGGAGTGTAGGGTTTCGGGGTTTGTCGAGGTAGTGCCTGCAGGGTTCGAGTCGGGGTTTTTGCCAAAAAATTTCGATTTCGGGGGGCGGGGTTATACCCTACTTTAAAGTTTAATTTTTTTTTCTAGTTAATTTATTACAAATTAATTTGTTCAAATAATTTACCAATAATTCCTGGTGGAGATGTGCTTCTCTTCTGTACACTTTCCAGTTATCTTTTAGGCCTAGCTGTTTTAGAGCCTCATTTACTTCGGCGAAATTATTATAAATTTTTATGTTCAGCGACGGGAAACAAGTTTTCTTTTGAAATTTTTTTATTTTTTTAAATTATTTTTTGTCAGACTTCAACTCTTCAATAGACCTTTAATTGAAGCTTTCTTTGGTTTTAATTCTTCAAAATTATACAAAAATTTTTGGCCAAAATTGGAATCAAAATTGTTAACAATTAATCCGGCTTTTTATTGTTTAAAGTCTCAACAGTTTCATTTGATTTAATTTTTTATTCATAATTGCTCAAAAATATAATTTTTATTAGTTAGAAAAGTATTCTAGAATTTGGGTACGGGATATATGTGTGTTATAAATTTGTTTAGGATTAAAGAGGTTCGAATCCTTTTTTGGATAATTTTCATTAATTCTTGAAATGAAAAATTTAATTTTTAAAGTTTTTACAAAAAATATTTTAACGAAGACCTCTATTTTTTGATTGGAAAATTAAAACTAAATAAAATCAAAGCTTAAACACATACATTCTTACCTGACAGGGTTTTTTTTTCATTTTTAGGATAAATTAAAATTATTTTTAGTTGTATATTTCAAATTTTTAGTTCAATTTTTAAAATTTTGATTTTCTTTATTATATTTTTTAAATAGTGCCATATTTTTAAAATTAAAATAAAAAGTATTTTAAAATTAATTTCTTATTTATTTTTTAAAATTGTTTTTAAACAAAAAAATTTTTTTAAATATTTTTATAAAGGAAATGAATTTTTTTAATAATTTTTAAAATTTATATTTAATAAAAAAGAATGTCTTCATCTTTATTAGCAACAAGAAGTAAACAACGACAAGAAATTGAAGAAATTTCTCAAAATCCAAATTTAATAAAGGATTTAAAAATTGTTTGGAATTTATTTTTAATTTTTAATCTAATTTTTATTTAGTTACCACAAAATTATTCTTTTGAAATTCCAAAAACTATATGGAAAATTAATAGTACACAAAGCAAAACTGGTCGGTGAGAATTAATTTGAATTAATTTTAATTTTATAAATGGCTTATTAAGATCGTCCATTCATCCTCATATAAACTTAAAGGAACCTCTCGAAATATTGCCAAAAAATTTTTATTGTTAGATAAAAAATGGCTATCAACCATTATCATTAGGTTATCGGCCTTGCTCTTTGCGATGTTATAATTTAAATTTTTCATTAAAATTTTTGAATTTAAAAGTTCGAGTTTCCCTCGTGAGATAGCCCTTTAACTTTTCTATATTGTTCTGGTTAATCTCTCAGTTATTTCACGTTCTCCATTTTCTTCCATAGGGATCCCAGTCCACTAGTTTCTCCCAATTCGAGTCCATTTCTGGGATTGATTGAATCTTTCATTTAATTTTGTTTTCTATTCCAGTTGCTCTCCAAATGCCTGAAGGATTAACAATGTTTGCCTGTTTAATTGCCGATATTTTAGAAAAATATACTCGAAATGTTGAATTTATAATTTTGGGGGATGTTACTTACGGGGCTTGTTGTGTAGATGATTATACGGCTAGGGCTTTGGGTTGTGATTTGCTTGTACATTATGCACATAGTTGTCTGGTTAGTTTAGAAATTTGGGGGTTTTTAAAAAAATGATTTGGTTAATTACTACATGAAAAAATGCATCTGTAAACATGGACACGAAAATAGAATGAAATTTTTTCCAAAAGATTTCTTTTAATTATTTTTGTGATGTAAACTGAGGAAATTAAAAAGAAACAAGGGAATTACTCCAAAATAAAATTTTTAAATCCTTAAAACTAGTTTTAGGCAGTAGATTTTTCGGTACCATTACTGGTACTACAGAACATTACTGATTCGGTGTTGTCGGCCTGAGATGATGATTGACCAAATTAGTCGAGATATTTTATTAATTTTATTGGGAAAGAATAAAGATTTTCTGAAAGATTTGAATAGTAACTCGGCTACTTAGATTTAATGATTTTATTTTTGTTATTTAATTATTTAATAACTAGAGATCGGCTCGATACGATTTTTCATCGATAATTATCGATATTTTTCGATATTTTTTTTCGATATTATCGAAAAAATATCGACCGACAAAATTTAAAAATCGAAACAATCGACCGACCAAATTACAAAAAATCGAAAAAATATCGAATGTCATTTTTGACAAAAATTTGGATTTTTGGCGCCAAAAAGGATGCATTTTTGCTTCTTGCCCATCAGAAATTCAAAAAATTTTCGCCTGCGGCGCAAGAAAGGAAGGTTTCTTCTATATTCACGATTTAGTTTGCCAAAGCGAGACGAGAGTGTGATAATATACAGTGATGTCAAAGTTCCAGTTCCGGAACTAATTATAATAGTTCTAGTTCCAGAACTAGACAACAAATCCCTTGAAATCCCAGAGACACCACTAAACTCTCCGATATTTTTCGAATCCAACTTAATCCCAGTGAATCCCCCGATATCCCCCTTCATCCACTATTGATCCGAAAATGGAAATATTATATAAATAACAAAGGATTAAGTGGATAAAATGGATCTCAAGGATTCAAGACGGAGCTTTGTGAGAAATGGATATCAAAACGGATATCAAAAGCCAAGATTTTTATCCTATGATATCTCTTTATACCCCGATAACCTTCTTAATCCACAAATCCCTTAATAAGTTCCTGATCTCACAAATCCACAATATCACTCTTACTACCTCCAAATCTCTCGATACACACACAGTCCTTCAATATCCGCCTTAATTCCTTAAAATCCATTATTCCTAGTTAAAATCCACTTATATCCCACTTGATCCTTCGATATCAAATACAATTCCATTGATATTACATTTAATACATCCAAATCCACCTATATCCCATTTATCAATCTTAATCTCATTAAACTATTAAGTCCATTCTGTTATTCATTGGTTATAGAAAAATTTTTGAAAAATCGAAAAATATCGAGACTTTTTTTTCGATATTTTTCGGTTTCGATATTTTTCGATATTTATCGAAAAAATATCGACCGAGAAAATTTTGATTTTTTCGATATTTTTCGATATTCGATATTTTTCGATATTTATCGAAAAATATCGACCGACCTCTTCGGCCGATCTCTATTAATAACTAACTTTTTAACCTTTTTCTTTCCTTTAAAAGGTCCCAATACAACACACAATTGGAATTCATTTACTTTATGTTTTTGTCAATATAGATATACAAATAACACATTTTTATGATACAATAAAACAAAATTTTAATTCAAACAAAAATTCTTTAAAAATTGCTTTGGTTAGCACAATACAATTTATTGCTTCCATACAAGTTTTTAAAAAATAAAAATTTAAAAAATATTTTTCTTTTAAAGGCAGCCAAAAAACAATTAGAAAAAGATGGTTTTCAAATAATTATACCTCAAGCTAATCCTCTTAGTCCTGGAGAACTTTTGGGATGTACATCGCCTAAATTATCTGATGATGTTTCTGCTATAATGTGAGGATTTTTATTTTTAGTTAATAATAGAGTGAAGAGTTTGGAGGATTTGGGAGTTAAAATAATGCTTTTACTGGTTGTATTAAGGGAAGGGAGGAAGCCTTAATTATATGTGGGAAAACCGTTGGACTCTCATAACAGTCCGAAAGATTGAGTTTGAAAAGGATTCCCTTCAATTTATCTACATGTCCCAAGCTCCAGTTATCTCAATTAAATTTATGATAAATTGGAGAGGATAGACTAAATCCTGAGATAAAATTAGCTATGAGATGAGAAGGAAAATACACAATATTATTTCTGACCATAAATAATTTATAAAAAATTATTTTATTTTTTAAAGTTATCTGGGTGATGGCCGTTTCCATTTAGAATCAATAATGATTCACAATCCAAAGATCCCAGCATATCAATATAATCCTTATTCACATGAATTTACTATTGAAAAATATGGTTTTGAAATGTTACTTTCGAACAGACAAAAAGCTATTGAAATTGCTAGAAAATCAAAAAGAATTGGTTTAATTCTTGGAACTTTGGGGAGACAGGGAAATATAAAAATATTTGAGGTAATTTAAAAAATATAGGGAAGGGAGGGCTTTTATGAAATGAAATTATAATTTTGTGGGGGAAAAAGGAAGAGAATTATGATCAGGGCTGGACGCAGTTGTGGATTGCGTAGAGAATTGCGTGGTTTTTTGACTTGCGGATTGCGGCTGCGGACTTTTTTCAATTGCGTTTAGTCCTGATTATTATTCTTCAATAGTAACTACGAGTAATTATTTTCTCGTTCTCCTCTTGAAGGAGTTTCTCCTCTTGAAGGACTGAGATATTAATAACAGACTTTGACTTAAAATTAGGGAAATTTTGGAAATAAAAAAGTAATAAGAAGATGCAAAAATTTCATAGGAATGGGGAAGAGAATTTCCTAATAACTGAAATTAAGTTTAGGGGGGTCTTACGAAAAATGCATCAATTGTTAAATTGAAGGGACCTCTCATCTATTCACTAATTTTACAAGAAAAATAAAGTCGGGATTTTTAAATTAAGGAACAAAAAATATAAAGGTTTCTAGAGGAATTTTAAAAATTTTCCTTATAAAAATTTCCATAAAAATTTTATTTTACTTTAAAAAAATATTTAAAATTTTCTTTTCTTCAAGTATATTGAACAACAATTAATAAATAATGGAAAACAACCAATAAAAATACTTTTATCTGAAATATTTGGATCTATATTAGATAAATTTAATTCAATAGATTGGTAATTTTCAAGTAAAATTTTCTCTCAAAAAAATTTAATTTTAGTTGGGTCCAAATAGCCTGTCCACGACTTTCAATAGATTGGGGGCACACATTTAAATTACCTTTATTAACCCCTTTTGAAATGTCTACAGCAATTTTATCAAATAATAATTTAATTAAATTAAATGATTATCCAATGGATTATTATGCAAATGAAAGTAGAGGGCCGTGGACAAATAATCATGAAAATTATAGACAAGATAGAAAAAAGAAAATTGAACACATTTCTCTTGTTAAATGTTAATTTATTTAAGAAGGAAATAAATTTTGTTTTTTGTTTTTGAGGCTGTAAAGCCTATAGCTATTTAATTCCTAAGACTCTGCATTAGGCGGCGTGATGTAATGGATACACATCAGTCCGGTCTGCTGGAGATGCTGGTTCGCTCCGAGCCGCCGAGCCTCCCATCCGCTCCAGCCAGCCCAGCTTCAGCTCCCATCTGAAGGAGAGAAATAGCTCCCAGTTGCTTTACTGAGATACATATAGAAGAGACAATTAAAAAAATTTTACTATAAAAAGCCCCTCAATTCCTTCAATGCCAACCATTGTAAAACATCCTAAAACACCACGCTTTTACGCTCAAAAGCATTAACGCACTTTAATGCTCGTCTACTACCTCGACACCGGCCCGGGAACAAGTAAATCGTCAACGCTGTGCTCCTTGTTGTTGCTGCTGCTCGTCATCGCAACATTCCTTGTGTGTGAAGTGCCTGGACAGATGAAGGAGGAACTCGTCGGAGTTGCCAATCACAAAAAGATTGGAAACAAAGTTACGCTTGTCAACCACACAATAATAGCCAACGAGGAAAACTTTAACTCTTTTGTGTACATCCAGCGCTTCCCGAATTCATGTGAGGCTTATATCGACAAAAACACCATGTAAGTTGCCTTTTTTCAGGATGTTTGTAAGTCTAGTAAATTGTTTTCCATTCCAGTGAGTTTAACATCGACGGCAAGGCATGCACAATGGACCTCCTCAGCAGGAACAAAAGCAACAACAACAGGATCAAGTTCAAAGCTGGAGTGAGGAACAAAGGAGGGCAATGCTTTGGAGATGGTTCCAAAGTGCAGGATAGCTTTAACAACACGTAGGTTTTGAGTTTAGTGAAAAATTTTGATTTTCTGCTTTTTAGTATGCCCTTCGTTTACAGCAAAAACAACAAGGATGTCGAAAGGCTCAGCAAAGGTCCAATCTATACTCACGAGGAAATATGTAAGAAAAAAGAGGCGTGTGGATTGTGCATGCCGTGGACGATTCTTGAAGTCTCTTGGACCAGAACGGATTATTATTACTACGCGTTCACCCGTTTAGGTAAAATAAAACTCGAACAGACATGCCTATATTGTATTTTTGTTCTTTCAGTTGGCGAAGTGACTCCCGGCAAGAAGGATAAAGCCGAGAGTGATGGTTCTGAGGATAAGACCATCGATATAGAGATAGAAAGTGACCACAGATTCACGATGCTCTTTGGAGGCAATTTGACTCATGAGCAGACCTTCGACTCATCTGTGCTGCCCTTGACTGTGGACAAAATTAAATGCGTTCCAAGGAACACTCCCTTCGTTGCCCCAGAAACATGGACCATCACAAATGACAATCTGGAAGGTGAACGTCTACTCGTCTTCAGCCTGCTTCCAGCGAGTGCGTCTGTTGTGTTGAGTGGTAAGAAACTTGTGGGTACACCAGCCAGGCAAAAATGTCATCTCTTCGTCCAATTTGTGAGTAACTTTGTCCCAATTTGTGGGCCCCATTAAATTTATTTCAGGAAAGACCGGACTACGAGCTGCTGTTTGTCTCTCCTCCGCCACCTACAACAACGACGGTTACTACTACACCGGAACCAGAGACTACAACGTCTGCTCCTTGTGAGTGTCCAACTACATCTTCAGAGACTGCAACAGCAACGACAACTTCTGCTCCTTCAGCTGAAACAAAGTCGTCAACTTCGCCTGTCTGGGGTTTTCTCTTCATTCTTCTACTGGTTGGCTGGATCGTCATAAACGCGGGGTGGATTTGCTTCAATATGAAGAAGGATGAAAATGAGCTAAGGGAAGAGAAAATGGTAATAAACCTTTTTTTGAAACTTTTTTCCCAAAAATCCAAATTATTTTTTCAGCCAAGAAGTATTGTAATAACTACAGGAGACTCGGAGTATGGATCGGAAGTTAATACGGCAATTCAAGTGGATGCTGAAAGCGCAGAGACGGCACGGGAAGATGGAGAGTCGACAAGACCACAAAGCGTTGTGATAACTACAGGAGACTCGGAGTATGGACCGAACGTTAATACGGCGATTCAAGTGGGTGTTGAAAGTGCAAAGACGGCACAGGAAGACGGAAAGTCGACTACAGCTCCAGTGAATGTTGGGCAGGCACAAAGTGCAAACACGGCACGGGAAGATGAAAAGTCGGTTACAGCTGAAGTGGATGTTGGGCAGACACAGGAAGACGATGGGGAAACTGAGGGATCGGATAATGAGACGGTGACTCCTGTGGAAACCGAGACGCTGCCGGAGCTTGAAGAATAAATGGAGATGTGAGAGAGGGATTAATAATTATATCTAGTGATGATATTGTCTATTGTAAATAAATATATTTCTTTGTTTCCTATCTTGTTTATTTTTTAATTGTGATAAATTGTTGTTTGATTTTTTGCTTTTTTTAGAATAGGAAAAACAAATAGGAAAATAGTTTAGGGAACCAACTATTCTGTAAAACTTTTAAACTTTCCTTCAGGCGGGCAGCTTTCATAGCTTTTCAATGCTTTATAAATAAAGCCGAAAAAATTTATTGTCTTTGAAAATCCCCGTCCATTCGTGTTACAACTACTAATAATATTAATTGCAATATTCCATAAAAAATCCTAGATAACCATTGAAGATTACAAGTCACTCAAACCGCTTAAAAACCCTCAAAATTCTAAAACTAATCCTCTTCCCCATACTGTTAATATTCTGATGATGTTAAGAAAAAATGATCCTGCAAAGAATATTAATCTTAACTGAGATATCAAAATTTTCAGTTTGTAATTTTCGGTTTCGGAAATCGAAAGAAGACGAAAAGTCGAAACGTCGGAACTGGGAATTCCGACCGACTTTTGGAGTAAAGTCCAACTTCACTATTAAAGTCTCCCCTAATATGAATTTAAATACTGAAAAAAATATCAGAAATATTTTCAAGATTTATCAAAAATAAAATTTAAAAAAACAACTTGAAAGGACCGGAATGCTTATTTGCATTTAAATAAATTAAAACAACAAAAAAATCTTTTAAATAATTCCGGTAAAGGCACCCAAAACAAAAAATAAATAAATATTTTTAAGAGAAAGTTGAGGCAAGAAGTAAAAAAAGAATTGCTGAGTGAGATCTCCAAACTTTTTTTCAAATTTTTGATTTTTTTTTTTTTTCAAGTTTGAGTTGAATAAACAATAGTAAAACTGACACCCATTTTAACACAATCTTGCAAATCAGCAAAACCTTTTTAAATAAATATTTAAACTTGAAGAAAAAATTTTTTCTTTCTTTCACAGAAATTTATCTTTGTTAGAATTACCAGAATCCGAAAATGGTTATTTTTAAGAAAACTTGGTATTTAGATATTATTCCGATTTCTTAAAAGTGAAATGGTTACAAGGGTCTCCGCCCCCACTTTCTCAGAACTACGACTTTACTTTCTTCCGTCTTTTGCTCTTTAAAACGAGACAGAACCCAATCCTTGAAAGAAACCCAGAAACCCTAAACGTAAATCTAATAATTTGTAATACTACTTCCGAATGTTCATATTAAATATTTTTTTTCAAATTCAAAATTAAATATGTAAAGATAAAAATTTACCGCTTTGAGGATCGAGCAAATGCTTAAAAAATTTATTTTTAATTTTTATAAAAATATTAAAAGAAAATTTTATACATAAATTCCAACAAAGTCAGCAAAACCGCTCCTTCCACGACGACCCAAAGCATTCGAAAAAACAATAGGTTTTCCATTACTTCTGTGAATGCAAGCATCAACATCAGTTATATGTTTCATACAAAAAGTGCTAAATTTATAAATTAATTTTGAAAAAGAAAATTTTTAAAGAAATTTTTCAGTGGTCGGATTCGAACCTTCAACCCTACAAGAGAAAGTCTAAACCACTACCAACTACACCACGGGGACAACGGGTTACCTAATTAAATTTCTGCTGATATAGTTATAAAAATGTTAACTTTGAAAAAATAAAATTAAAAAACAAACAAATTGACACGGCATTCCCATTCCTCCGGACAACTTTTTGGCACATAAATACAAAGATAAAGGCCCAACCAATTGTCAACACTGAAAATTTCAATTTTTTATTTAAAAATTTTTTTAGAAAACCTCCGTTCAGCGCAAAGTTTCCAATGAAAACCACCCAGTTGAATAGGTCCCGAATAAATAGCCAAAAGTGTTGGATTTAACGCAAGAATGCGAAATTTTTCCAAAGTAAGTTTAATACAGCCTTGTAATGCTTAAAAAATAATTTTTTAAAATAAAATTAAAGTATTTTTTTACAAAGTTTGGTTGGTATCTCTTAAGTTTTCTTTTTGTCTATTTCTTTTATTTTACCTCAAAACAATTTTTTGTTTTGTATCAATAGTTACCCCAATAATTATTATCGAATAATTAAATGATATTTCTTTCAAGCCACGGGTAAATCAAAAAGAAATGAAGATCGAAAGAAACATAGATATGTCTCGAATCACCCGAGCCCAAAACAAGGACCAAATACCCAATCCGAGGAAATTTTTGAAAATCCGACCAGAATTTTTTTCTCGACCCGAGACAACCCTGAAGAAACCCAATCAAAATTTTCTTTGGCCAAATAAAAATTAAATTTAAACTAACGCCTAAAACTTTTAATTGCGTGAAGTTTGCGTGTCAATTCATTCTTCTCGGAAGTTAATTTTTTATTTACTCGTTCCATCACTTTACTTCGTAAAAGCAATTCTTCATGTTTTTTAAGTTCTTCAGCATTCTTTTCCAATTGAGAAGCCTCCTCAGACATTTAAAATGATTAAATTCTTCCTTAAAAAAATTTTAATTTTTGCGGACAATTGTTAACATTTGCGGACAAATAGCTAATATTAAAACCTTCACAAAAAACTGACTTTATTAAGGAAAAATAAACGTTGCAATTCTCCTCACTACAAAAATACCATCATTCCTACACTCCAAAAAAACCAATTGTCTAATTACACGTTGCTATATAAAGTGTCCGCAAAAACCAAATTAATAAAAAAAATAAAAATATTTATTAGATTCGGGGTATTCAAACTAATAAAAGATTACAAAAAATTATTTTTTTTTAAATATTTATTTAAAAACAAAAAAACAGAAAACAACTTTTAATCATTTTTTAATCGTCTTCTTTTGTCATTATTAAACCCCGAAGCAAAAATATACATTTCTGAACTGTTGTCTCTACTTGCATCCGGTTTTATAAATTTTACTTGATGAAAATAGTCATTCAAATTATTTTTTAATTCGCTTCTGTCCTGGCCGTCGAAAATCTGCAAAAAAAAAATTTTAAGAGATTTTTTTAAATTTTTTAAGAATTTTCAAGAGAAAAAATTTTTGCGGAGAAGGAAGAAAATAGGAACGACAATTTAAAAAAACCTTGCATAGAAATATTCCGTCTTTTGCTAAAATTGTTTTCCCGTCAATAGAGTTTTCTTTTGTTCCAAAATCTAGTAATGATTTGCATAATTGAATTATACGAAAATGGTCAACTCTAGAATCTCCTTTAAAAAATCATTTTTTTATAAATTTTAAAAATAAAAAAATAAACCTATAGGGTTTGGTGCCATATCACTCAATAATAAATTAACTTGTCTTCCTTGAAGCCTTCGAATAATTTCTGTTTGAGTTGCAGGTTTAAGAAAGTCTGCTTTACAAAGTAAATCAACCCCATCTATCGGCGAAATTGGCTAAAAAGAAAATTGGGTAATTTTGAATTTATGGTCCTTTTTTTATTTCTCCCCAATTTTCCATTTTACCCATGGCTAGTAAGTTATTCAGAAAAGATGAAATGTGGGTATATAACAAGCACCAACTATTTATAGCCATGAGTAGAAAGGGGAAAATTGATAAATAAGCCAGAAAGTTTAAAGTTAACAAAAAATTAAAATAAATTCCCACCAAAAACTTACAAGTAAATCAATTCCCAAAATATAACCATCTTGACTTTCTTGAAGGCCATTCTTGTTAATTTCAGTTTGATTTGAATGCAACGGATTTAATGGGAAAATTAATTCACTCAGAACTTGACACCACGAACCAGGAGCTAACAAAATAAAAGAAAATCAAGGAGGCATTGAAATATATAAAAACCTGCTCCAACATCAAGTGCAACAAGACCTGAAATAAAAAAACAAATTTAAAGTCAATTTAGTTTAACAAATCAAAGTTTGAAATTTAAAAAATTCATTCTTAACATGGGCTTTATCTGGATCTAAACCTTGAATTGGTCAAGAACCAAGATTATTTTCAGAAAAAAATAATTTTTAAGGTGTCTACCTAATTCTTCACTATTACCCAGAATCACGCCTAGGGAATTTTTCAAATTTCATTAATTTTTATAGAAAGCAAGTAAATCGTTGCCAAAAATCGAGATCAAGGTTTTATTAAAATTTTCATCCTCTGCATTCGTATATTTAAAAAAACCATTTAAAATAAATTTTAGACATTTACCTGGCTTTATAAAGTTAAATTTTTCATTAATTTGCAACAATTTAAAAGCACTTCTAGCTCTGTAAGAATGTTCTTTGGCACGGCGTGAATATTGATCGTTTGCTTGTCTTTCCAAATAACGTTCAACTTCTTTTCTTTTAGAAAAATAACGAAAAAATGAAGTTGAAGGGTGTAATCGAAAATTTAACATTAAGAATTCTAAAATCGAATAATTTAAAAATAAAATCGTATGTATTTTGTAAAAATTTCCACTAGTTTACATTTTGAAATTAAGCAAATTGATATAAATACAAGAGAATTTATTACAAAATACCAACTTATAAAAATGGTAATAAGTGCTAAAAATTATTTTTTGTGTCGTTTTTTTTCATTTCTTAAATTTTTTTAAAATAATTTTAAGAAAAATTTATTTTGACAAATGGAAAATTTTAATATTAAATCACTTCTTTCATCAATAGAATCAAAAAAAGTTAATTTAAATTGGACTAAAGCAAATTTCGGACTTGTCGAAAAAATGAGAAGAAAAATAAAAGAAGAGGTTGGAAATTTTGAAAAATCTTATATTTTATATTTTAGTCTTCGTTTCCTTCAACATCAAAAAACGATGTGAGTCAGATTATGGATGAACATCGACTAGATAAATTATTTGAAAGCAGATTTGATGCTACCGCCATGAATGATATTGACGTTTAATTTTTTTAAATATTTTCTTAATTATTTGAATTTTTTAAGTTAAAACATTTTCAACTCAAATCAATTCTAAATGAACTTAGACAAAATTTTGGTGTCAATATGACTAAAGAAATTATAGATCAACTCATTAGACGATTTTTACACGTAAATTTTCTAATTCTTATATAAGATTTTTATGTTCTTGACTGCGGGGTGTCCGAGTAATAACTGGCTAACGCTAAATATGTCAGCCTTTTATACTAACAAGGAACCATCGCGAACTATGACCATAAATTTTCAAATTTATGCCATCGTGTAGAGCATGGTCAAAAACCGTTTACTTATTTTTTCCTTTCTGGCCCTGACCCCCATTTCGAAAAGTTATAGGGATCCTCAACAAGTTTGACTTCACTTCTTATTATTAGGTGTGCCTTAAATAGTGTTGATCGCTTACATTAGGTGGCTCCCTGCCTAGAGTTAAACCAACTTGTAACGTATCTAGATTTATGTAGATATATTTATTGTTAGTATTATAAGTGAGGCTCTGTTTTTTTATTCAAAAGCTGACTATATTTTTTAATTTCTTTCAGGAAAATTCCGAGCAATTTAAATCTCATCGAAAAGAAGTTATTAATTTTTTGATGGAAATTTTGGAAACTCGTCCACCAATAAATGCATATTATAGATGGGAATGGATGTGTATTATACTTTCTGACTTTAAAGAGGTTTATTCTGACCATGATTTGCTTAAAACTTTGGATAAATTTTCTAAAGAAATTCTCAAATATTTCAAGTAATTTTTAATTTTATTTTTTAATTTTACGGGATTTTCTAAAGTATTATAATCTCCTTTTTCTTATTAACTATCCAATAATTCATCTAATAAGACTAGATTTTTTGAGGTTTCTTTTTTTGGCTTATCAAGTAGATTGGCTCTTTTTCCTTTAAGCAACATTTTTTCATTTTGCCCTATTTTTTTAAATTTCTGTAGCTTTTTTCCAAATTTGTTAGATATGTCAAAATTAGGAAAGCTTTAGAAGCTCCCCTGCCTCTAATAATTTTTAAAATTTCCTTCCAAATTCATAAAATAAAATTTTTTTTTCCAGAAACGACAAACTTCCATTAGAATTTAAACAATTTTTGCTTGCCTTGTTAGAATATGATTATGCAGTCTTATGTGCAAATAATTTAGACACAGTAAAAGATCAACAACACTTATTTCAAGATGTTTCAACCAAAACTTTAAAAATCACAAATAACAAAAAATCTTTGTCTACTTTCAATCAATTACCTACAACACCAAGAATAAATAATGTAATTGAGAAAATGGAAGATTTGGATAATTATCCTTTGGCTTATTTAATTTTGTGTTCGGTTAGCCGTGAAGCTGGCAATTTTCGTGAACTTATTTCTACAAGATTGGAAACGGTTATTGTACAGGATTTACTGATGCATTTCCATCCTAAAGAGGTTTTTTAAATTTCTTTCATAAGAAATATTTTCAATTTTTTTCTGAAATGCTTTTCAAGTTATTCTTTACCAATTAATATATTTATCTAAATTTGTTTTTCAAAATCCAAAGTTAAAAATTTATTTTTGGGTTATTTTATGACAAATTAAAATAGTGCTAGTGAATTTATTTTTTATTTCGGTCAAATCTCTGTTGGATACTGAAACCTCCCAATTATTTTATAGAGGGAACTCGTAGTTTTTTTAATTTTCTTTCTCGAATTTTAAAAATTAATTAAAAGATTTAAAAATCTTTAAAAAAATTTTTTTAAGTATCCACTCGATTATTGTCGTATTTATGCCCGTTTGGTGGGTCTTTTACTGGATATATTACTTTTTGTTGAAAGACAAGGAGATATGAATATTTTTGATGTTGAAAACGATGTTTCTAGAAAACTAAAAAAATTGGTTATAAAAATTAGAAATGAACATGATTTTGAAGAAATTAAAGGAAAAAATAAAAATATATTGGAAAAGGATGTTGATTTTGAATGGAGAATGTTTTTACAAATGGCTGGAGTTCCTTGGATTGGGTAATTAATTTTATTTTATATAATTTCAAAAAAGTAGTTTTATAACTAAACCGACGTTCTGTCATTTTTTCGAGCCGAACCGGTCGAGTTTTTTTCGGGGCCCATTTTTATCGAACCGTGGTCTTTTTCGGGCCAAAATTCGATGCCCGATTCGATCTTTCGAAATGAACCGGGCCCCCAACCCTAGTTATACCTACAAGGTTTCAATTTTTGGTAATTTTCGATTTCAGTTAAAGGGAATTTAAAATAATCTAAAATATTAGTTTTTAATTTGTATAACTCTTGGGGGTTGTCGGTTCGAGATTTTTTGGGCTGGTTTTAGATATCCATGAAATTTATTTATTCGAACTAAAACAATACTCGGTGAGTGAACGTAAAGGAAATGGGAGAAAATAATTAAAACTTTTTATAAAATTAAATGATGTTTTTTTAAAAAATTAAATTTTTTTTAGAGAACTGCCTTTAATGTCAACAATATCTTGTCTAGGAAGTGTCAAATTTTTTAATAAAGTATGAGAGAGATTTTTAAAATGGATTTTTCTAATTTATTGACTATTTCAAATTTAATAAAAAAATTAATATGTGAATATTTATTTGTTTTTAATTTTGTTTTTAACAAAAAATTTTTTTTTATTTTTTATTTTCTTTTTAAATTTTAAATTTTTAACAGAAGAAATTGAGAGCTTCAAAAATAAATTTATTTTACTTACTACATTTTAAAAATAAAAAGAGAGAAATTTACTATTAATTTTTCATTTTTTAAAACACATTTTTAACGGAGCATAGTGTGAAAATGTTTATTAAAATATAATTTAGAAACCGAGACGAAATCTCGGCTAAAAATCGCGGTTATCTGGAAAATAAAGATTTCGAGATATCAATTCGATTCTCGTACGACCCTCCCTTACAGCTCGGTCTCTAAAACATTATTCTCTATTTTTAACATAAATTCTATGTTTTTCTATCTAAAAATCTCATCAAAGACTTGTTGTAACCTAAGTTTATTAAATTTTTGTTTTACTCCGCAAATGTTTGTCCGCAAAATCTTTTGTTTTTAAGACACATTCTTTAAGTAATTTCTTTTTCTTTTTGGTTATTGACTGGTATAAATTTCTCTTTTCTCTATTTTTATTTATTCTGACATAAAGCTCTTTTTGTTTCTGCCACATGGCTATTGAAATAAATATATTTTTAGAAAAAAGCTCAAAAACATTCTTTTTATTAAAAAATTTTTTTTTGGATTTTATTTAATTTATAAAAAAGCAAAAAGATACACGAAAAATATTGACATTTAATTGATTTGATTTGACATTTAACGATTTATTTTGGACGTAATTTTAAAATGTTATTTTTCTCTTTTAAAATTTTTTTTCATGAGTATTATTCACCTAAAAAAATTATTTTTAAAAAAAAAGAATCGAAAGATTTTTTTCGACATCTATTTTATACACTTCACTCTAAGGTTGCCGGATAGTTGGAAATCTTCGGATATCCGGATCCGAACCGAAAATTACCGGATATCCGGTCCTTTTTCGGATCCGGATCCAACAACTTCCTTACTTCACTCACCTTCACTCCCTATAAAATACCCTCTATTTTGTGTAGGTCTTTAAAATTAAGTCTTTAAATGTAAGTCTTTAAATCCTAAGTCTTTAAAATTTAATTGGCTATTGGGGCGCATGGCTGCTTGAATTTATTTTTAGAGAAGGCTCAAAAATATTCTTTTAGTTTGAAATTTAACGATTTATTTTGGTCGTATTTTAAAATTTAGTAAATATTTCTCCTTTAAACTACTATTTTTTTCTTTACTAGTAAATAGTATTACTCACAAATTATTTAAAAAAGACGATTCAAATTTTTTTCCAAAACTAACGGTCTTTCCCTCAAATTTCTTATATTTTAGACAAGAATATATAGACCTTTATTTCCAAAAATAACTTTATTTTCTCATTATCTCATTCAATTTTATTTTCTCTCATTATCAATTTTCTCTGATTATCAATCTCATTATCAATTTTTTTACACAATACCCTCTATCTACGAGTCTACAATAATGCCGAATCTGGCAAAAGGCAAGAATGACTAAGGGCGAGCGCGATGGTCGGCCCAGCCAACCAAGACTGATCTCTACTGACTGCTTTTATAATACACTCACACATACCTAACATCTCCTGATATTGCTTCATCCAATTATTTATTTCTGTTATTTAAATTGTTAACCAAAATCTTTATTTTTAGAAAAATTTATTTAAAAAATGGCAACAACAGTCACAACGAGAACAGTCACAACAAGGACAGTCGCAGGGACTGGTCCAAGAATTCGAATGATTCCTATTTGGAGTATTAAATTAATCTCTGCGGTAAGTTGTGAATAAATAAACTTAAAAGGAAATAAATCGACTGTGCGCCAAGGTTATTTTACAACGTAGAAAAACGCCAATTTTTTGCGTTGTGAGTTGTAAAGGATTTTAGCGCACATTCTAAAAAATTAATTTTTTTTAAAATTTTTCAAAAAATTTTTTCAAAAATTTTTTGAAAAAAAATTTTTTTTAAAGATTATTGGACTCGTAGTTCTCGTTTTAATTTTTATTTTGCGAAATTCAATTTGGCAATGGTACGTAAATACATTTATTGTGCTCGTCCTGACCTGTGGATTTTTGCTAGGATGGGCACTTCCGCCCGTTCTCAATCGTTTTCTGACTTTCTATCGATCGGTTTTTCTCTAAAAAATTTTTTAAATAAAAATGAAAAATAAAGGATATGATTACACATTCAATAATTGCTGGACTTTCTGTTTTGTCTTTAATTCTTTGTGTTTTGTTTTTGTTTAGTAATGAACGTTATTCACGTACTGAAGACTATAAAATTATGGTTGGAATTACTATTTGTGAGGAGCTTTTTTCTTAATTAAACTAAAAATTATATGGGAGACATTGGGATAATTTCACAGAAAAAATGATTCACAGGAGGACAATTTACCGAAATTTTTTGGGACAATTCACCGAAAATACAATTCACCGAAACCTTCCCTTTCTGGTCTCGAAACAGACGACTATTAGGTCTTGGTTATTTTAAAAATTTGTTTGAATTCCCAAAAAGAAAAGGGTTTTGTGTATGTGAATTGTTTTATTTATTAAATAAAATAAATAAAAATTAAAATTAATTTAAAGGTATGACAGTAGAAGCAATTGTTTGTTGTCTTCTAGTCTCTTGGATTTGTTTTGGGAATTATGCAATTGTGGAGACTCGTTGAATTTTTTTGCTGAAAAATTCAAATAAAAAATTAAAAATTTCTTTTTAATTTTCACGAGAACATGACTTTAAAAATTTTGCATATTTTTATTTTTTAATATGCCCCTAAATAAAGGCAAGATTTGGTGTCCAAGTTAAAAGAACCAGAAATTGACAGGAACATTCTTTAATTAGGGGCATATTTTTAATATTATTTAAAATAAATTCGTTAGATTTTATTGCATAAATTTGTAAATAAGTAGACTGTTTTAGAAAATAATTTAAAAAATTTTCGAGAAAATATTTGTGGATTTCTTGGATATGTTAACAAAATCCGCAATTTTTATTCGCATTTGTAATTCCCTCTAATTTTCCTTTAGTGGCAACAATAAAGAAAATGTCAGAATTAATGGTATATTTTGCTTCTCTCTTCTCCTTGTCTTCTCCAATATCCCCTCTTTTTTGTTCTCTTTTGAGTAAACCAGTTTTGTAAAATTAATTATTATAATTGCGGATAAAGGTTGCGGACTTTTTTTTCGGACTTCGTTTTGTTATTTTGACAGAATTAATGGGATATTTATTATTTTGAAACAAAATTCAGAATTAATGGCTGTAGTTTAGAATATGCCCACCGAGATCGAAACTCAAGTTATATACCATTCGATTCGTCTCGCCGAGTTGAGTTCAAATATGCAAGAATTTTCTGCCGGAGACGATAACTCGCAGAGATACAGGCCCCCGAAAATCGAAAAACCATAGGGGGGACCAAGCACTTTTTTGGGGTGAAAAATTCGAATATGCAAATGACAGCTCATTCGAAAGAGCTCCTCGAGCTGAGTCGAATGACACCAAAATCAACAAAATCCAACTTGATTGGACAAAGTTGTGATCTTTTATTTTAGCTCCTTACCTATGGCATCTGTGGAGATTTTTGCTGCTACGGAGGCCCCAAATACGTCCAGAGCAAGGGAGATAGGAATAGGTTTGTGTTACGAGCCCAGACCCAGCGCCCGTAGACTCCCCGCGAGGCGCGTGCCGCAAAACCCCGCGCGAAGCGCGGGGTTTTGCACAAGCGCCTCGCCGACGACCCATAGGTTTAGGTTTTTTGTTTTTTGTATCATAACTTTGTCTAATCTTGTTCAATCACGGTGATTTTGGTGTCATTTGACTCAGCTCGTCGAGCTCTTTCAAATGAGGTATTATTTGTATAAAAAATTTTTTATTCCAAAAATCGCCCCTTTGGATCTTCGATTTTTAGAGGTCTATATCTCGGTCCAATCAAGTCGGATTTTGTTGATTTTGGTGTCATTCGACTCAGCTCGACGAGCTCTTTCGAATGAGTTATAATTTGCATATTCGAATTTTTCACCCCAAAATAGTGCTTGGTCCCCCCTATGGTTTTTCGATTTTCGGGGGCCTGTATCTCTGCGAGTTTTCGTCTCCGGCAGAAAATTCCTGCATATTTGAACTCAGCTCGGTGAGAGGAATCGAATGGTATATATAACGATTTTCGATCTCGGTGGGCATATACTAAACCGACCCCGAATTAATTTTAAAAAATTCTGAAAAAACAAAAATCCCAAGAAATCAGAATTTCTTTAATAAAAAATAAATAAATATCAGAATCTCCCCACTTCCTTTTAAAGTTTTGTGGAGCTCATTTTTAATTTTAAACGTGATTGGTATAATTGTTGCCAATTAACTTCTTTTGTTGTATTTAAATTTAATTTTGGTTTTCTTTTAATTAAAGGTTTTTCTTTTTTCTTTTCTTCATTTAATAAAGATTTTCTTTTCTCCAATTCATTAAAATAATTAAAATTCTTTTCATTATTTGTTGAGGACTTTCGTTGACATTTTAATGAATTAAACAATTTTACGAGAGATTTTGAACGTTTAGCAATTCGTTGGGCTATTGTATTGTGATGATAAAAAGGTGTAAATGATGGAGCTGAACATGTTGAGGAAGATATACCTAAAGGGAAACTTAAAAAAAGACAAAGAAAGGAATTTTTTTAAAATTATTAGACGTTTCGGCGCAGGAACCTTATGGCGCGCCTAGTCATAAAATGAAGAATTGAGGGTCTAGAGCTTTAAAATTTTGCCTGATTGGTGATAATAGAGTTATCTAACTCTTCTATAAATTTTAGAATTTTTAGTAAAGTAGATCACAAGTTATGGTCAAAAATGTTTCTAATTTCTCCTAAAAAGTCGTTTTTCGTCGATTTTTTGGCCATAACTTGTCAGATATTTAACCAAAAATTCTGAAATTTATAGAAAAGCTGAAAGACATTATTAAGGATAACCAAACAAAATTTCAAGACTCCAAGTATTTTACAAGTCAAGTTATAGAAATTTAAATTTCCCTCCCTTACTTATTCTATCCTCCACAGAAAGATAATGTTTTCTATTTCTTTTTTCAGGTAATAATAAATAATTTGTTGTTGTTGTTGTAATAGCCCTATTTCTAAATTTAATATTCAAATAATTTTTCTTCAAATTTTCTTCATTAAATAAATTAATTTCCAAACTTTTTGATCTTTTCAAATTTAATTTTAAATATTTCCGTTTATTTCTACAGTGTAAATCCCATTCAGACAAGGATAGGGGAAGAAATTGACGGCGAGGCTTTTTTGGAATAATTAAATTTAAAAACATTTTTTTTGAAAAAATTTAAATGAAGGAAATTGATATTTTTAAAGACATTTTAAATAAATTTGGGGAACTACTAAAAAAATAATTTTTGAAAAAAGGAAATGACGAATTTCTCAAACTGTAAAAGCTCTTTTCTAACTAAGTGATTAGTCAGTTTTTTGGGGAGCAAAATGTAATTTGATCAAAAAATTGATAGAAAATAAACAAAAAATAATTGAAAATTAGGAAGAATTTAAGAATTATTTTTAACCTTCAATATATTCCATTAATAATAACAGAGGACAAGGACACTGTTGCAGGCTAAGCTATAGGGGAAGGATAAAATCATAAGAATCTTGCGTCCATTATATAGACAATATTCCTCGTTATTCGAACATGCGAAGTTGAATAAAAAATATTTTTGAGTTATTTTAGAAGATTTATGACCATTTTTTCAACACAAAATATCAAATGAGCATTTTAAGAATAACTGTGACCTAGTCTGTTTTTAGTGAAGTTTATCGAAATAGCTATAAGCCGAGTTCAGCTTTTACAACATAAAGTTACAAGTAATGCAAAATTAGAATTTTCACCTACAAAATTAAGACTTTTTCACCTAAAATTCCTTACACACAAAATCAAAATCCCCTCTGCTGGCGGTCACAATGTTGCGATTCCTTGATGTCATTTTAGACGAAGCTAGTCGAAGTGAATCGTAGAGTCGGTCGGTTGTTCTGTCGGTTTTTAGCCTGGCTTTTATAGGAGCTAGAAACTAACGAGTTTATACCAGCACTTCTAACTCCTCCTAGCTCCTATAAAAGCCAGGCTAAAAACCGACAGAACAACCGACCGACTCTACGATTCACTTCGACTAGCTTCGTCTACAATGACATCAAGGAATCGCAACATTGTGACCGCCAGCAGAGGGGACACTCCAAGGGCTCGCCAATCTTCCGAGGACAATCCAAGGACATCGCGCCAATCTTCCGGAAGCACCCCAAGAACAACTCGTCAATCTTCTGGGCAGACCGGACAACCACGCAGCCGCCCAAGTGTTCGACGCCCGGGAAGACCACGGACTGTGGAGGACAACAACGAAAACGCAGCGTTCATTGAGCAGCTTCAGGCCTGGGCCCAGGAAACTTCGCAAAAGCAGCTGACGGACTTGGAGTCCGAGTTCGAGCGCTTGCAGAGTCAGCCGCGACCGGAACCATCTCCTGAATTTGCACGGTGATTTTTTTCTTTATTGTTTTTAACGCAGAATTGTTTTTCTTTTGTAGCAACCCTACTCTAAACCGCTATCGGGACGTTATCTGTGTCGAGAACAACCGGGTCGCGCTGACAAACGGACGCTACATTCACGCCAATTGGATTGATAGCCATGGTGAAACTTGGCATGTTTTATAAACATAACAAAATTTCCATTTTTAAGGTGATCGCCGGTACATTTGTACACAGGGCCCGCTTCCGCAGACTGTCGGCGACTTCTGGGAGATGGTTCTGCAGGAGAAAGTTGAGGCGGTTGTTATGCTGTGTGACACCATCGAGCTCAATCGTCCCAAGTGTCATCAATACTGGCCGAAGGATAATGCGCCGGAATCTGTTAGGCTCTTCTATTTAAGCATAAATAAAGGGGTTTTGTTTTTTTCAGGCAATCACAAGTCGGGACGACAACATAAGAGTCCGTTTCGTGGATACCGAGGCACTGGACGACAACCATCTTATTCGGACGCGCCTTCAAGTCACGAGCGAGAATCCGAAGCGGCAGGCGAATGTTCGACACTTCCATTGGAGACGTTGGCCCGATCGTGGAGTGCCGATGAATCACCTTGCTGCGCTCCGACTGCTCTTCTACATCGGGAAATACAAGCCGATAGTAGTCCACTGCTCGGCAGGTAAACGACTACATAAACCTAATTTTTAACTAGCTTTTATGACTTATAGGTATTGGCAGAACCGGGACCATCGTGATGATCTACTTGGCTCAGAATACCCTGCGCGCTGGACATCGTCTGGACTTCTACGAGTTGGTAGCAGAGTTGCGTCGTCAACGGGCTGGCAGTGTACAAACCTTGGACCAATACCTGTACATCTACAGCGTCTTTCTCCGGTAAGCGATAAAAAAACACACGTGTCAGCTTCTTAAACTTTAACTTTTCCCTTCCAGATACGCAAAGAACAAGGCTGATGCGGGCAAGATCAACGTGGACGTCGAAGCAGTCGAACGGCTGGTACAAGCGATATCGAGACGGATCTACAAGCCGACGAGACGCTAGGACAGAGAGATATATTCTGCTGTGATATCGCATTGTGATATACTTATTCATTGTTGTTGTATTTTGCTTGTGTATTTGCTTGTATATTGACCTCATAATTGTATATTTTGTGTTTCATTATGTAAATAAATAGTTTTTTTGTTCGTGTGTTCTTAAGTTTATAAATTTGAGATAAACGCTTGATTTTGTGTATAAGGAATTTTGTAGGTGAAAATTTTGCAGACTTGTAACTCTCCAAACTTAGTGTCGGTATAAAAGCTGGACAGGGCTTTAGCTATTTCTCCGTTGGCTAGTGTAAAAATGCTAGTGCTAGTGCCTCACTCTTTTGACGTTATTCCAAAGGCCGTCATCTAGTAGTTTCTCCTTCAGAAATATTTCTATATTTTTGGTATAAAAAGATTTCCAATATTAAATTAATGCCTCCAAGAGTTGTTAAAAATTTTAAAGGTTTAAAGAACTTTACCGAAAATAAAAAAGAAATATAAAGCAAATCCTTCACTTACCTTCAATATCTTTTTTCATTTAAAGTACCTCCAATATCTTATAAATACAATTAGAAAATCTTTTTCGAGATTTAGTAGATCTTTTGAGTTAAATAAAATTAAAGATAAATAATTAATAGATTGACTTTACAGCTGAAAAATCGTGAGTATTTTGAGAATCTAATATTAAATGTATAATGAGATCCGATTGGACTTGAATTCAATAAATTTTCAACTATTAACACTTCCTCTACTTCAGTAAAATTTAACTCTGTTTTCGTCCGAAATTTCACTTTTACAGAGTTTATAAACATAGAAAATTACTTTTAAAAATTGCAGAATTTTTGTTTAAAAAATTAAATTTAATTTTCAATACTTTTGACCCAAAAAAGTGTGAAATACTTTAGATTGTTAGGTTATTACATTATTAACATATTTGTAACAATATCTTAATATTAAATCAGCCTGAAAACTGATTTTTTCTCCCGGTGACATAGTTTATTAGTGATAACTTTTTGTAAAATGATCAGATCAGTCCAATTATGAAATAGATGAAGGACACCGAGACCTATCAATATAAAAATTTCAATAATATTAATCAGACAATAAGTTATGGCCAAAAAGCCGAATACTGAGGTACTGTATCGCGGCACTGAATCGTCCCCTACTCAAAAATTGCGGGTGTTTCAGTGCCGATTATTATGCTATTTTTCCAAAAATATAAAGATTTTCTATTTCAGACATAGATTTAAATGAACGATTTAGTTAATCAATTTAAAAGTGCTGCATTAGCTGTTGGTCAATATTTAACTCCAGTACTTAAAGAATCCAAATTTAAAGAAACTGGAGTTCTTACACCCGAAGAATTTGTTGCTGGTTTGAAATTTGTTTATTTTTTAAATAATTTTTAATTTAATTTTTTAAAGCTGGTGACCATTTAGTTCATTTATGTCCAACTTGGTCTTGGGCAAAAGCTAGTGATTCTAATGGGTTTTTTATATTTGTAAATTATTTAAAAATTATTTTAAGGATTTGTGCTTATTTACCTGTTGACAAACAATTTTTAATTACCAAACAAGTGCCTTGTCATCAAAGATGCGCTCAAATTATGGGTTATGATGAGTCTAAAGAAAAGGTTTTTCTTTAATTTTTGACGTTAAAAATTTTTAGAGTGAAACTTTGTTTTCGATTAGAGAGTGGGAATCTGAAGAGGCCCTTTATTTTTGGGCTTTATTTATTGCGGACAGTATCCAGATTCTCTAACTTATGAAGTAGAGGTTTTCCAAATCCAGTCAAATTTCAGTTCCAGACCTCTAATCTAGAAAAAACTAACTTAAGTAAGCTTAAAGAGCATTGAACTTTTCGTTTAAATGAGATATGTCTTTAATTTTGTGTTTAAATTATGTGTTATGACGAGTCTAAACGCTAAAAGAGAATAGGAGGAGAGAATATAATTAATTTTTTAAATGTGTAAGAAGGAATTTTTGTTCTGGCTAAATAATTAATTAACCACTAATCTAACTGAAAAAATTTTTGTCCGCAAGAATTTGTCCGCAAAAATTTTTGTGAAAAAATGTTTTATAATTTTTGTGTTCTATTTATAATTTTACTCATTTTTTCTTAAGATAATCAAAGAAGAATCTGCAGAAACTGGAGATGACCAAGATGAATGGGTGGATACTCATCACTTTGATTTTGAAACAAATTGTGCTCCAAAAGATTTAGAGGATGCAGAGAATAATGAAATTGATGGAAATCTAGAAGAAAACAATTTAAATGAAGAAAAAAATTGTGAAGAAGAGGAGGAAGAAGGAGGGGAACCTATTGATTTGGATGAATATTTATCTAGTGGATTATTAGAAGAAGAAGACCCTGCAAGGTTTTTGTTACTATTTAATAATTTAAAAAAGAGTAGGTTGGACCCTTCGATAAGAAAAGGGTACTCGGACCCTTCGATTTTCCAATTCTAAATGAAACTAAAAAGTTGGAAATTCTCTTATTTCTCGATGGTAACGAAATTGGAATGATTTTTCTGTTTATGTTTTATTTGTAAAATATTATTGACCAACACTACGTCATAAAATTAATTTCCCGATTTTTTTGCTATAAGGGATTTGTTTGTGAGAACTATTTTTTGGTTTTTTTGATTTTATTTTGTATTTTATTTTCAGTTATTAGCTAAGAAATAGTTTATTGTGCTAAGAAAACCGGTAATAATGAAGAATTGGGGAGACATCCTAAAAATTATCGATTATCTACCCAAAATTATTAGCAGAAAAAATAAATTTCAAGGTCCCCAATTCTTCATTATTACCAGAAAACCAAAAAAGGACTGCTCGAAAGTTTCAAATTGAAACCCTTATACTTATTCCAATGTAACCTTGTCCTTAGCCAACAGCGAATCTAAAATTTTAAATTTTCAACATTTTAGTTAGAAATACTTAAAAAAATTTTTCAGATTTGTTTTACAAAATAAATCAACTAAAGAAACAAATGACGTTTCATCTTCAAATAATTTATTGAGAACAAGAAGATATGATTTACATATAACTTATGATAAATATTACCAAGTTTGTTTTTCTTTAATTATTTTAAAAATTCTTTTTAGGTTCCAAGATTTTGGTTAGTTGGTTATGATGAAAATGGTTCTCCTTTAGCTGTGGATAAAATGAAAGAAGATTTTTCTCAGGTTTGGAATTAACTCTTAAAGGCAAAATTGAGTTGTTTTTAAAGAGATTTTTTGAAATTTCTAAATCGAAAACTAAGGGAAAAAATACCGCTCCAAAAAGGACTAGACTTTGACGGTCCGGCAGGCCCGTAACCAGGATTTTTTCGGGAGGAGACCAGAGGTTTCTTCGAGTGGGCGTGAGGGGGAACTTTCGAAAATTGTCCTAGAACCGAATATAGGCAACAGATTATCGATAATTTTTTATACGATAAACTAAAAATTTTCGAAATTATATATCGAAGGTTGAACGGGCCCCTTGGTATAAGCTCTTAGAAGATAGCCTCCTAACGAGGTTACACCTCAATTTGTCGCGAAGATTTTAAATCAACACTCAAAGCTCATTTCATTGAAATGTATTGAACCATAACTTGTTTATGAATCGAAAATCTAGAACAAAGTTATAGCCAAGCGTTGGAGTACATGCCTCCTCAAACATGTGTAAAATCTTTCAAAATATTTTTTTTAATTTTTTAAAATTTCCTCTTCTATTTAAAAATTATTTTTTTTAAATTTTCTAAGGAACACGCCGACAAAACAATAACTTTAGAATCGCATCCACACATTTCTGGTTTAACTTTAGCAACTATCCATCCATGCAGACACGCACCTGTTATGAAACGTTTAATTGAACAATTTCAGGAAAGTGGGAAAGAATTGCTTGTTATCGATTATTTGTTTGTTTTTCTAAAATTTGTACAGGTTAGTTTAAAAAAGAATTTTTTAAAACATTTTTATTTCGAGTGGGTTGATTTTTTTGGCGGATGGTAGATAAGGGGGAAAGTCTTTTAGTAGTAAATTAATTTAAAAATCTGTATATTTGTTGAGAAAGAACGGTTTCTTGGCTAATACCCCAAAAAAATGTTTTTTCCTGGTTAGCAAAGCCAAACGGGTCAGTTGAACTACAAATAAAAATTATTAGAGTATCCATAAGTAGGCGTCGGCCGCAAATTCATAAATTTTAGCCATTAATTAATTAAAAGTAAACAAAAAGAGTTCAAAAATCCATTTTCTAATTTTATTTTAAAAAGATTAATAAAATTTTTATTTAAGGCAGTAATTCCAACTGTTGAGTATGACTACACTCGTTCAATTCACTTTTGACTTGAAAATTAAATATTACGAATTTAAATTGATTCTTTTTTTTCTTATATTATGATGATTCTTATTTTATTATAAAACGACCCTTTCTTGTCTAGATTCTCTTGATATACCGCCACTTTTTATATAAAATGTTCTCGTTATTATGTTACTTTTGTCAGTTTTTGGGCTTTCTTTCACAGCAGGAATTGAAAGGAATCTGGATTTTTTTCGATTCAAAACCCAACCCGATTTTTTCCAAGTCCCTGATAGATCCCCTTGTCCCACGCCTTATCAAAACAAGCTGATGATATATTCGGCTATAATAAAGGTGTCGTTATAATGGGAAGTTTATTAGGGACGAGTTACCCGAAACCAGGGTTTTTCTATCTGAAATTCGACCCGATTTTTTTAAACCCGTGATAGATCCCCTTGTTCTTTGCCTTATCAAAACAAGCAACGGAAATATTCGGCTATACTAAATGTGTCTTTATAACGGAGAGTTTATTATATACATATTTTGTATTGTTTCTCTTGTAAATTTTTTAAAATAAAAGTTGATTAGTTTTTTCGAAAATAAAAACTAATTTTTTTGTGTGACTGTCCAAAATAATCATTTACAAAAATAATTTTCAAGGTAAAAATTTTTGTTTTTCAATTTTGTTTTGTTTTTCTGTTCCACGTCCTCCCGCCTTTAAATTACTGGAACCTGTTGTGCTTTTCAAAGGCCATTTTTGCTTTTTAACATTTTCATTTTTGTAAAAGAAGAAAAAGCTTTTTCTTTAATAAAAAATGATTAAAATAAATAAAATATTAATTTATTTAATTTCAATAATTTATTTATTTTATTTGGCACAAGCACGTTCAGGTAATTTGTGTGGGAATAAATTTAAAAAATTATTCTACTACATAGTTGGCAGGCCGAAACTTGCGGACCGACTTTTGCGGACCGAAACTTGCAGACCCGACGAATTTCTCAAAACATAGCTCATTTGAAAGAGCTCGACGAGCTGAGTCGAATGACATCAAAATCATCGTGATTGTACAAGCTTGGACAAAGTTACGATAGAAAAACAAAAACCTAAACCTATGGTCCGCAAAAGTCGGTCCGCAAGTTTCGCACTACCACATAGGGCATTAGAGTTTAATGAATAAATTGCAGTTATAATCTTCCCTTTGATTTATTTAAATTTTTTATTTTAAAAATAAGAGGATAAGAAGTAGTTATTTGATTTTTCATTGTTTTCTTATCTACCTTTCTTTATCTGCTTCCAAATTTTTTTAAAATTTTATTTTGCCTCTATCTAAAATAGCAAAAATTCTTTTTCCAATTTTTAAATGTTGAAAGTGTTTTAAAAAGTACTCCTTTTTCTTTTCATTTATATACCGCAAATCCTCTAATTGAAGCACAGTGCTTGTATTTCTCGATCCTCTCGTAGAGTGTTTATTTTACTAGAGGATTTACGGTAATTATGCAAGAAAGAAAAATGCCCTTAACATCTACAAGTTTGCAAAAAAGTTTGGAAAGGGGGAGGGGGATAAATAATTAGATTACCAAAAAAATTTTCTTTAATTAATTTGACCTTTCCAAAACAGTTTCTACAACAAGTTTGGAATTTTTCCGAACAGATGAACGGGGACCTGCAACTTTTTTATCTGATGTAAGTTGATTAAAAATTAAAAAATGTTAATTAATTTTGGGCGTAATTTAATTTAAAAAAGAGAAAATTGATTTTAATTTAATTAAAAAAATTTTTTGCAAAAAAATTAATTTAAAATCCAACAAAAATTTATTTTAAAATTTATTGATGCGTGAATAATTAAAAGAAACGTTTTTAGACATTTCAGCGTCATACAATTCACCGTTAACGAAAATAGTTTAACAGAAAGGCGATTAGGTCTTGGATAGTACCAAGAATGGGTAAGATTGAAAAAGAAGTAACGGGTTTCGGCTTAACTCAGCCTATGTATCATAATTTTATTTTTTATTTAAATTTTTTAAACTGGTTTTTTATACACCCGGAAATTTGTAAAAATTAGAGATCGAGACACGATCTCGATCGAAAATCTCGGTTATTTTTCGAAATATCGATTCTCGTACGACATTCCCAGTCTGGTAAAAATAACACCAAATATGTAATTAATTGTGAACATTCTAATTCCGAAATCTGAGTAATTTTATACAAAAAATATTATTTTTTAAGAATTTCTCTTCCCCATTTTTGTTCTTTTTGCATTTCTTTTTCAAATTTTTACTTTTTCTTCCAAATAACCAGTTTTGTAAAGGTTTTCCCTTTTACACGTAAAATAGAAAAATTAAACATTAAAAATAATTTTGCTTTTGCGCGTAATAAAAGTAAAAAAAGGTGGAACATTTTCTTTTTTTATCAATTAATAGGTAAACCCTTTTATTTGTATTTTTTACACTTCCGATAAGGGGGCATTAGACAAAAATAAATAGCCTGAAGGTTTGTATTTTCAATCCTCTTCAAAGTTTTTGAGGATGGTGAAAATGTAGTCGAGAAAAATTTGTGGAGATGAAGAAATAGATTTTGAAGTAAAAATATAACGCTTAAAACGACAAAATGTCCAAACGGGTAAAAATAAACAAAATGCCTAAAAGGGTAAAAATGGACAAAATGCCTAAAAGGGTAAAAATGGACAAAATGCCTAAAAGGGTAAAAATGGACAAAATGCCTAAAAGGGTAAAAATGGACAAAATACCTAAAAGGGTAAAAATGGACAAAATGCCTAAAAGGGTAAAATGAACAAAATGGTCAAAACCATGTGTCAGAACTCATAACAAAATACAAGAAAATAAAATTAAAAAATTAAAAAAATTAAAAAATTAATTTCACATAGAAACTCAAACCAATAACTCACGAAGAGATGGAAAGAAGAAAAGTATCAAATACAGACCCTTTTGAGACAGCAGAAGGAATATTAAATTGGAATGCTGACATAATAAAGTTTTTAAATTTGAAAAAAAATTCTTTTTAAATTTAATTTTTAAGAGATAAAGAAAGAAAACAATTTAAAGGACTTAAAAAACCTTTAAAATTAAAAGTAGAACAAAATGATGAATATGATGTTGACCCTTTTGAGGCGGTTACTGACTGGCTTCCACTCAACAGAAATGTGGAGAAAACATAAAAATGAGAGGAAAATTTAATATTTTTATTTGTAAATTAATGTATACAATATTTGTATTTTATGTATATAAATTGTGATTTAAAAAAATAATGAGGAAAGAAAAAAGTTTGTTTAGGAATAATTAAGGACTGCTTATAGATCGTTCATGTCCGTTTTCCCTTATAGTAATATCATGCTTCCATGGGATATTTAAAAAGTTTAAAGCTATAGATATGAGGTTACAAAATTTGGGGATATACTGGACAGTTGATTTCCGAAAAATCTTACAACCTGAAAAGGTTATTTTTAAAAATAGGATAAAAAATGGACTATAATGTGAAGAGTTATTGTACAATTAAGGTCGTAACGACAACCAATGGAATTTCTGACATAATAACTGTTATCTTGTCTCTTCATAAAAAGTACTTTCCGTTTAATTAGCATAGCATTGCCTATCATTTTCATAACAACTAAAACCTTCAGGGCACTTTGCATTTACACAAGGTCCAATCGAAAGAATGTGGTCAGTTTTGGGTATTTCCAAAGCTAAAAATAAATTTTAATTTAAATTAAATATATTACATTTAAAACAAGTATTTTCAATACATTCAAAGCCTTTAGGGCAAAGATTATTAACACAGGGCCCAATTGAGATTGCCGGTTCGTCTTTATTATTTGCATTATTAAATGAATCTGGATGGCTTATTTGGTTATTTAAAGGTGTTTTGAATTCGTTTGCCTCATTCCCTAAATTATACATATTTTTAATAATTTGTGACAATTAAAAAAATAAAGTTGAGAGCTTATTTGCATTAATTAATCTTCCACATAACGGTATAACCGGGAAATTATGAATTCGATAAAAGCGGGCTAAACAATTTTGCCATTATCTAAGTATCCCGTCAACCTGAGATGGTACCAAAATCGACTTGTTATTTATTTATATTTTTAAGTTTAGTTATTTATGCTTTGAGTGATCTGCTGTCCCTATTTTCGGTTTCTCAAATCGAGAATTTATTTTTCTATATCAGCAGGATTCCTAATATTTTTCTGAAGTATAAGAATAAGTCCGAGGTAGAAGAACCTGTTCTACTTATAATTGGGGACAACTTAAACATAAATACCTATACTTTTTGTTCTTTAATTGAGGCCTTCACAAACCTGGGTAGAGATTTTACAAAATTTTAATTAAAAAACTAACTTTTTACAATAACCAACAATAAAATCAAAAATATTTTACAGACAAAATTCATAATAATTACAAAATAAATAGTTGAATCGATTCTTTCTTTAAAAATAATTAATTGTCAACTAAACTGTAAAGAACAATGAATTTATAAATGTTTGTTTTTCTTCTTTTCCTTTTGTCCACAACAAGAGTTCTTTAAAAGAACGGCTAATCTTTAAAGTATTGGCCAGTAAATAAATAAAAACTAGATTTTATTCTTTCCCAACTTTTCTCTAAGATAAAAATTCGAAAAAATCCGGTTAGAAATATACTTGTCATTTCTGTGTATATTTTCCGGATTTTGAGTCAGACAACGACGAGAGAGTGTGTGTTGACTATACAAATAATGAGAGACAAGTTCCGGTGCAGACATTCTTATTTAATTATTTTAATTAGTGCAGTGGTTAAGTTGGTTCTCATTTTGCTCTAATAAGGTGAAGGTAAGAGGTTCGAATCCATTTAGTGTCAAAACAAATTTTAATTTAATAAAACTATATTAAATCAATTTTGGAATATATTTAAATGTTTTTAATTTAATTATTTATTTTTTAGACATTTAATTATTTAATATTTTTCCAATAATAATTTCAAAAAAATATTTTTTATTTTTATCCAATTTGGTTCAAGTCAAATAAAAAAATAAAAAAACATATTTATAAATCGCCGACGGGGGCGATTTAAAAAATGACTGGGGAAAAAATTTATAAAAATTTTTTATTCTAATTCGAAGAAAATAAAAAATAAAGTGATGGAGGGAGAATGAAAAGGAAAACAAATTTTGGGGGAAGAAATGAGGAGGGGTGAAAGGAAGGCAGTGATATCTTTCACAATAATGGCTATTAGCAATATGCGCGCCTGGATGTTGAAGTTGTTTCCGGTTTTCAAAATACATTTAATATCCGCTGGCTTGAGAGGGTGCAGCTGCTGGAGCAGGTTGGGCGACAGCTGGGGCTGCTTGTTCTGGAGCAGGTGCTGCTGGGGCAGCTTCAGCTGGTGCAGGTGCAGGGGCGGCTTCGGGGGCAGGGGCAGCTGCTTCACCTCCGGAAGGGGCGGCTGCTTCTCCTCCAGACGGAGCTGCAGATTCTGCTGGTGCTGCTCCAGCTGCGTGTCCTGCCTCGTCTCCATAACTAGAAATTACTAAGTTATTTTCAACCTTTGCTTTTATAACTCACGAGTTCTGAGAGCGCTTCTTCCTGTAGCCGCTAGCTTGTGATGGTGCAGCTGCAGGTGCTGGCTGTGCAACAGCAGGTGCTGCTTGTTCTGGTGCAGGGGCAGCTGCTGGGGCGGCTTCAGGTGCAGGAGCAGCGGCCGGGGCTGTAGCTTCACCGCCTGCGGCGCAATTTTCTGTGCATCCAGTGGCAGCTGGGGCTGCTGCTTCACCTCCTGCTGGCGCTGCTGATTCTGCTGGTGCTGCTCCAGCGGCTCCTCCGGCTCCAGCCTCATCTCCGTATCTTAAATGATAAATATATAATCAAAACACAATTTCTTGAAGCTTACGAGTTCTGTGAACGCTTCTTGCGGTATCCGCTGGCTTGTGATGCAGCAGCGGCAGGGGCAGGTTGAGCAACAGCTGGTGCTGCTTGCTCTGGGGCTGGGGCAGCTGCAGGTGCTGGGGCAGCTTCAGGTGCAGGGGCAGCAGCAGGTGCTGCTTCACCTCCTGATGGGGCGGCTGATTCTGCTGGTGCTGGAGCTGCCTCTGCTGGTGCTGCTCCAGCTGCATGTCCTGCTTCATCTCCATAGCTAGATAAAAAACGAATTGAACTCAGATATTTTATTTCTTAAAAACTTACGAGTTTTGAGAGCGTTTTTTCCTGTATCCACTAGCTTGAGATGCAGCTGCAGCAGGGGCAGGTTGTGCTACAGCTGGGGCTGCTTGCTCTGGGGCTGGGGCAGCTGCAGGTGCAGCTTCAGCTGGTGCAGGTGCAGGGGCGGCCTCTGGTGCAGGGGCAGCTGCTTCTCCTCCTGAAGGGGCGGCTGATTCTGCTGGTGCTGCCGGTGCTGCTCCAGCGGCACCTCCAGCTCCTGCCTCATCTCCATAGGAGTTTTGATTCCTCTTCACGACTAGAATAACAACAAATAAGAAATCGAAGCTTTACAAGAAGTAATATAAGCAAAATACCTCCGCAATTAACGGCAACTCCCAAAGAGAAGGCAACCAACAAAAATATATCAAAACGCATCTTTTTTTCACAAATTTTGTGCAACGTAAATAATTTTTTAAAAATATTTTAAAAGCCTTCTGATAGTTATTTTGTTCACTTGGACCAGTTAAATACCCTAATGGGCGGGCAATGACGAAAGAGGGCCAACCACTTTTTAGTTGAGGTCGGCGGACATGGCCGGCGGACCAGAGGGCGGTCGAGAAAATACATTGAAAGACTTGATGGCCTAAGAGGGGCAGAGGAGGGGCAAGAAAAGGTTTGAATAGCAATCTCGCCAAAAGAAGACCTCGAGTCTCTTCAAGTTTTTACTCTTCAAATATGCCCAAAAAAGGGAAAGAAGAGAAGAATTGCCATCAGCCGCCAAAAGGAATTGAGAACACGTAAAAGGGAAGAGAGCAATCAAAGGGTGAAGGGAAGGGATGGGGGCTTCCTGCTGTGTAAAAAAAGAACACCGACCGAGAATACAAAATTGAAGAGTAACAAGAAAAATGGCAAAAATTGTGTATTGAAGAAAGAAAAGAAGAGAAGAAGAAGATTTTGATTTTGAGAGAAGAAAAAAGAGCAAAAATAAAAAAAGAAGGGGGGGGGGGGGGAAGATGGCAGGTTTTGTTCCAGTAACGTTGTCGACCCTTTCCTCTTTTTTCAAAAATAATTTTGTATTGAAAACCCGGTTACAAACAATATTTATTTTTTATTTTTCACCTTTTTTCACCTTCTTGCAACTATAATTTTACTAAAAAATAAGGGCCCCCTTTCCCTCCTTGTCTATTCACCCACTTTTGGAATGATTAAAAAAAAGCCCGTATTTTTACCTTATTTTTGGAGGAAAAAAGAAAAAATGTTTTTGAGCATTTATTTAAACTGAGGAAAGTGTAAAAAATTTGAAAAAAAAAATTAAGAGAAAGAGAAAAATATTTTTAAGATTTTTAAAATTATTTTTTTGAGGATATTTTAAACTAATTTGTCATTTTTAATTAAAATGTATACAAATTGATCTAAATAAGTTTTTTCTTAAATTAAAAGTAATATTACATATAGTATTTTTTAATTTAATTAGGTCCAAACCACATTATTAGGTATAGGGCTGGAAATTCTTCGGATATCCGGAACTGAACCGAGAAACCTTTTCCTCATCAGTTAGGATTTGAACCGATAACCCTTATTTAGTATTATCTTTATATTATCAAAAGCGTGATTTCGAAAGTGTTTTTTATGTTTACCATCAATGATGATTGTAGGGATCGAAGAAGGGACCAAAGAAGAAGCTGAGAGTTCAGAGAGAAAATTTAGACAAGGCAGATAAAAGGCTTGTTATATCTAAAGGGCCTCTACATTGGGATGACTGTTTATGTTGCCCTTCAAGGTCCGTTTCTTTTCCTTTGAATCCGGTACTTGCAAAAAGTATCACCTATATTCTTCTCCATCCCCTTTACATTTTTGAGTAATTGCGAACAATTTAAAATTTAAATTATAGCTCGGACACCCACAGATTTATTTTTTTTCGTTAGTTTCGTTTACAAAACCCATTGCATGTTTTTTTTTTGAAAAAATCTGCAATCGTCACAAAACACTCTCTCAATCAATTCAAAACTCCCTTCCTGTTGATCTTTTATTCAAAAATAATTTTAAAAACCTTTGCTCTCTTAACAAAAAAATATTTACCTATTTAACGTCATTAACATTAATTAAATAAAAATATTTATTTTTTTTCTTTTTCTCAAACAATTTTCGTCACAATAAAAGACCATCGTTCAAAAATTTTTAAATAATTATTTTATTTATTTTTATATATTAATCATCAAAAATAAATTCGTCAAATTCTCTTTAAAAAAATCTCCCACACGTAGTAAATAAAGTCTCTAATAAAATTTTAGTAAGATTTTTGAAATATTGACTTTTTACAAACTAAAAAAATAAATTCCAAGAGTTCCCCCATGCTCTTTTTAGAGAAAAAATTTTAATTGAAAATTAATTGACCTCGGATATAATTAGGGAACAAGTCATGGCTGCATATTTTTTGAATTGGAGGGTTTTTGTTGAATTTTCTTGAATGGGTTTTTTTCAAAAAAATTTCGTTGAATAGGAACTTTACCATTGTAGAAAGGACCAAATTTGGAGAATAAACAATGTGCTAACCCCAAAGTGGGTTATTTTATTTAAATTTAAGGCTGTAGTGTAGTGTACCGGTGGTAAAAGTTCGGAACGTGACATATGTCATTCGATTCGTCTCGACGAGCTGAGTCGAACGGTACTACTCTTTACTTTAGGAAATGATTCTGGACCGAGTTATGGGTCCCGAAAAATTGAAAAACCAAAGGGGGGAGTAAGCTCGATTTTGTGGTGAAAAATTCGAATATGCAAATAATAGCTCATTCGAAAGAGCTCAGCGAGTTGAGTCGAATGACACCAAAATCAACGAAATCTGACTTGATTTGACAAAGTTATGACCGTTTGTTTTAGCTCCTTACCTATGGCGCTCGTGGAGGTTTTTGCTGCTACTGGAGCCCCAAATACATCCACAGCAAGGGAGAAGGGACTAGGTTTATGTTACTGACCCAGACCCAGCGCCCGTAGACTCCCCGCGAGGCGCGTGCCGCAAAACCCCGCGCGAAGCGCGGGGTTTTGCACAAGCGCCTCGCCGACGCCCCATAGGTTTATGTTGTTTGTTTTTCTATTGTAACTTTGTCCAAACTTTTACAATCAAGCTGATTTTGGTGTCATTCGACTCAGCTCGACGAGCCCTTTCGAATGAGCTATTATTTGCATATTCGAATTTTTCACCCCAAAATCGAGCTTACTCCCCCCTATGGTTTTTCATTTCGGGACCTATAACTCGACCCAGAATCATTTCCTAAAATTAAGAGTGGTACCGTTCGACTCACCTCGTCGAGACGAATCGAATGACATATGTCACGTCCCGAACTTTTACCACCGGTACACTACACTATATCCAAATTTAATTAAGTGGGAACACTTTGTCTTTATAAACAATGGGCAGTAAAACTAAGCTATTTTTAAAGAGAATCACGGAGAGAAATTTTAAGATGAACAGAAAGAGCTGAAAGGATTTAGGGATTGTGGGAAATAAATTTAAAAAAATTTGAGAAAACCCCAGCTATGCTACTCTTAATTTTATTTAATAAGCTAAACAAGAATTAAAATTATTTTTAAAAAAATTACACAGAAAATTAATTTTCCTCTCTAAAATACCACCAAAAACAACCAAAATAAACTTGTTATTTTTTATAAAAATTGTTTAAATCGAGAAAATTAGCTTCTAGTTTTTCCGAATTATTTTAAAAAAAATTTTCTCTTTCATTGCTTTTCTTTAGGAAAAACAGAAAAAAGGAAGTATTGCATATAAAAATGTTTTATATTTAATTAAATTGCTTCATTTTAAATTTATTTTTTTTCACTTCCCACAAATTTATTTTTTTTAATTTTTTTTGCTTATTTCATTAAAAATAAATATTTTCCTAATTTTATAAAAGCTAAACCATTTTTGTCCATTTGTCTGACTTTTTTTGTCTTTAAGTCTGTAAATCATTTTTGCCTGTTATAAGTCAAAAATCCTTTAAGAATAAAAGGCTACTATCTCCATTTAAGATTGAAAAATACACAAGATTAAAAAACAAGGAAGGAAATCTATCCCTAATAAGATTTTAAGGGATTACGAGGCAAAGAAATCAAGCATTTTTTTTATCAATTTTCGACCCTTATATTTCACTCTCAAACTATCCTTATTGTCAAATTTTTTGACTAAAAACTGGGTCTTACACCTTAAACTTTTTTAAATTTTTTTGGACATTCTCAACGAATACAACAGCAGCAGCAGTAGAGAGTAAAGCGTTGTCGACTTGTTGGTCTTAGGCTCGGTGTCGAGCTTCATTGGAAGAAGGCAGCGGATGAGCATGAAGCTTTGTTGTTTTGAACACAAACGATCTTGGCGCTTGTAAAGTTGGGAATTAAGAATCAACGGTTTTTATAATAGCTTCAGACATTTTAATCGAAAATTAGCAAAATTTATTCTTTCATCCAATCCTTTTTAAATTCTTTAACTATATCAACCACAAAACAGAAACATTGGCCTCCGAATTATACAAGAACAAATCCGTTTTAAGCCAAATTACCTTACTTTTACTTCACAGATTCAATTATTCTCTCAAAATTAACTAAATGGAAAATGAAGAGAATGAAGAGAAAAATAGTAAAAAGGAGGAAGAAGACCTTGAAAAAACAATAAAACAAGAAGATATAAATCAGCAAAAACAATTATTTACTGCTTGCGAGGATGAAATAAAAGAATTTGGGGAAGAATCAAAACTTGTAAATGAATCTGTAGAAGAACAGGGAACTAATAATGTAAATGATCATTTTTATGTCAGATTTTAAGCGGTAGAAACTAAACGTAGAAATTGTAAGGTTGAGTTAAGATCAGTGCTGGGTGTGTCACCGGGAGCTAGCTCCGAAGCCCGGCTCGGAAGAGGAAGCAAAGCTCTTCGAAGCCAAGCTACGAAGCCCCCCCCCCCTAAGATTTTAAAAGTCTGAGCTCGGAGCGGGAACCAACAAATGCATAATACCCAACACTAGTTAAAATTTCTCTTTATTGTCAAATTTGAAAGTAAAATTTACAGATATATCCGTCAAGAATTAGCCAACATTTTTTTAGATTTCTATTTAAAAGGTTTCTTTGAAAATTCCAAATGTTTATGTACATTCTAAATACATAAACAAAAATTTTTTGGTTAGCAAAAAAGTGATAAGAAACATTTATTTAAGAATTTCTGCGCCTAAACACCCCCACCCAACGTAAACAAAAATTCCAACTGTGCTTTTTTTAATTATCAAAAACCAAGAAAAAATATTATAACAAATTAAGCGAATTCCTTTCCTTTTTGTAGATAAAAAATCGTCAACAAAAATTCCCTTTAGAAGAAGATGACACTTCTTCATTTTCATCAGCCTCAACTTTATTTACCTCAAATAATAATTTCTCGTCTTCCTCTTCAATTAAATTAAAAAGAAAAGCTATAGTAGAAAGACAATTTTCAAGAAAATCTGTTACTTTTCGAAAAGATTCTTTTATTCAAAAATTAGATAAAAATATTAAAGAAAAAGAGGAAGATTTAAACAAAAATTCAATGCAGGCAAGTTTTCCTTTAAAAGAAAAAAATTTTTATTGGAAGGAAGGGAAGATTAAAAGCTTGGCTAGTATTTAAGCATCAAAATACAATAATCAAATGATTACCCTACATTAGATTAAATCCCTATTGTAAGAAGTAAGATCCTTCTAGCTAGAGTTTAAGACGCTTACTAGATGAGGGAAAAGCAATGATGACACTTCTTCATTTTCATCAGCCAATTTTCAAGAAAATCTGTTAAATTTTCAAGAAAATATTAAAAGAGAGGGTGAAAGCAACTTTCACCCTTTATTAAAAGAGAGGGTGAAAGCAGCGCTCGGGCAAGTTCATAAAGTGAAAGCTCCTATAAATAACTAACTATCAGGACATCTAAGAATCGGTTACTTCCGGTTTTCTCTTTTACTCTATAATTTGAAAATTAAAATTTTAATAAATACAAGCAAATAAGTTTATAAGAGGTTTTTCTCCAACAACTCCAATTCCATTAAAACACTCATTCCAAGGGTCTCAATTTCCATAAATTTTGTGAAAAAATAATTTCCAACGTGACGTAATGTCTTTATAACCGCCGCCTTCTAAACTGTTTTATCATCTTGTAAGAGACAAATTTTCAAGGGTTAAGCTCAATTGTGTTTTTGTATGTTTTTTGGCCTCAATTTTCGGGCGTAGCCAACATCTCCTTCATTCTCTCTCTTTTCCCTTATACAAAAAAATTTTTTTTATAAAATTACAGAAAGTTTCATTTTTATTTTTTTTGCAATTTTTAACGCCAATTTAAATTAACCTCACAATTAAAGATGGAAAGAAAATAGAGGAAAACTTTCCCAAAACAAAATTAGCGAAAATAGCTTCCGGCAAAATAGTTTTTCAATTTTTTTCAAAATTAATTTTATATACATATTACACAAAATTAGATTAAACCAAAAATTTGGAAATTAAAATTGTTAAAAAGGATGATTTAAAATTTTAGTAGATTTTAGTACAATTTTGTTTGTAAAACAAAGAGTTAAGCTATTATAGAGGGAAGACAATAACTTTGTTTGATCTGTTAAAAGGTCTTGACCAGAATTTTACGAGAAAAAACTGTCCGGCAGAACCGTGGGTAGCTCACTATGTACACCTGTACATAGTGAGCTACCCACGGTTCTGCTCGTTCTAACTTAAATTAATGTTTAAACACTAGCCAAGCCTAATCTTACTTTCTTCCTTAAAGAAGTCTCTTTGCGGACTTTTTTCTTGAGGAAGAATTTGCGGACCTCCTTTTGCGGACTTTTAAATAAAAAAACAATTAGAAAATTAATTTGAAAATTAGAATATTTTATATTAAATTTTATTTTCAGTTTGTTTCAAAACTTTTTGGGTTTGTTCGTGGAAAACTTGGTAGATGCTCAATGTGTTGTAATGCTAACCAACGAGTTGTAAAAGAAGAAAATGATAAAAACAAAAATATTCCAGATAGAGGAAAGAAGAGAAGGAAAAGCTCGATAAGGTGGTTAGTTAATATTTGGGAGAAGAAAATTTATATACAAAATTTGCGGACAAATTTTGCGGATTTTTTCTTTTTAAAAAATTTGCGGATAGACTTTGCGGACTTTTTACTCTCGGAAAAAAATTTGCGGAAAATTTTTGCGGATTTTTTGTATTTGAAAAATTTGTGGACAACTTTTGCGGACTTTTTTCTATTAGAAAAATTTGCGGACAATTTTTTGCGGACTTTTTGCATTTTTTCAATATCTGTTCACCTTTGAGAATTTTTACAATTAAAAAAATTTTTTTGAAAATTTTTTTAAAGAAAACCAAAACTTTTGGGTATGCGACAACGTGAATCAGTTATTTTCAATAAAACAGAAAATCAAATTGAAATATTTGAAAACCTCTTAAATCTTTACAATTCCCCCAAAGATGTAATTAATTTAAAAAACAATCCAGAACCTTTAATTAAATTGGGAATTGATTCTAAACAATTTTCAACAATTTTGGAGGTTTTTAAAATAAATTTTAAGGAAAATTTTAATTTTGAAGGAATTATACTTTTTTGTACAAAAAAGTGAGCAACTCAAAGAAGCAGAAAGAAGGATAAAAGACAGAAAAGTGAGAAAAAAGAATGGAAATTAATAAATATTTGTGAATAAATAATTTATTTTTTAATTTTAAATATGAATTGATATTAAAAATCGGAAATAAAATGCTAAAATCAAATCTTTGATTTTCAGTCACTTTCTAATTTCGAAAATTTATTATTAAAATGTTAAATATATAGTGGCGCATGAATTTATTTAAAATTCCTCAAAATAGATAGTGAAATAAGAACAAGAAGGATTTAGTGACAAGATTGTCACAAAATCCTTTCACATCATGTTTTTCAGTCCACTAAAATTGTAAAACATAGGGAACAAGCTGCACTTTTTGAAAAATAATGCTAGGTTATTTAAGAGATTTCTTTGAACTGAGTCCAATGAGACCAAATTACAAATCCAAAAATCGCCTGAACGACTTTTGTTTTTGTTATCTTTAAAGAATTAATATTTAAAAATTTCGAAACTTTTATTTTTTTCCTCTTTTTAATTTAAAAACACACAATTTCTTTTCCCTATTATAAGCATACCTCCACGTCCCCTCTTCACGTCCTTTTTTATTTTTCCCCCATTTCTGCATTTGGCACTGGCATTGACAGCTATTTTCCCTCATTCATTTATTCCCTTCTCTAAAATATATTCTTTTCTTTTTCTTTTATTTTCAGTCAGTATATACTTAAATGCCAGTCAAATACAAAATAACAAAAGCAAAGCTTTCCTTCTTTACCCCGTTATTTTTTTTTTGAAAATGAAGACCAACCGTGGCAAAATTGACGAAAAGAAAGGAAATTCTTTTATACTTTTTGCGTCAGCCTAAGAAAAATAAAATTCGAAAAGGAACAAAAAATAAATAAAAAGAATGCTTTGTGCCACCGAAAAAAAATTTTTTTTGGAAGAAGACTATTTTGTGTCTCCCCCAAAAATTCTTTTTTTTCTTTTAAATTTTTATTTCCTTTTATTTTTTTGTATTTTTAACTTTTAAATTTATTGTTTTATTTTTTGTGTTTTTATTTGTCTAAAGAAATTTTTTAAATAATTTTTTCATCAATTAAAAATAAAGTCAGCGTCCAGTTATTAACCGGTACGAGGTATATAACGGGTTACCCGATACCCAAAACTAGGACTTTTTTCGACCCGCTCTCCAAAACCCGTTACGACAAGTTTTCCAAAAAAAAATTTCCGACTGGCTTTTTTCTCAACTCGTGACATCCCTGACATGTACCCATCGTTTTTTGGTTATCACCGGTTTTTGACCTACCGTTTTTGGTTCCAGTTTGGTTACCCCAAAATTGTCTGTTCCCAACAAATTTACTTCTTCGTGCCACAAAACATTTTTTTATATTTTTTAAAAGTTCATTTTTAATTTAAAAGAAATTTTTAAATAACAGTCTCATTAAACCTACCAATTTGCCCTAATTATTAATTTATTTTTAAAATTATTAAATGTCCTTTTATTTAATTTCCTTTAAAGCTTTAATTATTTTTTGATGCGCGCAGTGTCACATACCCCCACACATAATTATTTCCTTCCTTTTTTCTCTACAAAATATTAATTTAAATATTTAATTGCCAAAGTTCCTTCCCTTGTCTAATTTATTATTTTCAATATTTCTCTTATGCATAAATAATTTAATGAAAATGCCAAAAATTATTTCCCTGGAAAAAAATATTTTTTTCTTCACAAGAACAAAAGCCTTAAAAAAGAAGTAAAATATCTTTTATTGAATATTTAATTGTGTGGGTGTTGTGGAGAGGGATGATGATCCTTTGGGGGATACTACGAGACAAAAGCAATAAAAAAGAAATTTTCTAAAAATTATTTTTTAATTTTATTTTAGTCGAACCACCCACTAATGTATAAACTAGTTTTATTGTACGCCTTTTAAAAATGTTGTTGGCTTCTGGTTGAAGGGGAGGGGACGGAAGAGTGATTACTTCAAGCCTAAGTGATTAATTCCAGCTAGACTATCGCTCATCAACACCGCTAAAATAATATTTTTTAAATATAATATAATGAGATAAGTTCAAAAATCACTTAAACATATTCTAAAATGGTCTACTGCCCTTTTTAAAAATTTAAAAATTAAGTTCCCCACGCGGGTTCGAACCCACGACCCCCCCCCCCCCCAAGTACAATTAGAAACCTTGCCATAAAAAATTTTTGCTTCTTATTCGGACGGGTATCTTTACTATCTTGAATCAAATTTCTTTGGTACCAACAAATTTCTTAAATTGTCAAGGAAAAAATGAATTGTCAATATTCACTGACTTTGAGTAAAGCTATGAGAAAAACAAAAAATTCCGAAAATTTGCCGCAACCTGTACTTTATTCAAATTTTAAATTTCTTCGACATTTTCCTGGCCCTTTTTTCTGAATAATTTTTTTAAAATAAATTTTCTTTGGCTAATATTTTTATTTCCCTCCATTTTTCCTCATTCATTTCAATTCCACTAATCTCCCCCCTATACTTCTTTAAATGCAAATTCCTTCCCTTTTCCTTTTAAAATAAATTAAATAAATAGAATTTTTTTATTTATTTTTTTCTTGACATCAATCAAAATGATTAGGAGAAGCTTTTTTTATTTTTATTAGTTTAATTGAAAAAGGAGAAAAAACGGAAATAATTTAAATTAGTCGAATATTATACTTACTAGGGGGTTTTTCTAGTTTCAAGCAGAAGTTTTTTTCTAGTTCCATTCCACATTCGATTTCCGAGACCTCCTGCAACTGTTCTAACCAACTTCTGTTTATCTTCACAAAAAATACATTTTTAATTAAGAGAATTCTGAATATATGAGAAATGCGGAAGCTCGCTCATTCCCATCAGTTTCAGCCATTTCAAGATTTCCTCAATTTTGGTTTTACACATTTTACTGGTATCGAGCAGAAGAGGTGAATCGGAATTCCGACTTCCGGCACCTTCCTCAGTTCCGATTCACCTCTGGTATCGAGGATTTATTTTTTTTGAACTTCTGGTCATCCTCTCTCCTAGCCTATATTTTATTTATATCAGATCCTTCCTTAACCTTTTCTACCTCCAAATACACAAATTATTGAAGAGGGCTTTTTAGTAAACAATTTTTTTCTTGAACTTTTAGTGCCTTAAACTATTTTCCTTAAAAAATAAATATAAATAATCCTTTATTTACAATTTTTCTGTTTACTTTTTTTTGGAATAATTATAGGAAAATTTATTATAATTATTTTTTAAAATTGTTTTTAGGGCAAAAAATACTTAAAAATTAATTTTTATTTTTATTTATTTACGTCAACTCCATAAATTTAAATAATTTTATTTAAAAAAAGCTAACTAAAATAATTTTTTATTTTTTTAGTTAAATAGAAAAAAAAATTTTTTTTAATAATTTATTAAATATTTTGTTGACGTTGGGGAAAAATTTAAAAAAAAATAAAAATTTTTTTTGCAAAAAAAAGTATTTAATTTTCTAAAAATAAAATATTATTTTCTAAAACCTATGCAAACACAAATCCTTTTATTAATTTTTTGGATTTTAGTCTCTTTTTCATTAATTTAATTGCTGTATAATATTATTTAAAGGGGACATTTGGGCGTAGACCGCATTTTGGCGTTTGCTTATAAAATTGACAAAAAAGAAGCTAGGGCTGTAAAATTTTGTTTTTAGGTTAAAAATAAGGTTGTCTAAAGTCTCTCAAAATTTCAGAATTTTTGGTTAATTTTTAAAAAAGTTCTGGTTAAAAATGCCTGAAAATTTTTTAAAAATTTCGACTTTTTTGTAGTTTTTCGGCCATAACTTGTTTAATATTCAACCGAAAAATCTGAAATTTGTAGAGAAGATAGTTGATACTATTTGGTATTTTTATAAAAAAATTTCGTGGAGATAGCTTTGTTAAAGGCTAAGTTACATATAGGCAAGCATCTTAACGTTGTCCTTCTTCTTCTAGTAGTTGAATATGTACTTCTGTTGCCTATTAATTTTTAAATTATTTTTTTTCATTTTTAAATAAGATTTTTAAATTTTAGATAAACTTTGAAAAATTTTTTGCAAAATTTTTTAATTAAAAAATTTTTCTTGAAGCATTTATTCAATTAATTATTAAAATATTTCTTCTTTTACTTAACAACGGGACTCTCCACACGCATTGCTCGGCGCTTTTTGCGACGTGGAGGTTCTTCTGGTAATGCAGAAAGTATTGAAAATGAAGAGGAGGAAAGGTGGAAAAAAATTGAAATTTTTTAAAAAAATTTCAAAAAATTTATTTAGACACAAACTACGCGAAAAACGGAGCGATGGAAGCAATAATAAACACAAAAATGCTTGGAGATTTGTTGCCTCAAAGTCAATGATTCCTTTAAGCAGGTGAATAAATTGGGAATTAAAATTTTTAAAATTTAATTTTTCTGTTATTTTATTCCAAGTTGGGACAAAATGTCATCTCAATTAATTTTTTAATTTTTGGTTGAATTAACTGATTATTGGATTATTTTTGGATTAGTTTTAAACCTTTGGGCTGAAAAATTCTGTCTAAAACGAGGTGTACCTTAAATAGTTGTTAAATAGAGGGTATTATTCTGTCAGCTTATCCCGCCCAGAGGGGTCGATTAAATTAAAAAATTAACTCCTAGGGGCAAATGAGGTCCAACTTTCGTAATTAAATAGTGTGGGCCGGAACATTAGGCGTAGTTTGGAATTTTTAAGTTTGCTCGTACTCGTATCTGTCCATTTTTTGCTCGTATCCATATTTCGTACACAGGTACGAAGTACGAATTTTGGTACGAGCTTCCAAACACTGGAAAATTAGACGTAGTTATGTACTGACATGAGATCAAATTTATTAAATAAAAACGAGAAGAGCAGATTAATTTTTTAATTTTTTTTAAATTTTTTAAATTAATTTTTAACCATTTTTTCTTCTTTTTTCAAAATTCTTTTTTTTGTTTGTTTGTTTTTATTTTTTCATTAAAAATATTTTTTGAATGACGCAAATAATTTCAAAGAATGTTGCCTCTTAAAAATTAAATTTCAAAAGTCACCAAAAAATGTACTCATTTTCTCAAAGAAATTTAATATTTTTATTTACTTCCTTTTCTCTCTTTTCTTTAAAATTTAATTATTTAAATAAATACTTAAGTGCGCACAATCTCTCTTTTATTTTCTCACATTTTTTAAAATTTTTTTCTAAAACTTTTTAACAAATTAATTTTTAATTTTTTTCATTTTATTTAAAATACACATTTTAACAAATAAGTAGAGTTTAAGAGATAAATAGAGACTTCGAACTGCCCACAATCTTTTATTATTATGTACAAGGCAGTAGAGACGTCCGAGACCGAAAATTTTCCAAGATTCTCAAGACTAAGAATATATCGCAAGACTCGAGACCGAAAAAAAAACCAAGAAAAGTCTTGAGACAAGACTCGAGACCAAGAGTCTCGGACGTCTCTAAAAGGTAGAGAGAGACTCGACCATATTTTAGTTTCCCTGAACCTGGTATTTTCTGACTAAATCAGGTTTTTCGGGCCCTGAAAATCTAGTCTGGTCAGTTATATCAAAAAAACTTGAACAAAGCACGGAAGTTTAAATATTTCTAACTTTAGAGACAATTTAGTCTTCATTTCTGATTATTTAATTATTGCTAAACACTTCTAATACATTCTCCATAAAAATTTAAAAAATTTATTCAAAAATTTTAAAGAAAAACCCTCAGAATTATAGGAATATCCTTGTGTCGTTATAATTAGAGGTGCGAAAAATGAAACCTGTGAATTGTGTGTGTGACCGTCCCTAATATATAATTACTATATGAAATTCAATTAGAACCGGAACCTTTCAATAAATAAATTTTATTTTGTAACCTTGTGGTGTTATAACCAGTGTTTGGAAGGTCGTACCAAAATTCGTACTCGTACCTTACGAGCAAACGAGCAATTTTCAAAATTCCAAACACTGTTTACAACTGAAAGTTAAACAATTACAAAATTATATTTAATTTTATATTTTTTTCTACTGCCGTATTTCCTCTAATATTGAACGGCAGTCTCCAATAGAGCGGCCCTATGAGATGGGGTTGAAAAATAAAACGGCAGCCGCTCAATTAGAGTAAATACAGTATTTTCTTCTCTTTCCCCTTCCTTTAAAATTTTTTTATTTTTATAAAATTGCTTAAATTAAACTTTTTTTTCTCCTTAAAATTTTATTTTTCTCCTAACTTTATCCAAATAAATTGAACATAAAAAATCCACTTAATCCATTTTAGCATAAAAAAGAGAGAGAGAGAGTCAATTTAAGCATTTTTAAATATATTTTTTATTTCAAAATTCAATTTAATTTATTCAAAAGACTAAAAACGAAGAAAAGCACTGATTTGGAAAGAATAAATTCAATAAATAAATTTTTAAAAAAAATTTAATTCAAGTCTAAATATGTGGGAGGAACAAAGAAATATAAGGGGATTAATAGAGAGACGAGAGAATAAGCAGACAGGTCAGAGAAAAAAGAAAAGAAGAAAAACGGCAAATTCAATTTTTGTGAAATAAACAAAAAAGTTTTTTTGTTCGGCGGAAGTTTGTTTGACTAGAAAAAGAATTTTTTTCATTCACGGCAACCTGGCTACTTGGCACTTTTCTTGTTTTTTTGAAAAAAAGTTCAAAGGCACAGCAGGAAAGTGAATAAAAGGACACAAACAAAATTTGTTTGTTTAAAATAAATTGTCTCTCAAAAATTGTCTCCTTCAAAATTACGTGAAAATTTAAAAAAGAAAAACAACAAAAAAATTGAAAAAGAAAAATGCATGGAGCAACAATCGGCAACCGTTTAAGAGCTACTCGACGTTCAAGAGATGCCCAAATGTTGGCGGCAGCTGAATCTGTAGCTCGTTTGAGTAGACGACATAGCCATCAGAAGACTATTAGAAGGTGATTTTGAATAATCTAATAGCCATTGGTTTTTAATTAATGGCTGGCTGAGGGAGAATCTTTAATGAATTTGAGAAGAGATTTTTTAGAAGCTTTGTTAAATCACTAGTTATATGTAATCAGTGCTGGGTATGCTCTTGTAGCTAGCTCCGAAGCCAAGATTCTAAAAGGCCGGAGCCGGAGCCAACAAATGCCCAATACCCAACTCTGATGTGTAATACTCTCCTATTATAACACCAAACAGTTTTGCATATTCTAAAGGAACTTTCTGTCCCAGTAAAATTACTTGGACGCTCGTACCAAAATTCATACTCGTACCTAGTACAAAGTACAAGCAAATATCAGAGAATGTTAAGAAGTACGAGTTACAATCTGAAATTTCCAGGCTTGTAAATCAACAATATTATATTTAAACTTAAATTTCCAACATTTAAATCCTTGACGTAACTATAAAATAATTATTTTGATTTTTATTCAAAACACATCCTTAATTTTGTTATTGTAAATTTATTTATATTTCAAAGATCCCATTAAAAAGTTGTTAAAATATATACAGGAAACAAGCTTCTTTACAACTTATTTACGTAAACAAATTTCAAAAATTTTATAAGCGGATTATCAACGTTTAAATTTTCTTCAGCATAAATTAAGAAAAATTTTAATTTTTCTTATTGCCGGACAAAAATTTAAAAAATAAAAATGTTTTTGAAAAAAAAAACTAAAAATTTTAAACCATTTATTCTTAACTTGTTTATATCCAAACTCTTTAATAGAGACTGGGCTGGAAGTGTCAAACGAGGCTGGGAGTGTCATACGAGTGTCTCGATCTCGACAAACGAGAGTTTAGATCGAGGTCTCGTCTTGGTCCGGTCTCTATTTTTTAATACCGCAGTTGGATCAAGGCGCTAATAGGACATATCTTATTTGTTAATGGAGATAGTATTCGATAGAGGTAGGTAGAGCCGGATTGGGAGGTCCTATGAGAATCGAGACCCGCTGTTCTCAAAAATATGATCACGATGACCTAGTCTTTTCTTAGAGGTCTCTTCTCGGTCTGGGCTTTAGTAGAGGGTATCGCTATACAAAATCCTCCCCCCCCCTCTTCACTAAACTTTACTCATTCTTTTTTTTCCTTTTTATTATTCTCTTTTCACAAAAAATTTTTTTGAATAAAACATTAAAAATTAACAATTCAAAATACCTACTACTAAATTAAGAAACACAAATTCCTATAAAAAGAATGGAAAAAAAATTGAAAGGCTCATATTTTTCATTGTCTCAAATTTCCAGGAACTTTTAATAAACGAAACATGGGAAGACGGAAAGGAAAGAATTATTAATTGCGCATTCTCCTCTCCCGGAAATTTTAATTTTTTAATTGAAAAAAATTTAAGAATTTTTTTTTATCTTGCTGTAAGATACACCCTTTAGGAATGATTGTCTCTTATATCGAGAGTCTCTTGTCTTAAGAGGATCTCTTATATTTATCTTCCATACTGTCTCAGATAGAAAGTATTGTTTATGCAGCTCTTACCCCACCCAACAACAAACGTATCTTAAATTCTCTAATATAAGCAAATCCTCTAATAAAAGCACCTCCTAAGGATTTATAAATATAAGTGTTTCTACATATTAGAGAATTTACGATATCTTAAATTAAACTTTTGGTTGCAACTTTTGGTCACACAATCACTCTCTTTATAACAACACTTTTTAAATTCTCAAAAATAGTTTTTCCCTTGACTATGTGTTGGATTTAATTTTATTTCTGTTATATTTCCAACTATCCGGCTTTTTTTAGAGATTTCTGAGGATTTTTCTTTTAATAAACTCCTTCCCCTTTATTTATTTTTACCTTCTTTAACTCTTGCATATTTTTCTATTTTTAGTTTTTTAAATTTGTTTTCCTAAAAAAAAGAATGCTTGAATTGCTAAAATATATATTTAATTGCTATTTTTTAAAATATATTTAATTTTTGTTTACATAAATAGCAATTTTTCTATTCAAAAATCTTTTAAAAAAGAAATTTTGTTTATTTTTAGGAAATATTTTTCCTATTAAATATTTTTATTTTAATTGTTCACCCTTTTCCATTTAGTATATGCTCGTTATTAACGACACAATTGTTTGTGAAACGTAACTATAACGGGATATTCCTATTATCGAGAGTCTCTGATATAGAGAGGTTCTAATAGTGTGAGTTTCTAGTAAATAAGTCTCTAATACCAAGAGTTTCTTTTATAGAGAGTTAACTCCACTTTAATCTCTTGCTTATATTAATCTTTTACCTTCCTCTCCCACATATCCCAACTTTTGAGTTATCACTCTAAATTTTAAATTAACTGATCTCGAACTCCAACTCTGATTTATACCCTAATTCAATTTAAATATTTATTTAAAAATTTAGTTTAATTTTTTATTAAAATTCTAGAGTACTTCCACCTCCCCCAGCACTCAATTCTTCAAGAGATTCACAACCAATTAATCCTTTTTGCTCTGATCCTTCTTCTTCTTCCATTCAACCTGTTATTGCTAAAGGTGTTTGTGTTCGGTCTGTTGGCATTTTTAAGGTAATTTTGAAGAAACCTCTATTTTATGGACTTTGAATATTGTAGACCCCCTATGCTATAGACTCCCAATATTATAAACGTTTAAACCTCATTTAAAGCCCCTCTTTTCTATACACCTTCTATAATGTAGACTCTATTTAGTAGATACCCTCTATTTAGTAAACACCCTCTATTTTGAAGACTAGTCACATAAAAATTTATTTAACTCATTCCCCCTCACAGAGTGCCCTTCCACCTTCTACCTCCACAGCAGCTCCCAATAACCTTCCTTCAGACAATACAACATTTGTGCCTCATTTAAATCCAAATTCGACTCCTTTACATCACAGAAGCGAAAATTGTTTAAATTATTCTCAACAACAATATATTGTTGGGGGTTGTTATTCAGCAAGAAGTCAACAACAACAATATCCCCCTCCTCCACCAGCACCCAATTCTTTTTCTCCTTTCAAACCTTTAGAAGGATTAGGGAATAGTAACGGTACCGATTCTTCTTCTGTTGGTTGTTGTAATAGTGCTAGGGCTGCAATGCATAGACAATTTAGTAGGTTTTTGGGATTTAAAATTTGGCAGGCTTCATGATGGGAGGACTTCCTAGACGATACCTCTAATAACGAATTAATCCCATTTCAAATATTTATATGTAAGCTAGGTCCGGCTATATTTTCTCTTTTTTCCACAAAAATTTTCTCAGGTCCATTATTAAATAAACAATTTATTCTTTCCTAGCTGGATCATCTAACGGAGAGGAAGAATTTACTGTAGAAGAATTACAAGAATTTGCTCAAGCCTTTAAGGTGAAAAAAAATGATTTTATTATTCAAGCCCTCTTTATTCTCTTATTGTTGGTTATCCCGCATTCCCACAGATATATACCACCTTCCGGTTATCCCCGCCTTGATACTCTCCTAGTAATACTTAAGTAAAGAGAAACCCCTGATAAGAAAAGGTTAAAAACCTTCATTATTTCGACAGATGTTTGATAAAGACGGAAACGGAACTATGAGTATAAAAGAGCTTGGAGTGGCCATGAGAACTTTAGGATTAAATCCAACAGAAGATGAATTGCTCAATATGGTTAATGAAGTAAATATAAAAAGGAAAAATAATTTTAAAAAAATAAAAATAAATTAAAGTATGATGTTGATGGAAATGGAATTGATTTTAGTGAATTTTGTAAAATGATGAAGGAAATGAATAAAGAAACTGATCAAGAACTTATACGACTTGCATTTCGTGTTTTTGATAAAGACGGGAATGGGTATATTACTGCACAGGAATTTAGGCATTTTATGACTGTGAGGAATTTTTTATTTATTTAAAAAAAAATAAAATTTTAAGAAAAATTTCTGAAATTGTCCTTTGTTTTCTTTATTTCCATTTTTAATCACATTTTCCTCAAAAATAAAATTGAGAAAATCTGTCGGGACTCGAACCTTTGCCTATCACATTTTAGGATTAGGAACTATCCGACTAAACCACCAAACCACCACATGGGGAATGCTAATTTCTCTTTAACTTGCCTCGCTTTTTTAACACTAATTTAACAAAAATATACCGAGTTTATTTTTTCTTTTAGACAATGGGAGAGAAATTCAGCGAGGAGGAAGTGGACGAAATAATAAAAGAATTTGATAAAGATGGGGATGAACAAGTATGTCTTTCTGACTACTTTTGCAAAAATCTTCTTTTTTTAGATTGATTATGAAGAATTTGTAAATGCAGTTGCTCCTATAGTTAATGATGGTGCAAAAGAAGACGCTCCCTTTTTTGAAAAGGAACAGCCAACAACGGGTTTTGGACAACCAATAACAACTTCTGGACCTCCAATAGCTTCCGGAAAAGTCAACAAACATTTTTAAAATATAAATAATTTCGTTTAAATTTTTTTGAGTGATCTCATTTGAAAAAATAATCTTGTAATAAACATATATTTAATATACAAAATTAATTTAAATTAAATAGTCTGACCTAATCTCTCTTAGTTATCCCACATTTTCGAATATTCTAGATCCTAGTTATTACAAATTGAGATGATCTAGTATATATTTTTTAAAGGTGTGATAATATTGAGGGAAGGGAAAATTCGGCCCTATACGCAAATAAGGGTCGAATCGTTTTTTCCTTCATTTTTTTCCTTTTCATATTATTCCTTAATTTGTACGTAATGATGTTTGCCGTAAGTAATTTCTGCTGTCCGTCTCCGTTCGTGTCTTGCCTGTCTGTGTTCGTCCGTGTTCTGTCCGTCTCCGTGCGTGTTCTCCGTGTTCGTCCGTATTCAGTCTGTTTGTGTTTGTCCGTGTTCTGTCTGTGTTCGGTCTTTGTTCTGTCTGTCTATGCTCGTCCGTGTTTTGTCTATCTGTGTTCGTCCATTTTTTGGTTTTTAATATTTTCTCTGTCTTTACATTTGAATAAGCCACAGGGAAATTCGTTGGAAGTGAACGAGGAAAAAATTCTTACCATTACGTACAAATTAAGGAATAATATGAAAAGGAAAAAAATGAAGGAAAAAACGATTCGACCCTTATTTGCGTATAGGGTCGAAAATTCTGTGTGAAACTTTGTGTTGACGTTAATTGAGTCTGTGCTTCTAATCGAGCTATAATAGTTAGAAGGCTAACACTGGGAAATTAAAAAAATTCTTTTCCCGAGTCTTTACAGGTTACTCCGTCTTTCATGGGAAAAAGGGAAAGACTTCTCTCCTCTTGACTTAAAAAAATTTTTTTAATTACACAAAAACTCAAATTATGTATTTGTTAGATTAATTTAATCCCAAAATATTTTTAAAAAATATAAAAAGTATATAAAAAAAGAGGAACTTATATGGATAAGGTACTATTTTTTAGCCACGCCTTTTCCCTCCATTTTTTCTTAATACGTCCAGTTATTGAATTCCAAAAAGTACCTCCCCCAGGATCTGCATTTTAGAACAGGTATTATGTGTGTATCTCTGAATAAATAGGGCCTTCTATTTCCAAAAAATTTTTTGTTGAGACAAGCTAAACTGATTTCAACTTTGAGTAGTTGTACAACAAACCAAAGTTGGCACACACCCACCAAATATGAATTAGCTGAATTGGACGGGTGAGAAGGAAAACGAAAAAAAGGCGTAGCTAAAAAAGAGAGTACCTAAACCACTCAAGTTCAAAAAAGTAAACCATTATGTTAATTTTTGTCAATAAATTTATTTATTTAACTTCCTCTGTCAAACCAATCATTTAGTGTAAGGGTCAAGACGATTAGCGAAGTCGTTCAAAACTTTAGCCATATTACGCGCACCTTCAACCAAAACAGTCAAAGTTTCTTTATGTCCATCACAAGCACCTATAAAAGAATTTAAATATTAAAACAAATTTAGACGGTTCAATAAACGTCGGGATTTTAGGACAATGAGGGAATTTTGGAACCGAATGAGGTTTCAGACGAACGAAAATGAGAGTTCCAACATTTAATTTCGAGTCTAGACGACTCTCCTGTAGACGGGTTTTCTTTAAAATCCTTTAAGTTATAGTTTTTTCCTCAAAATCGTAGTATATAACTATTATCAAGGGCGTATCCAGGGGGTCGGTTTTGGGGAGGGGCAGGATACGACCTTAACTATTATTAATCCACAGTTTTGGAACTTTGAAGTGTAAAACAAAAGACACTTTTACAACCATAAGTCCCCTTATTTTTAAGCAAAGCAACTCACCCGCAGTCGAAGTTTGATGAGATGTAGACGGTAACTAAAATTTTTTAAATAAAAAAATATAACATTTAAAAATAATTTAAACCTGGTGATTGTTAACCTCCTCCTCCTCAACAAAAGTCGGCTGAATCTTAAAAATAAACATGAATTACTTTGAAATTTTGTCAAAATCACGCACTAACTTAAAAAATATTTATCGAATTTAAGGAAGGCGCAAAATATTAAAAGACAAGGGTGACCCAACTACTTATGTTAGCATATTTGTCCACCGGTTCAAAAAATCGTTCCGGGGCCAAATTTTCCGGTAACCAGTCACCGGGCGTATAACGATCAGATCCGTAGCCAGAGAAAAAATTCTTTCCAAAAAAAACTAAAAAATACTTGAGCTTGTTGCAAAGCATATCCCGAAGTACCAAAACTATAACCCGCCATACGTCGACCATTATGAGCCCCACGCTGATGAAAAGAACTGGAGAATTCTGTATTTGGAAGTGGTGGATTGTCAGAAGATTCATAAGTCATTTGTTCCGGAGGCGCTCCATACTGTGGACGTTGGAAATTCATTGCTCCAGCACGAGCACGAGCAGCAACACGAGCAACACCTCTCCCTTGCGAAGCACTAAAGAAAAAATTTCAAAAAGAAATCCTTCTCAAGATATTACTCAAATTGAAAGTCAGTCGGCTGGTCAGCCCCAACACGTTGTTGATACATAAAGTCATAAGAAGAAGAACCACGTGTACGATGTTCAAGAGGAGGTCGCATTTTGTCAATTAGAAAGTTAGTAAGTAGTAAATAAAAATAAAAAGAAAGTCTAAAAAAATAATCAGTAAATAAGGATCAAGAAGAAAACAAGGTAAGAAAGGGAATAAATGACAGATTTTGGTGAATTGTCCAATTCGGGGACTAAATTAACTTAATAAATGTGAGACAAATAAATCAATGATCAATCCATAAACATAAAGCTAGTAGAGCAGGGCTCTCATTCGTACTTTATTTGAGAGTACAGTACTCTAAAATCGACCTCCGTACTCTCGAAATTGAATTTGTACTTTATTCAGAGTACGTACTCTAAAATCAACATTTTGGAATGAAAATGAAATTGGGCAAGGAATTGGGCAAAAAAGTGAATTTTTTGGCCTACGGCCTTCTAAAATCCTCAAAATTTTCGCCTGCGGCGCTGAAAAAGAAGAAATATGGCTTCTTGGGCTCCAAATTCCAAAAAATTTCGCCTGCGGCGCAAAAAATGGAAGAAATCTGGCCTAAGGTCCTTCAAAATTTTCGCCTGCGCCGCAGAAAATGGAGGTTTATACAGTAAGGGCTTTACTTCTTGTGACAGCGAATTTTGACATGTCGTGCATTGAAATGCACAAAATGCTCAGTGCAAACAAGAAATTATTAGAAAAATTTATTTAGGAGAGAAATATAAAAGATTTGAGGACGAATAAATATTTTCTAATTTAATTTTGAGTGTCCTTTAAATTTGGAAATTTTGTCCCTATGTACTCTAAAATCGAGATTTTTGTACTCTTGATTGGTATTTTGTCGATGAGAGCCCTGTAGTAGAGAGATATTGAAAAGAAATATTCATTTCCAAAATTAAAAATACCAACATTTACAAAATCTGAATGAAAGTTTAAAAAATTTATTTTGCCGGCAAAATAAGTTTCGACAAAATGACATTTGGTAATTTGAAAGAATATAAAGGAATAATGTCAAAATATATATTAATATATTGTCAAATCGTTTTAGGTCAGCTTAATTTTTTGCTTCTTTTAAGAATTTTAATTTAAAAATTTAAAATATTCTGAAGTGAAATTAATTTTTGACAAATGTCAGAAGCGTAAGTGCTTTACCTTTTTTTTATGAAAAATTATTTTAGAAAACTGAAGAATGAAGATTTTCGCAAGTTGTTAGCCTCTTCATCATCAACTAGAGTGGTCGATAACAATTCCTCAACAAAAACAACAACAACATCTTCCCATGCTTTTACACATAGAAAAATTGGAAATTCTGTGCAAACCAAAGCTAAACCCAAAAAATATGTTCCAAGGCCTGATCATGTTCCAAAACCCGACGATGATATTTTTGATGAATCTGAAGCTCGACTTGTTGAAATACTCAAAAATTATCGAGATCGGGCATCTGAAAGAAGAAAAGGAATGTTTTCTGATGAGACGGAAATTAGCAAACTTATACGAGCTAGTAAAGATGTTGAAAATGTTGGAAGTGTTTTGGATGCATCCGCGGGAGAATCAAGGAAAATGCAAATTCAGGTAACCTTAAGTATTTTATAAACCGTTTTCTATAAAAATCCTTGTCCTTTGTTCTCTAATTTCTTGAAAATTGTTTCAAATTAGAGATTGGCTTTTTTGATCGTTTGATCAGTGAACTTTGGATTTACCGGTGTAGAGACAAAAATTTAAGTCGACATTTGTCTTCCTATATTTGGCACCAGGCCCGTAGCTAGAAAAATTTTCAAGGACGATATTCCTATTTAATTTTTCAGAAATCAAAATATCTTGGAGGTGATATGGAACACACCCATTTGGTTAAAGGCCTTGATTATTCGCTTTTGAATAAAGTCAGAACGGAAATACATGAACAACAAGTTTCTGCAAAAGAGAAGGTTTCTTTCCTTTTTTATTTTTTAAAAATTATTTTCTAGGCATTAAATGACCCAGTTGTTGTTTCTAACGATCCAACACAAGCTGGAAACAAATTAGCTCGAAATGTCTGTAAAATTCTATTTGAAAACAAACTCCCTCAAAGAAATGAACTTTTTGTGAGAGGCAGAATGGCCTATTTAGTTGAATTGGATGAAGAAGAATCTGATGTGCCTAGTACTTTAATGCGCTCAGTTGTTGATTCTTCTGCGGATCAGACGATCGAAAATATTAATGCAGATAATGTGCTTATAAATGTAAGGATTTGTTAATATTTTTTTAAATTATTTTTCGAAATTGTTGCTTTTTTCTGAAAAAATTTTTAAGTATGGGGGTTTTTAACTATTTGTGAATCCCTTTTTTAAAGTCGAATATCCGCTCATTTTGTCCTGGGCTTGTGGATATCGGAGCCTTATTAAGGGCAAGTAATTTGTTGGGGGAGTTTTTTAGCTAATCTCATTAATTAAAATAAAAATTTCTCAATTTTAGAAATTGTCTCAAGTGTTGGTCTACCTTAGAACTGATCTTAAGAAAAAGACGAAAACTGGATTTGAACGTGACTTACCTCAACATCAAGAATCTACAAGTATTTTTGAAGGTTTAGATGATTATGTTTCTTCAAATAAAAATGATGAAAAAAGAAATGGGGATATTAGAAGGAGACAAAGAGAAGGGGAATCTTCTACAGATCAAAGGAAAAGTTATTTTTCAAGCACAGATGGAGAAAGGTTTCTTTTTTAATTTTTGTTGAATCGGGTCGGACATGGGCTAGATAGGCCAGGCTGTTTTTCCTTGGGGCATTTCCAAGTTTAGACTTTTTGCTTTTCTGGATTTTTCCTCTAATCAAATTTATGGATTTAGGAGATAAGTCCAATCCCAGATTTTAAATTACCGACCTCTATCCTCCTTCTTTTTTTAAATTTTCAGAAGTCGTGGACGTGATGATCGTAACTCTGCAAGAGACAGAAGACCAGAAAGAAGAAGAGAACGCGATGAAGATGAAAGACGTGAAAAAGAAAAATTAGAAAAGGAAAAACTAGAAAAAGAAATGTTGGATAAGGAAGAGCTTTTGCAAAAAAAGAGACGAAAATTGGAACAAGAAGATGCTTATGCTGAATTTTATCCGGGTATTTTTTAAAGAGATATTTTAAAAATTAAATTTTTAAATTAGGTGGTCTTGGAATGATGGACGCGGGTGGGGAGAGCGATGACGATGATTTTTCACAAATGGATCAGGTAGCATTGTTGTTTATTTTTTAGGGATTTTTAGAGGTATTTAGACTTTTAAAAGCCTAGTCGATTATGTTAGGATTTTTAGGAAAGAAATTTTTTTCTCTTCCATTAACTAGTCAGAATTCCTCTGCAAGGCCTTTAGATTTTATTTCAGGGCCATTTCATTTTTACAGACAGAGTTTTGTTAATTTCCTTGATAATTTTTCAAGTCCTTAAATAGCTTAAACGCAGTTCTATGTGATTTTAAAAATTTATGGGTCCAACCTAACAGATTAAAAGATTGCTTATTTTAAAAAAATATACGTTGGATTCAAAATAAAAATTTTCAAGGCATTTTTCATGTGTTTTTAATTTTTCCTTGATTCACTAAAAATCTATGTGAATGATTTTTCAGCTTTTAATATTTTTATTTAAATTATATATTTTTTAAATTTCACCAGGGCAATCGAAAATCTCAAATAAAACGTTGGGACTTTGACACTCAAGAAGATTATGAACGATACCAAAGTGCACGTGAAGCACACCCTCGAGCTGTTTACCAATTTGGAGTAAAAACTAGCGGTGGAAGAAAAACACGAAAAAATGTTTTGGCAGTCAATGAAAAGAAAATTGACAGAGAATTGGATAAAATTAATAAAATTTTGGAGAGAGGAACAAACCAAAGTATACGTTATTAAAAAATTATTCTTTCATTTTTTGTGTTTATTCTCTAGTATTTACAATTTTTGAAAGGTTTGTTGGGGAAAATTTTCTTTCTTTTATTATTGGGATAAAATGTCTTGAATTATTTTTTTTGTATTTATTTTTGAATAGTTATTTTTAACTATTTTTATTTTTTAAAAAATTGTTCGACTTTTTAAAAGCGCTGGGTCAATTCGTGGAAAACATTCAAATACATAAAAAAATTATTTCTTCGAATAAGTTTTTGGATTTCTTTATGTTCTCAAAACTTGAGGTTTTATTGTAAACTTTTGAAAAAGATATGACTTTCGGTTCAAATTTGCGGACTTTTTAAAATACAAGTAAAAAGGATCCAATTAGCAAATAAAAAGTTTCTTCCCTACCTAATGGGCTTAAAATAAAATTTAATTTTATAAACCTGATCCAAATTACTCGAAAAAGAAATTATTTCTATTTTATTTTGACTTATTCGACTAATTGTTTATTTCACGAATTTTTCTCGTTTTTTATTAATTTATTTTAAAATTAATTTTCTTTTCCAGTTTGATATCATTTAAAGCTATTTTTTGGTAGCAATGAAACTGCTTTTACATAACTTACTTTCTTCGAAATTTCTAAAAGGAGTCAATACTGGATTTCCTTTAATTCTGCGTGTTACTAAAAGCGAGGTTTCTTTTTTGTTTTTTTTTAAATAAAATAAAATTTTTAGAAAATAGAATTGGGTGAGAATGATGCTGAACAATTTGTAAAACAAATGATGCCGAGATTGGATTATAATGCTTTTCGGGATGCCGCACAAATTGTGGATCAGGAACAGGCTGTTGATTTGCCCAGTAATTTGCCTGATGATTGGGAAAGTAATACTGGTTTTTTGAAAAAGGTTAATTTAATTTTTCTATTAAATTGGGAATTGTTTGTGAGGGAGGTCAATACTGGATTTTTCTAATTGTGTGGGGAAGGGAGGATTTAGGGCAAGTTGGGGAGTCCACAAAGACTTGGATTTAGCCTTGATCTGGCCCTTAATGTTTTCAAAAATTAGCCCAGACCTGGACACAGACTTCAAAATCTTTCTCTAGCCTCCTCAATATACCAAACATTTCAATACTATCTTTAAACCCATCCGAAGCGTCTGTTTTTAAAGTGAAATTTTTTTTTGAGTTTTTAGATGTATTCATTGTTGGTGGGTGTAGAAATTGTGGAAGGTGAAATGGAATGTCCGGAAACTCATCGAATCTTTCCTATTAGCGAAGGCATTCCAAATATGTTAGCTCGAGCCGACGAAATTGAAGAAGAATAAAACAAGAGACAATGAAAAATTTTTGAGACAAAATCCATTTTTTGAAATTTTTCGATGTTTTTAATTGATAAAGGCAAAATGTCAAATTATGTGGGATTTAACGAATTGAGAGGTTGGTTAATAAAAAAAAATTATTTCTTCATTTATCGAAGAGGGGAAGAGGGCTTTTGATGGAATCCTGTGATGTTAGAGAAAATAGTGTGAGTAATATACGCTGGTTGAGGGGCAAAACACCGTCCGACCAAAATCCCGTCAGGGCATTAGAGTCTTAAAGTCTGGACATTAGGTTTTTTTAAAAAATACTTTAGCTCCTGTGCCGAAAATTTTTTAATTTGTTACCCAAAGCAAAGTGGACGGTATCTTTTACTCTAATGTTCTGACTGTAGTTTGTTCATACGGTATTTTGTCCCTCTTCAATATACTTCATGTCTGCCCACTAAAAACAATTTTTTTGCTCTCTTTCTCTGCTGACAGCCATTAAAAAATAAAGTACAGCCCTCAAAATAAATGGTAAAAATTGTTTTCTTTTTACTGTTCATCGGTAAATACGCCATTATCTCCCCCCTTATTTTTCTTTTCCCCATTTACATGTGCTTTGGCGTGGTGTCAACTCTCGTCATATTTTTCTCTCTAAAAAGGCCAAACAATTTTTGCGAAAAATATACAAGTAATGCAAGTTTTTTAGTTTTTAGACAAGACAACGCGAATGATTTGTCCCCCATCTTTCTTAACTAAAATGACAGCCTATAAACCATTCGCCAATGTTTTTTTCTTAAACTCAAAAATTGATCGTCCTTTTATTATAAAATAAATATTATTTTTTCTCTTTCGTAATAGCTTTGTTAATTGTTGTTAATTTACTTTTAAAATATTTTTTTGTTTTTTGAGGGGAAGAGGGGGGGGGGAAGACAATTGATCCAAAAACAACATTTGGATAATAAAAATAAATTTCTTCTTTTTTTGCACTTTTTTAGAACACTTATAAACACAATTTTACTTTTTATTCTTTGGCCTTTATTTAAACTACACATTTTCTACAAACAATTATGACAACTTCTGTTGATTTTGATTATAATGGACCGCCAGTTACTGTTTCAAATGGAATGGCTGTTGAGGTATTTTTTATTATTGAAAATTTTAATTGATGGGAATTATGGGTATTTTTTGGGGAGTTTTCTCTAAAAATTTACGTATTTTTACCAAAATTATTTTCTTAGTTAATTAAAATTTGCTGATCACAAATATAACTTATTTTAAGTTTACCTAACAAATCTCCATGATTTTTCAGAATTATTGACATTTAACAATTATTAAAAACGATTTTTTTCGTAATTTTTTGGTGGTTTATGTTTATTGGTAAAAGTCTAAAAAAGGTAAAAAAGGGACTTGACATTTAGTTGTCTGTCATTAGGCAACAAATGTTACCTCTTACTGACAAACCAAATTATATTTCGAATCCCGGACCCACATTCGACCAATCGACTTTGCTTGCTCATTTTTTCTAGGGTCCAGTAAAAAATGTTCTTTTCTGGAAAATTTTCTTTTGCTTTTTCCGGATTTTGCGACAAAATTTTATTTGTAGTTTATAGTATGTAATTACAATCTCTCTCTGTTCCTTTTTCATATAAATTTTAATTCTTATCAGTCCAAAAATTTCCCTTTTCTTTCAGTTGGTTGCACAATTTGGAATTCAAAATGCGTGGTTCGCCTTTTTAAAACTCCGAGGAATGAAATTAAAAAATGAAGAAGCAGAAAACGCTCGCGAATCATTCACTTATTTTCGCAACAAAATTGGTCATTTACGTCGTTTGACCAAAGAATTTAACGAAAAACAAAAAGAAAAGGGTTGTGAAGAGGCGACCAAAAATTCTTTTGATGCCTTATCTTCGGCAGATTTTGATAATTTCTTTGTCTCACCAGACTCGCTAGAATTGAAAAAAGATGCAACAAAATATTCGGAAGTTGAAGATAACGAATTTTTTGAAGGTTAGTTTTTTTTGTTTTTGGCTAGTCAAATTTTTTACTGATTAAAAAGGAATGGTGACCTTTCTACTCTTCCTCTTCCCCGATTTTTCGCTTGTATTTATTTTTGGGTTTTATTTTGGTTATCGTTACTCCAACCGAGTTTAGGACCAACGTTAAACAGATTGCCTAAATATCCTAATAGCCCTGGGCTTCTATTTTTCAATACCCCCATCGGGTGGGCTGATAACAAGGCATGCGCTTCTATTATGGATGGACTTCTATTAGGGTATTTACGGTATATGCTCATCTGTCGATTTATTACAAAAATCTGGGTTTTTATGGATCCTTCGAATTTAAAAAATTATTACATAATAAACAAAATAGGATACCAATAATTCGACAGAGAGCCACAGACTCAATAATTTATTCCAAAAAAGTAACTAAAACCCTAGGAAAGTCAAAGAAAAACGTTTGAGGAGACGATTACTCATTGAAATTAAAAATTTATTTTTTAGAAGGTGTTGCCTCTTCTTCATCCTCTTCAAGCCAAAAAACTTCATCACCTACCACAGTTTCACTTTTGCAAGTAATTGAAGAAAATAAAAGAAGACAACAAAAAATAGATAATAATGACCATCAATTAGACAAACATACGGGGGAAAAAGAACAACAAAAATCGAATCGTAAAGAAGATAAAATTTTAGAGGAACAAAAAGAGGAAACTTTACAAAATAAAAATACTCTTCAGAAGTATTCCCGTAATAATAAAAAATTAACAACAACAACGACAGAAAATATAGAGACTAAACAAATGGTTGAAAAATTGTTGGCTGCGAAAGAAGAAATAGCTCGTCGACATTCAGAAACTATAGGTAAGTGAGGGGGATTGATTGGTAATATTTTGGAAGTCGCCCCATGTTTTCACGTTCTCCTGACCATTATGAGCTTTTTGGGATTAATTTTGATTAAAAAAATATTTCCTTAAAGATGATGTGGTTTCCGTTGTTATGGAAAAAATTAGAAACAATCAGCCCTTCGAAGGGGAGTTGACTGCCCCGACTGGACATTTTATACCTCCAAAATCACATCACAAAAGGGCAGGAATTGGTGGAGGGCAAAAGATGATTCATCAACAACGTGCTGGAATTCCTGTTATGGGGCAAATGAAAGCAGAAGAGTCAATATTACGCCAACAACAGAAAGGTGGGACTGTTTTGGCTTCTGTGACGAATGAAGGGGTTTTGACTACAGCAACACCTACAACGGCATTCAGGCAATTTTTACAATTTTCTTTTTGATTTTTGTCAAGTTTTTAGTCATTTTTCGCCTGGACAGTCAATTGTCCTCCTTCAAAACCCTCTCTCTTCAAGCGGACCAATTCAACTTCCCCAGTCTCAAATTTCTTTTGGAGGACTTCCTTCAGTCTCTCCAACATCGTCAACTTACAAATCACGTCAAAATGCTTACAATAATGGACAAATGATGGCGGAAACAGCAATCCATTCACAACATCAACAACAAGTATATCCACCTTTAATAAGTTCACCATCAATCCAAACTTCTCGTTTACAACAACAACATATTTACTCTATTGGTCAGCCAGTTGTTGGTGATGTTGGAAATATTGGTGGGGGAACAGCGACAACAGCAATACCTTTAGATTTGGCTATTCAACAAAATATGACTGTTCAAGAGCTTATTCAGGTTTTTTTTTTAATTTTGTGGTTATAGACCGGGAAGGGCATTTTGGGAAATTTTATAAGGAAGTTTTATAAGGGATTTTTTATGTGGCTGAGGAAAATCGGATTTTAATATGCTGCTGCTTTTCTATTTAGGGTCATTTGCTTTTTAGGGTTTTTCTATTTAGGGTCATTACTTAAATTTAAACCACTATGGTATCCAACCAAATGGATTGATGTGAATTTAATTTTTCTAATTCCAGACGCCTTTTTTTCTTAATTTTCCTTTCCATCATTGACTTTAAATTTTTTTTGTGTTTTATTAAAATTAAAAAAATATTTTTTAGACATTAAAAGTCCAAGGAGGAAATAGAAATACAAACACACAAATTATTCTTCAAACAAATGCGAATATTCCTTCAACTCTAACGCCAACTTCTACAATTTTAACGACAACAGATCGCAATCCTATTCAAAATCAACAAGAAACTCCTGACAGTAGTAGCCAAGAGGCTAGCATTCAAGAGGTTTTTTTTGAATTTTTTAAGTTGAAAAGGAGTACATTACCCATTCGAATTTTATATTTTTATTGATACGTTTGGTATCTTCTTATTGATACCTTCAAGTTATTATTGCGGTTTAAGTCTTTTTTTGGTAATATGATTTTGAAATTTGGCTTTTGAATCTGTCCAAGTTTGTACGAGCTTCTTGCTGGGTCTATTAAACAGTTTTGAAATTTATTTATTTGCTATTTCTACGTCATTTCCACTGACATTGTAGTCAAGTCTCTATTAAAAAGGTATCAATAAAGATCAGGCCCGCATCCATGAGTAAATTTTCCCCCTTGACCCCCCCCCCCCCCCCCCCCCCCCCGGAAAAAATCCTGGTTATGATCATGATAGAAATATAAAATTCGATTTATATAGTAAGTGGTGATGTTCTCATGTGCGAGTTAAATTAATAATTTTTTATTTAGAATGCTCTAAAGTCTGGATATCCTAAAAAAGATAAAAATGATAATAATCAATTGAAAAAAGGGCGTAAAAAGAAGAAAGGAGAAAGTGAGCAACAATTTGAAAATATTATTTTAAAAATTGATGTAGTTGAAAAAATTGATTTGGAAGCTAATGAAAGAGGAAAACAAAAAATTGGACAAATAAATAAAGAGGAGGAGAAGTTGGGGAATTCTGGTGGACAATTACAATCAGTTTTGTTTTTTTTAATTTTTAAAATTAAAATTTTTGTTAATTAGGAGACTAAAGTAAAGAAACAAACAAGTACTACAACAAATGTGTTAGGGAACGTCTCAACTGTTTCAAATCAAAAACAGGTTTGGAAATATTTTTAAAAATGGCTTTTTGAGCTTAATTGGGAATTTATTCTGGGAAAGGGTTGAATTTAAAAGAAATTTTTTCTTTTAAAAACTGGGTGCAATTTAAAGATACCTACCTACTATGTATTATTTAATACTGCAAACAAACAAAGGTGAAAGCAGATTTTGAATATTTCTTTCTTTTCTAAAAATTATTTGCAACATTTCTGATCAGATACGTAGTCATCCTTTTCGGGAAGTGGGATTATTTGAAAATTATACTCGTAGTCTTCTACAACCCTGCTCACAGATACTGATTTTGGTATCCGTATCCATGAGCAGGTCTGGTCTTTTACCTGTTTTACGTGCTTGTCCCTGATTCAGAGTTTTGTTCTTTATTTTAAAAATTTTATTTTTTCCAGCAACAACGCATTGAGGATTTGGAAGCCCAATTGAAGAAATTAAACAAACATTTGCTTACCGAAAAGAATAAAGCAGCAACACAAAAGAAGCGTGCAGACAAAGCATTATCTGATTTGGAGAAAGCTTCTGATTCTATTCAATTGTTAAAAATTGATTTGGCTTGTCAAAAAACTGATAATAATACACTTATTGCTGAAAATATTGCCTTAAAGTAAGCAAATTAAAATTGGATATATTAATAAATTTGAGGACTTGAATAACCATTAGATTTTTAATTTGCGTTACCGGTTATGTTTTGTGGCACAGTTGGGTCTTGCTATAATTTTCACAAGATACACTTATGTTTAGGATGTTTTTTTAAAATTTTAGTTGGTCATTGGATGAGAGGAGCTGAATTTTTCAGTCCCAGTTTTTCTATTCCTAAGGTGTATTTATAAGTATGGTTCGATAAATAAATAATTGAAATAGACATCTCTTTTGTCTTCATTCCCTTCATATTTCCGCAAATGATGAACCGATTAAAAATTAAACTAAAATTTTTTCTTTTTAGAGCAGAAAATCAACAACTTCGCTCCAAAGAAAAGAGAACAAGTTCTGGCCCATCTACAGCATCCGGAACACCAAAAAGTAGGAAAAGAAAAGAAATTACTGAAGAACCCGAAATTATAAAAAATGAAAAAAGCGGAGGGGGAAGAAGTCGAAAAACAACAACAACAAATAATTTAAAATCTGATAATTTGCCAGAAAAAACCCTTACACCTCCCCCACTTTCTTCAGAACTTGGACGAAGACAAAGTAAAAGAATTTGTGTGGCAAGAAATCAATTTATGAGAAATTTATTTTAAATTTTAAAATTGACTTTTATAAAGTCCTTTTTTGATAAGAAAAAAAACGCAAAAAATTTTGGAGAAATTTTAATAATAATTTAATATGTGTTTGTGTAAATATTTCACCTTAAACATTAATTATTTTTTGCCTTTATTGTGGGATGAATAGAGATTGGATTTTTTATGGATCTCTTTGTTTTTAGAAACGAATATACAGTTGTGTATTAAGGTTATCAGATAGTTGGAAATTTTCGGATATTCAGTCTTTTTTCGGATCCGGATCTGACAACCCTATTGTGTATTAGTGCTGTTTTTTAATAACGAAAATTCCATTCTCTATTTATTGTTAATAAAAACCCTAATAAATTGTAATATATACAGCCTTCAAAAATAAATATTTTTTTTATCTACATACAAATTTTTTCTTTATAATTTTGCTGATTTTTAATTTTAAAATATTTTTTGACTAAAATATGGGGGAAAGAACATTTGCAGGGACACTTTCTAATTGAATACTAAACAAATTTTTTTAATTTTTATGTTGGTTTTTTCATTTTTTAAGCAATACCTAGGTTAATTAATTATTAATGACGAGTTCCAAAACTCAATATTTTAGTAATAAACCCAGTTCGCCCGCAAATGTTTGTGTACCCTTTTAACAAAACATTTTTATACTAAAAAATCATGCACTATTTTAGATAGAACTTTTCTCTATACAAATGGTTATCAATCAAAGAAATATTGCTTTATCAATTTATAAAGGAATAATTTGTGAATTAAGACGATTCGATAAGGTGTTAAAATAATTAATTTAAATAATAGTTTGGGATGGGGGGTTTCAATTATTCCTTATCAATTAATGGTGATACTTTGAAAGACTGCAAGGGATTAAATCAAGTGGTCATAACCTTGTTTCTCTTAAGTAAGCTTTCGTTGATTTTAGTGTCATTCGACACAGCTCGAAGAGTTGAGTCGAAGGATCTATAATTTACTAAAAAATGAAAAAAACAAAGCAAATAGAAATCGGGAAAAAGGAGGGCGACTGCCAAATAATTAATATAATATTTTTATTCCCAATTTTCTCGTTCAATCCCAAAATTAATTTTTTTAAATTTAGAACTTCAATACCAACAACCAACTTTACAATTATGTAGTTAAACAAATGCGTTCTCAAAAAGACCAAAAAGATTTAATTCGCTTGGGAGAATTAACAGCAACCTATTTGAAAAGCCAGAGTAAACTCCGTGAATTACGTTCAATTTATAACAAAGAAGGATGTAGTACTGAAGAAGCAGCAAAATTAGTTGGATTAAAACTGCCAAAAGCTCAAAATATTTGATAAAGATGTTTTTGACTTGAATAAAATTTTTTGAGGTAGATACATTTGAATGCAAGAGTTTATCTACATTTACCGAAAATTTCTTTAAAACATTTCGAGAAAAATTCATTTAGATAAATAGCTTGTTTTTATTATTATTAAGTAAAAGGTGCTCTTTCTAACAACCTATACATAGATTAAAAATGACCCCCAAAATGACCCCCAGTAAGTACTTATTAAAATATAAACCATTTCCCAGTATTAGTAAATTTTATGTGGTTTCAAATCAACCCAATCAATCAAGTTTTTATATAGGCTCTCATCACCTCTCGATTTTCTTCTTGTCGTTTATCTTCCTAAAATCATAATAAAATCTTACTTATTCTTCACACTCTTCATTCTCATCATCTTCATCATCCAATACCCCCACTCCCTTATTTCTACTTTTAAAAAATTTAGTTTCCTAAACCCTATGATATACAATTATTTCTATTCTACTAACCTATCTTAATAAAAATAATAAAAATATCTCATCATCTGGATTTTTTTCTGTCTTCCGATTTTTTGCTCTCTTGAGCTGAAACATAATTAATTTTAATTATTACAAAATTCAATTAGTAAATTCGAAATTCTCAGCTAACAAAATTCGTGGAACAGTTTTGAGACAAAAGATGTCGAGAAAATCTAATTCTCTTACCATTTTTAATTTTTCGATCGTTATCTGTAATTTTCATGATTTAAACGAAAAAACTCAAACTTAAAGAAATTGAACTTTCAACCTTATAAATAAAAGGGTTTTAAATATTCAAAAAGAATAAATATATTTATTTTATAAATCAACATTATATAATAACAGGGCTTGGATCGGAAATCAAGCTCAAGTACAAAAAGTTTAATTTAGAAGTACATGGGGAAGGGGGTGATAATTTCAAAAATTATTTTCTCAATATTTCTTTTCAAATGAGAATTTTTCAGGCAAAATTTTGAGGTCAGATACATTTTTAAACTAAAAGTCAAGTACTAACCCAAGCCCTACACAAAAAAATATGTACATATGTTACACAAAAAATATGCCCTACACAAAAAATATGTACAAGATGTTTCGAAACAAAAAATCTTCAAAAATCGGAAATCGAAATAAATTCAAAAACATCGGAAATCGAAAATATTTTTCAAAATCCTCGAACTCGGAAATAAAATTTCGAAACAGCTCTGATTTAGAGCAAAATATTATATACAAATTTATGAAAGGAATTTGTTTTTATTAAAAAAAATTTTCATTTTTCATCATTCGTCCATCAGATTCTTAATTAAAGCCCTTCATAAAACCGCTCCCTTCTCTTTGAATTTAATTTTAGAACATCAACAGCTATACCATGCATACCGGGAGTATAAGTAGGCATCAACTAAAATAAAAAAATTTTATTAGTGGGCAATAAATGATCTCAACTACCTTAATAATTTTCCAGATATTGTAAGAATTTAGGGAGATTACAATCAGACAAAAAAGTCTCAATATCATAAGCAAAAAGCGCCACTGTGTAAAGCCAAATGTATAGATTGACAACAATTTTCCTCCAGTCATGGGATCATCAAAAATTTGTTTACATTCATCTAATTCAAAGAGGCAAAAAGGCATGGGAAGAAGACCAATTATATAAAGAGCCAGAAGGTAAAGCTGAAAAGAAAAAAATAATTTAGTTAATTTAACTCAATTCTTACATGTAAGGCAAAAGTTGGATAAAACAAAAAAATTTTCTGTTTAAAACATCCAAACATTGCAAGAAGACTAACAACAACAATAAAAATGCATAATTTTGTGCCAACATAGTAGGGAAAATAGTAGGCCACTAGAGGCATCACAAAAATGTAGAGAAGACTTGTTTTGATTAAAAGATCCTAAATAAGCAAATGTAAATTGTTATTACCCCCTACCCTACCAATAAATCGACATAAACTTTTAAACGCCTCAACGCCTTATTGTAAGCCTTTTTAGAAGTAATTTGACAAGTCTTACAATTCTTGTTATTACAGCATCTAGAAGTACTTGTGGAACTCGCCGTATTCAAATCACTAAAGGAAGAAGCAGTCTCGAGATCAAACTCTGGCACCCGCATTGAATAAAGAAGAAATTGGACAATCTTAAAAAAAGTATGAAAAAATGAAGGAATAAAAAATTTAAAGGATACCTATGTAGGTAATAGTGTAGGCATAAATGAAATAATATAATTAATCCATCGGCTTTTATAATAGTAATTTTTTATAAACTTTGTTTATGATTAAACACAAATTCCATTTATTTTACTTGTAATCACACGTGTGCGAAGCGAACACGACCGCAGCGAAGCAGTCGTGTAGTATCATTGATATTTACTGCGGATACAGGCGGATATCCGCAGGCATTGTGAAATTAATTGTATCCATACCGTATCCATTACCAAGTCTGGTCTTTCCAGCGACCCAAAATTTAGACCAAGACTTCAATAAAAAGTCTTAAGTCATCTCGGCTGCCATTTAAAACATTCTTTGGAAAGTAAAAAGTAAGAAAAACAAACAAAAAAATATTCTACAATTTTTCTGTTGATTAAAATTACTGTCACTCAGTTGGCACTTCCATGAGGGACCCTCATTTGTCAGTTGGCCGCACTCAGTTGGCCGCACTCAGATGGCCCGCTCTCAGTTGGCTCGGCTCTCAGTTGCCCGCTCTCAGTTGGCAGCACTCAGTTGGCGGCACTCAACTGGCACGTTTCGAACGAAAATTGATAGAAAAAGAGAAGAGAAATATAAAGATAGCAGAGAAAAAGAGATTTAGAAATAGTCATGTTGATGCTAACGTTGTTCTGGCGTTGTGAATTAAAAAAAGCGCGAATAATTGTTGATTTTTCTAAAACAACTTTTCAAGAAAAAAGTTGATTTGCAGTTTTCGTCGACGGTTTTTTGCGCGAAAGGCGCCAAAATTTTGATTTTTTCGTCCAGTAGAAAATGTTTTCGTGTAACCCTACCCATCCCTGATATAGATTAGGGACGGGGTCTGGTAATATGTATTGTCGTTTCCAGTCCCCCCAAGTTTTTTCCTATAATTTGAACAAAATGGCAAGACTTCCTTCTTCAATTACAATTGCCTTACTATATTCTGCCCACAAACAATCAAAAAGGATTATTCAGTTCTTTAGAAGGAAAGCAAGGCAATTGTGATGTAAGGAAGGAAAAGTCTGTCCATTCTGTACAAATTATAGGAAAACGTGAGAGGAAAAAAGGGGGACTGGAAACGACACTATTACCCGGGATTTCTTCGGTTTCCGGCTGCCTTTCGTCTGTTTTCTTCCGCCTTCCATCTCCCATCCCTGATATATTATAAATAAAACTCCTTTTCTTTTAAGTATGACAACAGAGATTTTCGACTTTGATGGGGCAGGGGAGCGCTATAAATTTTTACTTCAACCTGTGAAAGATTTGGCAAGCAATTGGGATGTGGACATAGCCAAAACACTTGAGGACTATATTCAAAAAGTTGTTGAAGATTCAAATGCTGTTTTGGTTGGAAGTGATGGACGCAGAAAAGTGTTTGTTTTTATCTTTAAGTTGGGTTTTACCTGAAAGGCGGGCCTTGAGCATTACTTAATAAGGGTTCAAGTTGGAGACATCTTTTCCTTGTGTCCGTCCCATTCCTCATTGTAGACCCTGAATCCTCCCTGGCCTTTTCCGTGGTGCTCTGATTTCGAAAACCAACCCCTTGCCTTTGTCGATTGATTTGATTCAAAGTCGAATTAAAAGGTGTATAAGGGGGGAAGGAACTTATGGGAAATGAAATCTAGCGTCACATTTACCAGTATTTAATCTCATTGGTTTCAGTTTTAATTTTGCGGAAGCAGCACTTTTAATTCATGGGACAACAAATGTTTATGTGAAGAAAATAGAATATGTTCACCAAATTGCTTTAAATTTCTTTGACGAACTGAAGGAGGACAAACCACAAGGGAAAAATAAGAAGAAAAGTAACTTTCTCTTAAGAATTTTGCCCAACAAATTTTTCAGACGCTAATGATGAACAAGATGGGGAATTGGCTGACGATGATAACCAAGATGTTAGACATGAAAAGCAAAAACCAAAAGTATTCTTTTGTTTTTTAATTGAAGTTTATTTTCTTTTTTAGACCAGCTTCCAGTATATGAGATCACTTTTGGAACGTCTAAGCAATAAACCGGCTCCCCTACTTCCGATTGTTCCAATCGCTTTCATCCCGTTGTCTGATTTTGAAAAGACTGATGTTCCTCTCTACACTCGTACAAATTCTAAGGAACAGATTGGAAAGAAGGATGATTTTAGAATCAATTCTTGTCATATGTTTGAGGTTTTTTCTTTCTTATTTGATGGTATGAAATTGGGCAAAATATTTTCCAAACTTCTCTCTAGTGTATTTTGCCTTTTTACAAGTTTTGGTCGACTGACTAGCCCTAACAATATTTAAAAGGATGGGCATTGATGCCCTTTTGCCGAACAAGAAAGGTTAGGCGAACGAGAAAGGTTCGGCGGTGAGTTTATAGACGGCAAACTCTATAAACTAAATTTTAGGATTGGGTTCAAAACTCCATTTCCTTTTTTGTCCTTACTTTTTTTCTACCAACGTTCCTATGTTGAGTACTTTTTTTACTTTCACTTTTTTAAGTCAGTGGCTTTGTTGGATCTTCAACACATTTCTTTGATTGAAAAGTTTTCTGAGACTCCACAGCACCAAAATCAGCCTCAAAAGCAAGCTAACAATAACAACGCTCAACAAAGAAATGATCCTGGAGGGTTTGTTCAAGTCTTGGAGCCTTTATTGGAGAGAAGTACGGAAGAGGAATATGAAGGTTTTTTCTTTAAAGTAAAACTAATTAAAAATCATTTTTAGACATAGATCATCACGACATCGAAATTCCAGAAGTAAACGGGTTTGCCGATGAAAATGAAGTTATTACTGGGCATACTGAACTTCTCGAGGCTGAGGAACAACGGACAGCCAGAACTCGCTTGGATAATTACCATTCTAGTTAGTTTTTTGTAGGTTAATTTTTACCCCAAAAATCAACTTTTTAGATCTTTTTCAACCTCAAAATTCGGAAATTATAAATTCATCCGTCGAACTTAGGTCTTCGTGTAATTCTGAATTGAGAAATTCCGTGAGGGTCGATGCTATTTACAATAATGTTTGGTTTTTAATTTTATAAAAAATAAAAAAATTTCAATTTAAAGGAATTGTTGGATCCATTAGAAATTAACAACGAAAAAAGCAAACCGTTCAAAAAGAAAGCAAATTGCTTTACTGATCCTGCTAAACAAATAGCTGCTAGGGATAGAAGAATTGAGGTTGTTTTTTTCAGAAATAATTTTTGAATTGAATTTTCAATTTAAGAGAGAATGTCAACAAAAAGGTGTGGCCAATGAAAGGTCTGTAAAAGGATATATAAATACACAAATGTTTCGTCATCGTCTAAAGAAGAGAAATGTTGCTTTTGGACAATTTAATTGTTTTCTTATGGATCAGGTTATTTTTTAGATTTTTTATACTTGAGCAGAAGATGGTACTTTATGGATATGTCACCCCCCTCCTATTTTGAGTCTCAGAGTTTTCCTTAAACGTAGAAAATGGTCAGAGATTATTTTCTTCTCCATGTCAATCATTTTTTCTTCTTCAAGTATTTTGCTTGTTTATTTTGCCTTTTCACATATTTTGTACTTACATTTCACTCATTTTGTTTCTACATTTACTACATTTCACGTATTTTGCTTCAAGAAAGAAAAATGATTGACATGGAGAAGAAAATAATCTCTGCCCATTTTCTACGTTTAAGGAAAACTCTGAGACTCAAAATAGAAGGGGGGTGACATATCCATAAAGTACCCAGAAGATTTCAGAGCGAACTCAAACTAGAATTTTTCCTTAAAATACATGATTATCGGAAGCAGTGGCTAAAGTCTATTTTTTGGGAGAGGAGGCCATTTTTGGCTATGCGATAGAATACTTTTAGATTTCTTACATTAGCATTTTCGCCATACTTTTCTTCACCTCGGGCTTTTCCAGAGGATAGAGCTTTAGATTCTCTAGACTAGAAATAATATAATAAGAGGTTCTAGATTAGCAAAGATGGAAACCCTGTAGTCTAATTATTTTAAAAATAATTTCAGGCAGTATTTTCATTGAACCCTTTGATTTACGACGAAGAAAAGAGACGAGCTGAGTTTCAAAAGAAATTGGCGAAGGAACGTCAGGTTAAAAAAGAATTTTTATTTTTGTTTTCTCATCAGTTTCTTGGTTTAATTTTAGGCTGTACAGCGTGAAGAACGTATTCTTGCCCGTCGCGCTTCTGAACGAACTGTAATGGACCCAGTTTTTGATCACCCCGACGATGATGAACTTCATGATAATGATGCGACTTTGAACGAGAATAATGCGAATGATAATCAACAGAATGGAGTGATTGGTGATTATGATGAGTGTGAGGATGTATTGGAAGAAATTATTGCCGAGGAATTGTGTAAGGAATTTAACTTTGATTTTAATTTTGCCTGGAAAGGTTTAGAATTTTTGGGATAGAAAGATTTTTTAATTTGTTTGATTTTCATTGGGCTTTGGAACGTTTTAAAATATTTACCTTCAAAAAATTTTATTTTAAACTTTAAGCAGCCCAAGTCATTGACGATGAACCTATTGGAGACATTCCTGACGCCCAAGCAAATCTTTGTGATGTTTTGGATGTTGATGATTTGGAGAATTCTCTTGGTGGTATAAGAAATATGTACACTGGTTTTGACGTTTGTTTTTTAAAAATTTTATTGGAAATTAATCAAAAATAATTTTTTCTAGCATTTGGTTAGCAGTAAACCTCGAAATAAAAAAGCTTTGGCTGATAAGGTTTATTTTTTAGACAAATAATTTTTGAATTTCTTCCTTTAGTTAGCTCAAAATATGCGAAATGCTTATGATGATACAATAATTGAGGCCGATTTCAATCCTGATGATTTACCACAACGTCCGCCTTCCCAAATGGATTATGATGAAATTATTGCTTTTCATTTGCGAAAGTTTGATATTTTCTTTTTGTTTTTTCACGGATTTTTCTAAGGTATTGGGCTGCTTCAGAAGCCGCAACTTCAAAATTCAGTGAGCGTATGCAATTGTGGGAAGCAAGAATGACCTTAGCTTTGGATGAAGAAAGTCAACATCGTGAATTTGATACTCGACAATATGGGGATGAACTTCTTGATAAATTCGATGGACAGATTGGAACTGAAGTTGATTTTACTCAAGTTTGTTTTAAATTATATTTTTCAAAATTCCATTATTGCCTCAAATATTTCTGCTGTGTTTCATTCCGAATGTTTGAATCCATTTGGTTTTTAAAAAAAATTATTTGAAAATTATTTGCCTTTTATTTACTTTCTGGGTGGAGATGAGAAATGGGTTTAGCTTTGGACGAATAAAGTCAGCTAGTGGTGGGAACTTGTGGTTTTAATTTTCAGGGATAGATCTCACAATCAGTTTCTCAAATAACAAGGTGGACTTGTTTTTACTTTTCTGATTTTCAGATGCTTCAATCAATTCCAAATGAATATGATCGTTCTCGTTATCTACTTGTTACACTTATTTTAGCAAATATGGGAAATTTGGAAATTAATGTGGTGGATGATGATAATATACAAAATGGACAGAAGAATGGTGGAGGAGAACATTTGTTAGAACGAGAAACTTCACAAGTACCAAATGTCACTGATCATATTCAATTAAAATTGCTTAAATTTGAACGACATCATCAGGTTATTTTTTATTTTGGAATTTTTTTTTAAATTTTCTTTTGAATTTTTTTAGATATTCGAGGAAGAACAACGTTTGTTGGCTGGAATATCCGATTAAATCTTTGCCAAACAATATTTTTGATACTTTTGTTTTAATGCCTCACCTTTAGCCATTGTATTTAATTTTGATCTCCCTGACAATTTTAACAAGCAAACATGGAAAAGATTAAAATAAATCTCATTTTTAAAAAATATTTTTTTAAACCTTCGCTTAAATTTATTTGAATAAAAGACTGCCTTTGATTAGAATAACATTTTTTAAATTATGTCAAATTTTACATAATTTATTTTTAAATTTTGATTTAATTTGTAATATTTTTGTTTAGACAGTTTAGACAATTTGAATAAAGCAGCTTTGATTTGAAAATTGCACTGACTGGTAAACAAGTGATGGATGGAACGAAAAATGTGAGTTTTCCAAAGTACTTTTATAAAATGTTGAAACTTGCTGTGATTTACACTGCACCGAGGTTTATGGAAAATTATTTGTAGTGTGTCGTAATGGATAAGGTTATATAATTTTATTTTTACGATTCATTTGAGATTTCGGCATAACTTTCTCGAAATTTCAATTCTCATAAAAAGTTCTTACGCAAATTGTATCATAAACTTTGGTGCCGTGTAAGCCCTAAAATTTTTTCTTAAATTCCCATGAGTACTTTAATAGCCTACAGACCAGTGCTGGGTATTTGCCATTTGTTGGCTCCGGGCTCCGGGGTTTCAAAATCTTGGCTCCGAGCTCCGGGGTTTCAAAATCTTGGCTCCAGCTCCGGCTCCGGAGCCGGCGATTTTCGGAGCCGCTCCATGTTGGCTCCGGGCTCCGGGTGGAAAATCAATGAATTATTTTTCATTGGAGGATCTAGGTATATAAAGGGGGATGTCGAGTGATATAAGAGGATTAAGAGGGTTATCAACGGATTAAGCGGGATTTGGGTGGATTATCTTGTCAATTAAGGGCGATATCGGGGAATTAAGCTGGATTAAGGGGGATTTGATTTTTCATTCTCATTATCACTCGCTTTTTTTGCGCCGCAGGCGAAAATTTTGAAAAATTTGGAAGATCCTTAAGCCAAAAATCATCCTTTTTTGCGCCGCAGGCGAAAATTTTGAAAAATTTGGAAGATCCTTAAGCCAAAAATCATCCTTTTTTGCGCCGCAGGCGAAAATTTTGAAAAATTTGACTCACAGGAGACTAAAATTAATCAATTTAAAAAATTTATCCAGCTTTATTTATTTAAAAAAGGCCTATCATAATTTTTTTTTAAAGGAAAAAAATTATTTATCATTTTTTGTAATATTTTTCGAACCTATAACTGGATAAAACTCGTAGCCTATCTCACTATCCATTCAACCACAACTACATACAAAGGAAAGGAAAGAAAATCTTTTTTTCCCGTCTCAATTTTCTCTTCCTTTTCTTTTCTCGCCTACCATCTTTGCTTACTTCTTTTTCTCTAACCCATCTTTAGGGGTGTATAGCCGGAGCCGTGGGGAATTGAAAAACCTTGGCTCCGGCTCCGGGGTTTGAAATTCTTGGCTCCAGCTCCGGCTCCGGGGTTTTCAAAATCTTAGCTCCGGCTCCGCCGGAGCCGGCTCCGGAGCCGGGCTCCGGAGCTAGCTCCCGGAGCCATACCCAGCACTGCTACAGACCCTAATCGAGTCGTCTCTCTCCTACAGTCTTTGTTTATTGCTAGGTGTATCAATATTAAGAAATAATTTTTATTCCAATTGATAAATATATAAATAGATTAGGTCTACATACAATGACGCGATTTCTTTTTGAATTAAATTTTTTTACCAGCTAACTCAAAAAATTTCTTCGTTTATATTTACTGCCATTCATCATCTCCAAGAATTTTTCTTTGATGTTTCATAAATTGTTTGAAATCAACCTTTTTGAAGGTTGCTTCCTGTCCCTCATATTCAGTAGTGGTAGAGTTGCTGCGTAAACGGCCGGGCATTGATGATCCAAAAAATTGTTCAGTAAAGCTTTGACGGCGTTGTTCCTTTTTTCTTTAATAAAATTTTTTTCGAAGGAGAAATGGGTTTTGAATTTATAATTTTTGTTAGAGATTAGGGGGTTGCTTCCTGCCCCTCATATTAGAATAGGTCTGGGGGCGATCAACGGATATGGAAATCTGGACTCGGTTCGGATCAGAAACTTTTCTATGCTCCACACACCTCTAATCTGGTAATAAAAAGGATATAAAAAATTTAAGAAAACATGCCCTATATCATAGGCATCAAAAGACTTGTCATACGCATCAAACGATTCTGCTGAATCTTCCGAAGTGGTACGCATTCGATCTTTAACGAGATAAATTTTTAATTTTAAAAATCATTCATTAAATACTTCCAATCAAAAAAGGTCTCCAAGTATTCATACTCTCTTTTTGTACTTCTTTCAAGTCTTGAGGAGCACTTGGTGGAGGCTTAACGTCCATTCTTTTCTCGTTGTTTAAATTTTAATATTTTTTTAAAAAGATAAAATCTAAATTTTAAACAAATACTTTATGTTTAAATAGTGGACGGAGAAAAAAAGCCACGTTAAGATAAAAAAATTTTTTTATTTATGCCCACCCAACAAACATTCACTCACACTCCTTCACCCTTGTGACTTTTATTTATGAGTAGGGAAGGGGATTTTCTATTTTTAAACAGTCGTCTTTTTGTTGTAAACAACTTTGTTTACACCAAAATAGAATTTAGAAAAAGAGAAAAAATTTTTTCAAAAATTGGGGGTGACCGCTATTTGTTATTTTTTAACTGGGGAACATTTTTTATTTTATCAAGTAAAAATTAATTTTAAAAATTTTCAGATTAAAAATTTGTTTTTGGAATGCTTCAACGAAGAAGAACCTCAGATAAATGTTATTGGTGGTGGGAAAATGGCCAAGGCTTTGGTTGCTGGTTTTGTTAACTCAGGTTGGGGATAAGAGAATTTTTTTCTAATTCTTCAAACAATTTTTTTTAATTTTCAAAAAATTTCTTAAGGAATTTTAAGAAATTTTTTAAACAATTTTCAGGTTTCATTAACAAATCAAACATTTTTATTTGCACACGTTCTGAAGCTACAGCAAAATCATGGCGTTCTCAAGGCTTTACCTCTGCCTATCCAAAAGACATTTTCTACTCTGAAGTCAAAAAGCCTCGGGCTATTATTCTGATTGCAATAAAGCCACAAATGTTTCCATCATTTATTAATGAAGTGAAGGCTAATGAATGGTTTTATTTTGGGCTGCCAGGAATTCTTTGTATTTCTATCATGAGTGGAATTTCTCTTCAACATTTTGACAAGGAGTTGAAGTTTGTTGTGAAAATTTTTCTTTAATTTATAAGGACAGGCGAACCTCATTTTCAGATTTCTCCTATAGGGCTGTAAAAACCTATGAATTAGGGTTTCCTTAAATGGGTGTATAGCTTAGGCAGCAATCTCTGCTCAATACCAACGTAAACGACAAAATTCTGAAATTTTCCCGTCGAAATCCGGCCTCTGGTTACGTCTTTATTTTTAGAGTACTTTCAAATTAGGTTTCGGCTGCATTTTCCTTTAAAAAATTTAAATTTTCAATTTTAAGGTCTGTCGGTTTTGATGGTCACAGTATGCGTTTAATGCCCAATGTTAATTGTGCTGTCTCCAGTGGGACTTTAGTTTTATCGGCTGACTCTGAAACGCCTCAAGAATTGGTAGAATTAGTTTCTGTTCTCAGCTCTTATGTCGGCAAATGTATTCGTGTTGATGAAGCACATTTTAATGCAGCTTCGAGTATTTCGGGTTGTGGGCCTGCTTTTGTAAGTTTATTTTTATGGGCAATGGATCATATGTTGAGAAAGTAGTCGATTGGGCTTCGGGTTTCAAAAAGTTCGAGTACGGTCAGTAGATCCATTCATAATTCCTACATATGTGGCTTTACGAAATGTTCACTTTGTCTTATGGGACCGTTCTCTCTCTATTATTCTTTTTTCATTTTTTGGATTTTTTTGCCTTACGTACGTTACTCCCCACTCCATAACTTTGACTAAATTTCAATTTTTTCTTGATTAATCAAAAATAATTTTAATAGATTGCATTGGTCATTGAAGCTTTAGCTGATGGCGGTGTTGTTGCTGGATTAAGTCGTGAATTGGCAAATCAGCTTGCTGCTGATATGGTTAAGGTTTGGAATTTTTAATAATTTTAATTCTAACAATAAGAGAGATATTGGTACTTATCCGTTGTACACCGACGAATTAGTGCAAGCCGACATTGATCTGATACATACTTTTTAATCCAATACGAATGAATTTTGTATTATTCGAAAGCTTTCGAAAAGCATCTTTTTTCCAACTTGATGAATCAGTTCTGATCACTGATTAAAAAGTTGAACCCAATAATGTGAAAACGTCAATGACTTATAACTTTTTAAACAGTGATCAGATATGATTTATCAAGTTGGAAAAAAGATGTTGCTTCTCGAAAGCTTCGAATCATATAAAATTAATTCGAATTGGGTTAAGCAATAAATATTTATGATTATTCAATCAAAGTCTCACTTTGTTGGTGTAAATGGATAAGTACTGAAATATTTTAGGGAACAGCTCAACTTTTTATGACAAAAATTTCATCTTTGTCTCCTACTTTGGACACTCCATCACCTGCTCAATTAAAAGACCAAGTTTGCTCTCCAGCTGGAACGACTATAGAAGGAGTTAGGGAACTTGAAAAACATGGTATTTTAATTTGAAATTTTTAGTTTTAACAAATCTTTAAGGTGTTCGTTCGGCATTTATTGAAGCTGTTCAATCATCTACTCGCCGTGCCTTTGAGCTGTCGCAATAAATATGTTTGGTTATTTTTAAAGAATAAATAGAGGATTTTAAAAAGATGTATTTAAGACTTAAAGAAGAATTTTATTTAAAATATTGGTAAGGGTTTACCTCTCGAACTCTTCTATATCACAATAAAGTGCTCAAAACGGTCAGAAAGGTATTTTTTGATGATTGAAAAATTAATTTTCCCACATAGATTCGAACCAACGAACTTTTCAAGTTTTACATATAAATTATAGCTCTTTCGAAAGAGCTCGTCGGCCTGAGTCAAATGGCACCAAAATCATCTTGATTAAATCAGTTTGGGCAAAATTACGACCAATATAAACCGATCAAACCTATGGGCGTGGGACGCTTGTACATCTCACGGGAGTCAGATGCTTCGCCTTCTCAACCCAAAACAACAACCAAAGATGCCATAAAACCGTCAACTTCAAAGCCACCAGCAACACAACAAAATAACAACAAAAACAAGGATAACAACGACAACAAAAATATCCGAACCAAAAAGGACGAGAAGAAGAGACAAAAGAAGGTTTGTTTATGAGTACTAAGAGAAAAATAGGCATAAAATAAAAGGACGAAAAAAAGTACGAGCAAATTCAAAATTCCAAACTTAAAAAATACATTTATAAAAAAAACCTAAATTTTGATCAATTTTTGAACATTCCTTTCTTCCAAAAAAAAATAAGGAGGAAAACAAAAATGTTAGAAACAAAAAGGTTGAAGAGAAGAAGAAATAATAAATTTCCAGTAAATTTGAGTTTTTTTTATATTTTCTTGAAGTTTTTAGGATAAAATGTCAATCAGTATATGACTTTTCTTTATAGTGTTTGTGAACTAATTTTATATTTATTCAAAACTACAAGAAAATATAAAAAAAACCTAAATTACTGGAAAATTAATTTTTCTTCTTCTCCTCGACCTTTTTGCCTCTAACATCTTTGTTGTTGTCCTTATTTTTTTGTTGTGGTGGCCTTGGAGTTGGTTGATAAGGCGCAGGAGTAGACGGTTGAGAAGGCGAAGCATCTGAATATTTTTATTAAGATTTAAAGTGTTTTTGGTTCGGACCTTCTTGAGGTAAAACCCAATCAAATGGTTTTAAATTCTTTATTTTCGCCTTCTCAATCAACTATTCAGATGCTTCGCCTTCTCAACCGTCTACTCCTGCGCCTTATCAACCAACTCCAAGGCCACCACAACAAAAAAATAAGGACAACAACAAAGATGTTAGAGGCAAAAAGGTCGAGGAGAAGAAGAAAAATTAATTTCCCAGTAATTTAGGTTTTTTTATATTTTCTTGTAGTTTTGAATAAATATAAAATTAGTTCACAAACACTATAAAGAAAAGTCATATACTGATTGACATTTTATCCTAAAAACTTCAAGAAAATATAAAAAAAAACTCAAATTTACTGGAAATTTATTTTTTCTTCTTCTCTTCAACCTTTTTTTTTCTAACATTTTTGTTTTCCTCCTTATTTTTTTTTGGAAGAAAGGAATGTTCAAAAATTGATCAAAATTTAGGTTTTTTTTATAAATGTATTTTTTAAGTTTGGAATTTTGAATTTGCTCGTACTTTTTTTCGTCCTTTTATTTTATGCCTATTTTTCTCTTAGTACTCATAAACAAACCTTCTTTTGTCTCTTCTTCTCGTCCTTTTTGGTTCGGATATTTTTGTTGTCGTTGTTATCCTTGTTTTTGTTGTTATTTTGTTGTGTTGCTGGTGGCTTTGAAGTTGACGGTTTTATGGCATCTTTGGTTGTTGTTTTGGGTTGAGAAGGCGAAGCATCTGACTCCCGTGAGATGTACAAGCGTCCCACGCCCATAGGTTTGATCGGTTTATATTGGTCGTAATTTTGCCCAAACTGATTTAATCAAGCTGATTTTGGTGCCATTTGACTCAGGCCGACGAGCTCTTTCGAAAGAGCTATAATTTATATGTAAAACTTAAAAATTTTTAAATTTAAAACCCATGTTGTTTGAAGAGTTCGTGAGGTAAATCCTAGTTAAAAAATTTTCATTTTAATTTATTCGGTCAAAAAGATGCAATAAAGATTAAATTTTAATTTAAAATTTTTTGTAAATTTATTAAATTAATTGTTTTTACTAACAATCTAAATATTTTAACACAAAATACATCAATTACCTTTTTGTATGTTTTCTGTCGGGCTTGGGCTTTTCAGTTCCAAGCATTTTTTTTAATTTTTGCGGTTATAGGATGTAGGGCATCTAACTGGATCAGCCGAACCGAGACCAAAATTTAAAAGAATGTAACCTGTAACCGGATGACCGGTTATTTACCGGATTTGAGCAACACTATTAGAAGTATAGCGTGACAAAATCGCCACAACTCTTGTATCCTGTAATGAAATTTTTTAGAAAATGTTGTTCGGGAGAGGATCCCACGGTGTATATACCTTATATCCCGTAATCTCATTTATCGCTTAAGACTTGGGGATTCCAGAAAAGGATCTCGTAAAATTCCGTCAGGATTCCATCCAGTATAAATTAGAAGTACGTTGACTTTTAACAAAGTCACTTTGTTAACTTAAAGTTTTGCTTTGTTTCTACTTTCCTCTAAATTTTAGAAATTTTTTTTAGAATTTTAAATGGATTATCAAAAAGAAAGTAATACAGAAAGTGTATTAGCAAGTGGAGAAGAAACTTCTAGCAAAGAACAAATAAATAGAACAACAAAAAGAAATGTGACTAAAAAACGAAGACGGCCGAGAACAAAAGCTTTGAGGTGTCAATTTAAGGATTTGGTTTGTAAAATAATTTTTCTTTAATTTTGGAGGGGTTGGAATATTTAAGGTTTTAAGGGAAATTTTAAGTTAGAAGCATTTTTGGACAGGCATTTGCGGGTAAACTTTTATTGAATTAAAGAAATTTTCAATAATTACTTTTCTCCACACAGGGGGTTATTTTTCACTTTGTCCGTGCGAAACGGATCATGTCGGTTCTTTTCAGTAAATAAAGTTGAAAAGCCCACGGAGATGAAAATTAGAGTTTATAATTAAGTTTATTTTAAATTGGGGGTATTTTAATGTAATTTGCTGTTAATCCCCCCTCTTCCTTCACCCCTGAACCAACCAAATTTTAACCTTATTGTTAAATTGAGGTGAATTTAGAAGGGAGGGTTGCCTGTAATAAGGAAAGAATTAATAGGTGTACGCTCTACCAAAATTTTTTTAAATAAAATTTTAACTTTTTTTTCAGCTTGAAAAAACACTTTTGGGGAAAGAACAGCGTTTGCCTGATGATTTATTTTCTACTTTAAATGATGGAATTTTGGGTTTTTTTATTTTTTTAAATTTAATTCCCTAATTCTTTAGCCGCCCCAATTTCTTCGATTTTCAGTCAACTTCAATTAATTTACCCTAAACAGGCAATTTCTAAATTCGAACAATTATCTCCGTTAGCTTTAAAAAGTGTTTCGAAAATAACTAGAATATTTCGAATTGTTGATAAATTACCAACAAAAAGTGAACAAAAAGGAGAGGAAGAATCTTTAAATGAACTTTGGTTATTAATTAATCCAAAACAGCGTTATCAACACGAAGAAAGGACTGTTTATGTTGTTGGTATTTTTTTAATAGAAAATTAATTTTTTACAACTTTTTTGAGGGAATTTTTGGGAAAATGGCTAGATCAATTAAAATTTTTTTTGATATCCGAGCTTTTATTTATCGTGAGGCTGGTTAGGTTCGGGACTGTCCGCAACTTCAGATTGCAAATTTCATATTTTTAAAACTGAATTGTGAATAAACTTTTTTCAAATGCGGACAGCCCTAATTATGGACCCAAATTTTTTTACTATTTTCTTTCAAACTATTAAAAATCAATCTTGGTTAATAAATTAATAAATGACTCAAATAGAGAACTAAAAAAATTCAATAAAGTTTATTTTTGAGGTTTTATTAATTTAAAAATCTACCAATTTTATTTTTTCCTTCTAAAAATTAATCTTTAAAAAATTAATTCCTTTTGGGGACTATTTTCAGAAAAATTAAAATATTATTTTCTAAAATAAATTTTTCAGGACAATTTACCTTTAAATTGTACTCATTCTTTACTTGAACGTCGATGTAAACAATTTGGTTCTGTTGTGAATATTCTTTTACCCCAAACTAAACGTATTCAAAGACGAATCTTTCAATCTTCAAATGTCAATTCTATTCAACATTCTGGCTTTGCTTTTGTTCATTTTGCTTCTAGAACTGCTGCCAAAAGATTTTGCAAGGTTTTCCTTTTTTAATGAAGCGAAGTTCCATTTTGGGTTTTTAAAGTTTTTTTTGGCAATCTAGAAAAAAATTTTGGATACAAATTTTATTTTTGGAATTATTCGTCCACAGAAAAAATTGTTTTTAGATTCTGTGAAATGTAATAAATAACAGGGAAGGGCCGGGTTGAGTAAAAAGTCGCGTGTCGTGTCGGGAAAAGTCCTGGTCTTGAGTCGAGTCAGTTAGGTGATTAAGAGGGTAAAAAGTTGGGTTGGGTTTTGGAAGATTTTTCTGATCGGGTTTCGTGTCGAAAAGAGTCCGGTCCAGGTTTTAAGTAACCTGGCCCATCTCTGCTACATAATCTCTTGTTAGTACAGAATTTAAAATCGAAACAAAATTTATATCTAATTGAAACGGCCCCAGACTGAATAAATTAAATATTAAAAAAATATTTTTTTCAATTTTCAGCGTTATCAATTAAATAGTCGTTTAAAACGAACTCATCATTCTCATGGACATAGACACAAAAAAGCAAAACTTTTTTTAAATAAACAAAATTTGGAAATTGGAGATGAATTGATGAAAGATTGTTCAGATGAAAAAATTGGAGAAATTAAAAAAGAAGAGGTTTAACAATTATTTTTAAAATTAATTTTATTCTTGTTTTTTAATTAAATGAATTGGGGGAGAGGGGATTTTTAGGTTCGGATTTAATTGAATAATTATTTTTTTGGTTTGTCCAATTTTAAATAAAAATGAAGTAAAAGTCGGTTGAACTTTCTTTAAAAAATAAAAGGATTGAATGGGGGATTAGTTTTTTTGAGAGCTCTCATAATCATCTCCGACCGGCCTGAAATAATTAAAAACTTTTGGCTATCTGGCTCTCTTCTTATATCTAACCATACGAAATCTACTCAATCCTCGTTTGCTCTGACTAAAAAATATTTTTATAATTTTTTGTGTTTTTTTGAGTTGGACTTGGTTGAATCTAAATTAAAAAGAAAATTTCTCAATCAGAGAAAACGAGGATTGAGTAGATTTTGTTTAATCCGATGTAAAAAGAGCCAATTGACCAAATGAAAATTCTCGTTTACTCTAATTAAAAAATTTTTTTTCTTTTAAATTTAGATTCAACCAATTTCAACTCAACCAGACGAAAGGGCAACAAATCCAACTTCTTTTATTGTCCCACAAGTTCCTTCTCTAACAGAAATTTCACGGACCCGAATGAGAAGTCAATCTGTGGCAGAGGTTTCTTTTTAAATTTGTTAAAGAAAAAAATTTTTTTATTCAAAGTCAATAATGTCTGTAGACGAAAGTGGAAAAGAAACAGATTTGGAAGAAAAACAAAACGAAAATATTTTGCAAAAAGGAATTAAAAAACATCGTCGACGTCGTAAACCTAGAAAGACAACAACAACAAATAAGACGAGTAATCATATTTTTAGTTTAACTAGTCTTTTTAGACATATTCAGGTTTTTCCCTAGTAAGTTTGTTTTTAAATTTATGGAATTTTGAGGGTTTTTAATTTTTAAAATTTTTCAGTTTTTCTTCAATTTCTCGGTTTTTCGGCTCTAGTTTAGGACATGTGTCTCATGAGTTTTTAAGCGTCCCATGGACGGGACGCTTATTCAATTTTTTGGACGATCGGACTCATACTAATTTTAGGACGCATAAATGCTCATGAGACGCATGTCTTTAATTAGAGCCCTTTCTTTATCTTTTAAATTTTTTATATCTATGAATATTAACTTTAGTTTTCGGAAAATTTTTTTGTTTGAATTTTGAGAAAAGGGAGTTTTGTAAAAATTTAGAATTAGGAAGATTTTGGGGAAAGTTTTGAAAAATAACGGACATTTTGTCCTCCAACTTGTATAAAAAGAATAGATCTAGCTAAATTTTTTTTGTCTCTTAGGTTTCGGAATCTTAAAAATCTTTAAAGGTTTCAGGAAGTTTTCATTAAATATTTTGCAAGTTGTGGGACGAAATGTCTTTATCTTCTAGGAAAAATTTAATTTTTGGAATTTTTTTAAAATTCATTTTTTTGTAAATCTATATATTCACCCACCAATGGTTAGAATAATATAAGGAAAAAAACTTTGAAGAACCTCACTGTCTCTTGTCCCAAAAAATTTTTAAAATTCAAAAAATTTTTTATTTTTTCAATTTTTAGTAAGCAATATAAAGAATTAAGAACAAATTATTTAAAATTAAAAAAAGAAAAAATGGCTGCAATAAAAATAAAAATTAAAGAAAATAGACAAAAGGAAACAATTTTAAAAGAAAATACTGACAAAAATGAAGAAAATATTAAAATAAATAATAATGTTAAGAAGAGAATTAAAAAGACAAAAAAGAGGAAGAGAGGAATTAGAAGGGTAATTTAATTTTTGAATTAAAAAATTTTTTTAAATTAAATTTATTTTTGGGCTAAAATTTAAAAAAAAATTTTCAAAAAATTTCAAAAAAAAATTTTTTTCTTTAAAGAAGAAAATATATTTTTAAATTATTTTTAAAGCTAATGGATGCTGCTGAACTTGTAAAATTTGAAACAATTAAATAATTGACGACCATTTTATTTTTAAAAAATTATTTTTTTATTTAAATAAATTTTCTAAAATTTTATCTTTTTTTTAATTTTAAAATGTTTTTAACATTTAATTATTTCAATTAAAAAATTTTTTTATTAATTTTTAAGAATTTTTTTTAAAAAATGTCAAATCCAGCAAGTAAATTATGGCAAACAGTTGTTTGTAAAAATGGAGTTGTTGCTGCATGGCACCCTTCTATTCCTTTTCCTTATGGGTAGGTAAATTAAAGAGAGAATTTAATTAAATTTATTAAAATGTTCTGCTAAAATGACTGATTTCTTAAAGATCCCCACAAATAAAACCAGTATTTGGACTAGTAAAATTTGTAATCTAAAATCGACTTAACTGAAGGGTGTAAATAACCGGTTGTGTCTCTGTTTATATTTACCTCTATTTTTCTATCCGGAATAAACAAGTGGATTAAATTCTGGAAAACTTTATTTCGGGAATAGATACTTCAAAAATGTTTAAATAAATATATTTCCGCAAATGTTTAGAATTATTTCCGGAAAAGTTGTAGAAAAATTAATTCTGAAAATAACAGAATTTCTTTTACTATTTTTAATTAGGTAAAATAGAGGGAATTAAAAAATTTTATTAAAAAATTTATTTTTATTTTTATAGGCATTCTAGACCTGTTGATTTGACTCAAATAGAAGAACAAAAAAAGGTTCTAAAAATTGAAAAAAAATTAATTAAAAAAATTTTTCAGAAATTTTTACAAAATATCCAAAAATACAAAGACTCCACAGAACCAATAAAAGAAAAAGGGCCTAGCGATTTGGAACTTAGGGAAATATTTTATACAAATATGCAGGAGTGGAAACCGAGGTAAAGTGAAAGAAAGAAAAAATTTTGAATTAAAAATAAATTTTTTTAGATATCGAGAAACTCGTCTTTACAAAGCTGCGGGACCTAGAGAATTAAAATCGTAAAATTAAAAAAATTTTTAAATTAAAAAAAAATTATTTTTAAGAGTTCCATCGTCTAAAATGGGTTTATTGTCGTCTCCAATATTTAATAAAATTGGAAATTCAAAAAATGAGGAAATTAAAGAAATTGAATTTAAAGAGAATAATAAATTTATTGAATGAATTTTTTTGGAGAAATAAATTTATTGTTTTATTTTAATTTTTTTAAAATTAAATTTTATTTAAATTTAAATAAAAATACTTTTTTATTTATTTATTTAAAAAATTAATTTTTCTAGTTAAATGATTAAAGCTTTGTTCTTTGGGGAAGTGCCTTATTTAACAGGTGAGAAGTATAGAATTTATTTTCTGGGTTATTCAGAAGGGGTTGTAAGGGTAATAAAAAAGAAATAACTAAGAAAATATATAAGAATTAATTTTGGAGTTATTTCCGGAAAATTTAATGAATAGGGTAGAGGATTGTATGTATTTTCCGGGAATGTATTTCAGAATTAATATACCTATCTGAAAATATACTATCAGAATTATTTCCGGAAAATATATGTATTTTTTATAGAGTACCGTATTTCCTGAAATAGTACTCCCCCCTAAATTAGCACTCCCCCCTTAAATAGTACTCCCCTTTGGAGGAGGGTTGAAAAATAGTACTCCCCCCTGAATTAGTACTCCCCCTAAAATAGTACTCCCCCCAAAAATATTTTTCCCCTATATTTGAAAAAATAATAAGAGACGTTGAATTATTTTATTTATTCTAAGTAGCGTTGTCGGTTTCACTTGATTCTTTGATAAACAAAACCTGAGAGCTTTCGTTTAACCGAAAACGAACCTAAATTTTAACCTAAAATTCTTCGAGGATTAAAGAGATATAATCCGATTAATTGGTGGGGTAAAAGTGGATTTTGGGTATATAAATGGATTTATATCGGATGATGAAATGTGTTCTGTATTAATCAAGTGGGATTTAAAAGAGATCATTGGATTAAGGTTTGATATAGGAATTTGAGGGAATAATGAAGGGGAGTCATATTAGGCGATTTTGGTTGATTAAGAGTGATCAAACGATAAGTTGAATCATAAATCCTTCTTAATCAACCGATATCGGAAGTACAGAAGGATGTGGAGGATATCGGTGATTAATGCTGATAAATCACTAGACAAAGATTAGGTAATCCATAGACACATGAGATTAGTTGACCCCTGATAAATCTTAGACACAAAGATATATCCACTTTCCCAAAAATTAAATGATAATTATTTTATTACCATCAAACGCCACGATAGCAACGATACCAACTTTATCCCACTGATAATTTTTTCGACATCTATCTATAGATGTCGCTTAAAATCCCTTATATCCCTCGATATCACTCCAAATCCACTTATATCCTTCTTGATTTCCCTTAATAACCCGTATTTTAAGTCATTTGTGTCTAATTGTCTCGCAATTTGCTCAATTTTATACTAATTCGGATATTTTTTAGAATTTTATTAATTTTTTAGAATTTTTCAAATAGCGAACTCTAATCGAATTTATTTAGAGATAAATTGAAATAAATTAAAATATTTTTGTTAATTTTGAAATAAATTTTCCTATGAAAAATCATGGAGGATGGTTGAAAAATAGTACTCCCCCCTGAATTAGCACTCCCCCCTTAAATAGTACTCCCCTTTGGAGGAGGGTTGAAAAATAGTACTCCCGGGAGCACTATTTTAGGAAATACGGTATTTATCAGAACACAATACAAATTTTTAATATTATTTAATTGTTCATAATCCTTGGCCAGAAATGTATTTTATAATAAAAAGAATATTATTTTCAGAAAGTATTTTTTTTGTGTTTTCTTTTCAGAAATATTAGTAATTCTATAAATTCTGATTTTTATAGGGTATTTAATTTCAGAATTGGGAAAATACAAAAATCAGAATAATTAAAAATACAAAAAATGTTTCTACTAAAATCAGAATTTTGTCCTAATTTTTTCTCTTGTTTCTCTTCATTTACCCTACTATTTTCTTTTTCTCTAGCTTAAATAAAAATCAGAATTCTAATTATCAGAATTTAAAACTCTTTCTGTTTTCTCTTATTTTACCCTACTATTTTCTTTTTCTCTAACCCAAACAAAAATATTACATAAATTTGTCATTTCTTAACCTTTTTCAAAAAACTTTTTTTTTTGAAAAACCTCTTTTTATCTTCACACAATCGTCATTATATATTTATGCAAAAAATTCTCGTCATTTTTACAGACTTAACTTTTCTTTTGTTCTTTAACTTCCAACCTTTTTCCAAAAAAATTTTTTTCAGAAAATTCCTCCCAAAATACTTTATTTTTTCTTTTTTTAAATGTTTCTCCCATTAAAAGTTCCCCCTCCAAAAATTCCAAAAATGGAAAACACCAAAAAATCCCTTTTTTTAAATATGGCCCTTTTTTTTATTTTAAATTATTTTTTGGCATTTTTTTGTGCTCTAACATTTCCTCGTTTTTATAGTTTTTAATCTCTCAAGGGGCCTATCCCCCCCCTCCCCCCAAAATTTTTTTTCTTCATTTCCTTTTGATTGCTTGTTGTACATATTTAAATTTTTCATATGTTGCTTCAACTCTTTTTTCTACCTAAAAAAATCTTTGTGTGAAAATTTTTTTTAATTTTTAACTCGAGACTTTTCTTTCTTTTTTTTAATTTTTGAATATTTAATTTTTGAGATCTTTTTTAATTTTTTTAAACAAAATTTTGAGAGTAGCTGTTAGAGATATCACGGGTTTAGAAAAAAAGGTACTTATCGGCCCGAGTGTCAGCTGAATTTGATCGTCTTAACTTTTTGGTGTTTGATCCAATTCAAATTACTCAGTTTGTGGGCGTATAACCTATAAGTACCGAAAAGTTTGGTCATATTTTCAAAAAATCTTCTGATTGAAAAATGCCCGGGTATCGGGTTTTCAAAGAGTCCGGGTTTCGGATAACCCATGACATCTCTGATATCAGTCTTTGTCATCTTTATAAATGGGTTCGTGATATCCCTGTTAGCAATCTTTCTATATTTTGTAGCCTTTATCGTCTCTATCCTCCCTTGAAAAAAAATTTTTTACCCAAATTAATTAATTAACCAATTTTTTCTAATTTTTCAAACCCTCTACTATCATCCCTTTTCTCTCATTAAATTTATTTGCTTCATTTCATTAAAAATTGTTGCCTTCCCCCTTTTTTTATAAAAAAATTTTTTCAGTCAGTCGATTTTATAAGAATAGTATTTTAATTATTTTCTGTCTTTTAAAAAAGCCTTTATTTTACGCGAGTAATAATTAGTATGTTTTTGGGAAAGAAAAAAAATTTTCTTAGAATTATTTTATTTTAAATTATTTTTGTTTAAATTTGGTGACAAAAATCGAATAATTCTATTTTAGAATTTTTTAAAGTCCCATATTTTATGTAGCTTACCCTTAAGGCTCTTGACTCCGATTGTTCTCTTTAAGCTCTAAATTGTTCCTCATAATCACTTATTTTTTCGATAATAATCAAAGCTTAAATATTGTTCTCCTTATTATTTTTTATATTCTTTTAGTCCTTTTATCGTTCAACTTTCCTTGACTTTAATAGCCCTCTTTATTAGTGTCCGGCAAACTCATTTTTTCGGGCCCGGAAACCGGATTTTGGACTTCTCGTTCATGCCGGACCGGATCCGGCCGGATTTTTCTGAACTAATCTGGTCCGGAAAAAATCGGGAGAAAATCCGGATTTGGGACCCGGACTCCGGCAAATCCGGCCTGAGACCGGTCCAGGCCGGTCATACTCTTTATTAATTTAATTTCGTTACTCTAATAATCCTCCTTTAATAAGGAATTATACAGGTATGAATTTAACAAATTCTTCCCCATTTTCTTCATCATCTTCAAAAAATATTTCGAATACTCAACTACAGAAAAATCAACAAAATCAACAACAACAATCAAATATTCCTTCATTCCCTCAACACTCATCAGCAGCAGCTGTATTAGTTCGGCATACTTTGGACAGTGCTAGTGCTTTACAACAAACGTTGGATAGACGAAAAACTTTCAGATGCCGAGGATCTTTGGTAAAATTAAAAAAATTTTTTGAATTTCTCCGATGGGATCTAATGTCACCTTTAGAATTTTTAAAAATTAATTTTTGTAATTTTCAGGGCCCTACAGTAGCTTCAGCTCCATCAGTAGAACACGAAGACTACAGAACTCCAAAACCTTCAGTTGTCTCTCCTATGGGTGGGAAAAGCTTTGATTTTGGGGAAAGAGAGGGAGCTGCAGGTGTCAACTTTTCGGATTCTAATGGGCTCATTAAGGCAAGTTTAAAAATTTTTTTTTAATAAGATTTTTAATATTGTAAGGTTTTGAAAATTTGTTTTGTGGCAGGAATCCTGCCGTCCCGATTCCCGATTCCCAAAAATCGAGAATTTATTTTTTAGTCCCTTCCTGGCCTGGAAGGGTCTGGTACTAACGTTCCTTCCTTGCGACTTTTTCGAGGGACGACTTCTTTCCTCCCTGGCCTGGAAATTTCCTCCCTGGCCTGCTTTAGCAACCCTCACTGCTTTATTCATTAATAAAATACAATTTTTCAACCCCAAGTTGAGGTCCGTGTAGGTAAAGTCCAACCGTCTAAAAGTCGTTCCAATAAGGTTATTGGGGTGAACAAACATTTTTTTAAATTTTTTTTTTTAATTTTTTTTTCATTTAAAAAACATGCAATACTTTAACAATAAGTACAAATTTTTTCTGTTTATTATTTTTAAAATTATTTAAATATTCAAACTTTAATAATATTATACATATTTCCAGTGTATATTAATGAGATTGGGAATAAAAATAAAAAATTAATTTTATGTAAATAAAAAATAGGCGCGCTTTACCCCTTGTTTCGCTTATAATTTTTTTCTAACTTTTTTTTTAAAAAAGATTATTATTTAATATTTATACAGGATTCTCACGTTGCCATAAAATTTTATTTAATTTTTCTTTAAAAAAAATTTTTTTCTGAATTAGACAATTTATATTTTAAATTATTTTATGTCTAGTTAAGTAACTTTTTATCTAATTTTTTGTAATTAATTTTTTCTATCTAGTTTGGGGAAGCCATTAAAAGGGACTAACTAATTTGTCTATAAATTAGCGAAAGAAGAAATTAAAATTTTGTTGTAATTATTTGACTATCCTCAAATTATAGTCGAATTTCGATATATAATTAATCTTTGATGTAGTATCTCCTCAATGTAGTGGCCCTCGATACTAGGCCCAGGCATTTTTTGACCTTCCTGGGTTTTTCCTGGGCCTGGGTTTTTTGGGTTTTTTTCTGGACTACAGACCCAGGATCCGGCCCAGGCCATAAATCAAATCAAAGTCCAGGAATATGCCCAGGCTTTTCAAAAATCTCGATCTCTACTCGATATTGACTTTTTCGTTATAATAACCCTCCTCGATTTTGACTCGGTTTTTAACGACCAACTCTTTTTTAAAATTAACTTTTTCTTTTTTTTTCGAGTTGGTTATATTTCGAGATTCGAATATCTTTTATATTTTTTTCAGAAATTTCTTAGAAAATCACTTACCAAAAATTAATTTTTAAGCTCTATCTAAATTTGTCTTTTTTCGCATAGATTTAATTATATTTTTTCTCATTCTTTAAATGATACTTTCCTCTATTTTAAGTAGCTATCCATCAATTTTCAAGAGGGGAGGGGGGAGGGGGAGAGGTATTCGAGATTGAGAGGGGGGGGGGAAATGAACTCTCTCTTTTAAAGGGGATTTTTTGTATATATTTATTTATTATTTTACTCAATATTATTTTTGTTTTTTTAGCCATTCCCTAGAGTAAAAGTAACGTGTTTTTATGTCACATTTTTTGTGCCTTTTTTTCTTAATTTTGCTTTTAGTTTTTGTGTAAAGGGGGAATCCTTTCTAAATTATTTTTGTTTTTTTGTAAATATTTAGTCTGTCAGTATTCATTTTTCGTTCTTCTTTTGTTTTTTACTTTTTAATAAGCAATTTTTTGAAAAAAAATTCTAAAATTAATTTTCTGACTTAAAATTACAATAAAATTTTTAACCCTCATTTTTAGCTCTTATAAATTTATTTAAACCTGGAGAGAGGGGAGACCTATCGGAGCTTTTTTTGGAATTTTGATTTCCAATTTTCCATATTTTTTGGTTCGAAACAACTTTAGGGTCGGTCATCTCTTAACTCTATTAATGCCTTCTTAAAATTTTTTTATTAAATACGATCAAATCTTAATAGCATGCCTCCCTATACATCCCCATCCCTCCTCCTCCCTCCCTCCCATAGGCCGGATTGAGAAAGAACGTTCGAATATCGCATTTTAGGTAACCCAACAGATCCCTACTCCTCTTTATCACGTCCTTTTCCTTAATTACATCTCCAGAATTCGGCCCTGAACGATGTTTTATTGGTCTAGTTTTTTTTATTTAAATTGGAATACTTTGAGACTTTGAAAAAAAAACAAAAGAATATATTTATGTTTGTATTTTACAAATTTAATTTAATTTTTTTAAAAATCTAATTTTACTCTTCTTTTCTTATGATTTTATGTTCCGTTATGCTTTACTTATTTTTTATAATTTCCATACACACACATGTTTGTATGCAAAAAAAAGTTTTTTTTATTTATTTCCTTCTTCATATTTTTTGAATTTAAATTCTTTTAAAATCTTCTAAGAAGAATTATTTTTTGATTAAATACAACAAAAAACCTCCTCTTTCTAATTAATGGACTTACAATCACGCGAACGTCGCGCTTCTTCTATACATGAGGCGAGAGAGAGAAAGGGGGAAGGGGAGGGGGAGGGGATTTATTGCTGGCATAAAAAAATTTTTTTTTATTCGAAAAAATTTTTTTTGAAGTTGAGGGATGACAAAATATCCCAAATTTTCAAAATTTTATTTTTTAAAGTTTGTGAACATCTTTTGGGCAAAATTTAAATTTTTCTCTAGGTTTAAGGGGTAAAAATTTTAAAAAATTAAAATAAATATTTTTAATAATTTATTTTTAGGTCAGCGCAGACTTTCTCCGTTTAAATGGGTCCAGGCAACAATTTCGTTCTTTACTTAGCCGGAAAAAGCTTGGCCAAATGCCTCCAGCTTATACACAAATTGACTGTAGCTACGAGTCTTTTGATTCTAATCGTGAGAAGTTTTTTTTATTTTTTTTTTGATTTTCGGGAATTTTTGAAATTTTTATGAAATTTTAAAAATTTTCGAGAATTTATAAAAATTCAAAAAAAAAATTCGTGAAATTTTTTTAAAAGATTTTATAACCTGAAAAAATTTTTTTTGTAATTTTAGGAGAATTTTAGATTTTTTAATTCGAAAAAAATTTAAAAAATAAAATTTTTGAGCTAGGAAAAATTTTTTAATTTTTAAAAGCTTTAAAATTTAGAAGGAAAATTTTAGTTAAATTTTTTAAAAAATTTCACTAAAATTTTTTTCAGAAACAGGAACAGGACGTACAACAACAAATATACAACATCCATTAATTAAAGTAGAAGATGCTGGAGAGACAACAACAACAATTCCAGCAACAATTCTACCACCAAAAAATGAGTTAAATATTTCCCCTTCAACAATAATTTTAATTGATTCACAAAATTCTTCAATTGATAAAAATGTTGTAGAAAATGGTGGTGGAGGAAATAATATATTATTAATTAATAATTCTGGAGGATATAATCAACAACAACCTTCTTCAAATCATATTAATAGAATAGCACAATCTGGGGCTTGTTTAAAGCGAAATGGAAGCAGGTTAGATTTTTTGAAATTTTTTTAGAGAGATTTTAGTAAAAGAATTATCATAATACTAGGCAGCAAGGGAGGTCGATTTCAGGGGGGATATAGCCCCAGAAGCCCCTCTGGCTACGTCCTTGCTAGACAGACGAATCTCGATATAATGGCCCCCTTTGAAAGATAATTAAACCGACGTTTTAATAGAAGAGGACGTGACAATGTGGGGCAAATATCGCCAAAATAACATTTATCTCAGGAGCGAATTGTTCAGTCGTATTAAGGAAAGCGATCAGATTTCGGGTTTGGGTCGAAAAAAGTTTCCGTAGATTTAGGGTAATCCTTCCCTGTTACATGAGAGCAATTAACTATAATTAACTATTTTTCTAGATATGATAGTTCAGCAGTTAAAATGGTCTACAAAATTCGTTCTCAAGTCAGAAAATTTTTTTAATATTTTAAGTAAAATTTCTTTAATTTTTAGAGACTTGCAGATCGTGTTCACATATCTGATAGATGCCTTATTCTAGCAATGCTTGGTATTCTTTTAATGATTGTGGATACAGAATTGTGTGGCCAAAATGCTTTTGGTATTCACAAGGTTAAAAAATATTTTTTTTACTTTAAAAATAATTAGAACATTAAGAAATATGCCCAAAATATTTTATGAATTTTCTAAGGAATTTTATGAAGTCAAAGAAATTTTTTTTGAAATTTTTACCAAGACTCAAATGAACCTTTTTTTTAAATTAACTATAAACTAACCTTTGCAAAATTAAAAAAAAAATTTTTTTTTTTATTTAAATTTTTAAACGATTTTTCTCTATTTTTACAGGATCATGTAGCCTCTTTACTTATAAGAACATTACTTTTATTTTCAACAATAGCACTTTTATGTGAAATTATTCATTATCATTATAATGAAATACAGGTTTTTTTAATTTTAATTTAAAAAAATTTTTTGAATTTTTTTAAAGTTGGATTTAGTAGACTGTGGAGCAGATGATTGGAGAGTTGTTCTTTCTTGGAGAAGAATTTGGCATTTTTCTACAGAATTTTTTCTTTGTTCTATTATGTTAGGGTTTTTTTATTTTTAAAATTTTTTTGAAAAAAAAATTTTGGGAAAATTTTGGGAATAATTTTTTAAATAATTTTCTAAAATAAATTTTAGACAAGGGAACACAGTCTATTGTATATAAAAATTTGATATTTTTCTTGGTACCATTCGATAGGGGACCCTCAATTTCCTATTGTGAGGTGATATTCTTTTCCTTGAAAAAATGACTTTTGACCGAGTTATGGCCTGTCACACTTTTGGTTTATGGGAACCTATTCGAAAAAGACTCGCCCCGGAGTCATTTTGCAGGAAAAGGAAGTCGCTTCGCAATATGAAGTCGAGGAGTCCTCTATTTCATGATACCGAGAATAATACCAAATTTTGTTTTTATGCATAGTAAACCTTAGAAAAAATAACCGAAATAGACAAAAAAAATTTTCTTTTTAGTCCTCTTCCCGGAACAGGCTCTCTAAATTGGTCATTTATCGAACCTCCACGTTCTTGGGCTCATGGTCATGA